CTACTACCGCGTCATGTTCGGCACCATCCCGATCCCGCCTGGGATGGGCGTCGGGGAGAACCACGATTGCCACGGCGCAAAGTACTCGACCATGCTTATCACGGGCAGCCAGGGCCGCGCGTGGTTCTTCCTCTACGAGGAGCTGGACACGCCGACGCAGGAACGCGTGCGGTACACGGAGCAGGACATGGAGGCGCTCGCGGCGAAGTGCAGCGACATGCACATCAGCCAGGAGCTGACCTTTGGCGACATCTGGCCGACGGTCGTCAAGGCCGGCATGACCAACCTCGACGAGGGCATGCTGGAGCACTGGAGCGGGGATCGCATCGTGCTGGCAGGGGACGCGGCACACAAAATCACACCCAACATCGGATGGGGTTACTTTGCAGGCGTGCAGGACGTTATCGCGCTCACCAACCTGCTGCAAGCGAGCCTGTCGCAGCGCGAGGAGGGCACCCTCACGGGCGAGGAGCTGGGCAAGATCTTCAGGCGATACGAGGCCACTAGGAAGCCCGAGATGGCGACGGTGCTGAACCTGTCTGCGTCGGCGACCCGTCAATCGGCGTGGCCTAGGACGTGGAGCGGGCTGTTCTACCGGTTCATGGAGTGGGTGTCGACGGTGCCCGGGTTCGAGTACTTTACCATCAAGTACATTGCCTCGCCGGTGCAGAGCAACGCGCTGGTCCTGGATTTCCTGTCCTGCGAGGAGCCGTATCACGGGCTGGTGCCGTGGAAGTACCCGACGATGAGGGCATAAGCAGCTCTTGTGCGATACCCAGTTGTACATATGGACCTCATTACATAGATTATTACGCACAGAATATACACAGAATAATAGCGTCAGACTACAATACCCAACTCGTGCTGTCTCGGCACATACATACCCATCCAGCAGGCCAGGTGATGTGATGCTCGGGCGACGGCGTCCATGTATTGGGCCACTTCCGCACGACAACAACGCCGTCTCTCGCGTTGACAAATCAGGATCGGCGCATGTCTCACTCACTTTAGCAGATTGGAGACTGTTTGGGACAGCGTCCGAGCGGCCAGAGTCCGAGGGCTTAAAACGAGCCCCGGCGCCGAGCCCAGACACGTCATGCTGCCACAGTAATATATGTGTCTATGCATTGCCCGACACCACATGCAGTAACCCATCCGACACATCGAGTATGCCATTCGGGCGCGCACGAGCTGCAGCCACAGCGTCTCTGGTGGGTCGTACGCAGCGACGGCGAGTCAATATACCTGGTTTGGAGCGTATAGCGTCAAAGTCACTCCGACACCCTGGGCGATGCGACGGCCGGATGCTACTAATCACCTCCCCCATTTTACCATCTGTCGTCGTTTGTTCCCCTTTTGGTCATGTCCGGCAGTGGTCGGACCACGGCCTCAGCTCTTCCCCCTGGTCAGTCGCCTCATGCTTCCCCATGCAGCGCAAACACCAAGCATCGCCATAGCGTATCGGTCCCGGCCAGCGACCCCAGAGACATCTCCCGTTCAGGCAACATTCATCGCCGTGATGTCTGTTCGCAGCTAGAACTCGGTATCTGCCGTGTTGGGTCCCCCGCCGGCCAGCATACCGGGCAGAGGGCTCACACATACTCCCCCAACCCGTCTGCCATGCACCTGCGGGCGCCTCCTCGAGTCCTGGACGCTGTTCGGGCGCCTGCCAATGATCTCTCATCGGACCGCTGCAGGGTGGGATAAGCACGCAAAACTCAAACTGGCGATGGGTGGCTTTTGATTTGCGTGTTTACTTGGTGTGGAGGCTCGGCGCATCTAGCCAACCCTCGCCAACACTTCGCTCAAATACGATGGCCTTTATTTCTAATGTCCTACGGGATTTTCGTCCTGTGTCCCTCTCCTTGACCCTTCACCATTTAATCGACTAGTGAAGGCCTTTGCGCGCCGCCTGACGACTCATTCCCACTTATAAGCGTAAGATGCGAACCATCGCCTCCGCTTCCGACACCGTGGTCGCCAACATCTTATTTTCTTACTGTTTTAGTCCCCAAAATCCCCGAGGGCCCTGTCGCCGTCGATGAGGGCTTGAAATAAATTCGCCCGTCTTTCGCTCTTGGAGACAAGGACCTGCGGGGTTTTTCCAAGGTCGTGCGACGCCAACTCAGACACACAATGCAGAGCGCATCACTTCTTCTTTCCCTGCCTGCTGAAATCTTCGACGAGGTCATCCAGCATACGCATCTTGCGCTGGGCTTGGAGCCTACTGAGCAGAAGTTTGTGGAGCTGCGACTTGTATGCCGTGAGTGTCCCCGACTTCAAGGACTATCCCGCCCGACACTTGGGGACAATTATTAAGTCGTATTTCTTCTGGGGTGTAATTACTAATGGAAGAGATGAATAGGTGCATTTGATGATGTGGTCTCTCGCGAGGTCTTCCCCCGGGACAGGAAGAACCAGTTCATGAGGCGCAACAACATCAACGCCGAGACCGCAAAATGGCTCCTCCTAACCAAGACAAAAATTCACAACCGCGATAAACGCGGGACGCTGGCCTTCCTCCATGAATGCGCAACATTTGCGATGAATCATCAATCGGAGTGGTCCAGACACACCAAGCATACGTACTTTGACTATCTCGCCGCCGCGTGCCACATCATCGTCGCCAATCACGGCGTGCACGCCGTCCTCAAGCAGGTCGTCTTCGTGGCGAAGCGAGGCAAGAATCCCCTCGCAAAGTCCATTCGCATGCTGCGGGCGCGAAAGAGCACGCTGAGGCCGTCCATGACGCCGGTCGATATCTATGGCATGATGCAGATGGCCGCCGTCTTGGGTGACACTGCGGCCGTTGAGGATATGGTCGCCCGCGGCGTGAACATAAACTTCAACCATCCCGTCTTTGGCTGCGCTCTCTTCGCCGCCGCCTCTAACGGATGTCTAAAGTCTGTGAGCCAGCTGATGGGTCTGGGGGCAGATCCCAACGTCCGGGGACATCTCCTGGCCACGCCAATGTCGCTTAGCCCGGAGAGGAATAACACGGCTCTGCTGGTCGCGGCTGAGCGGAACTACAAGCAAATTGCAAACCTTCTGGCACGGGATCCTCGTGTGAGCATCAACGAGACCGGCGGGGAGTCTCGGAAGAACGCACTGGTGTGGGCGGCGGAACGCGGATGGGTAGACACCGTGCAGACCATCCTGGCCAGAGGCGATGCCGATGTCGACTCCCGCATCGGCCGGGGAGAATTTCCCATCACGGTGGCGGTCATGCACGACCACCCGGAGGTGCTGGCCCTGCTACTAAAAGCTAGCAAGACCAAACTCACTGAGAAGCGATATAATGGCCAGTGTCCTATGGCCCTCGCCTTGGTGAGGGGGTCGTCGAGGATGGTTCGGCTCATGTTGGAGATTGGGAAGATTGACCCGAATGAGGAGCTCCCCTACGGAGCACCGCAAGCCAAATGCCCACATCCGATGCCTTCCAGAGGCAGCGCAGACGGAACACCGCTGGTCATCGCGGTGAAAAACGGCCATGCCAATCTGGTGGAAACTCTTCTGAATTACCCGGGCATAGATCCAAACCTAGTCAGTAACTCCATCACGCCTCTGGACCTGGCCATCGCCGAGGACAGAGCGGAGGTCGTCAATGTCTTCCTCCGACACCAGGACAAGCTCGAGCGAAGTCTCTGCGCATTGAGGAAGCCCCTCCTCCACGTCGCAGCACACAAAGGAGCAGCCTCGGTCATCAAAATGCTCATCAACTGCTACGGCGCCGACCCCAACACTTACGACGACGAAAAGCAAACGATTCTATGCTCGGCAATAAGCAACTACCAGTGGAAAGTCGTAGAGTACCTCGTGCAGTGTCCCGCCGTCGATGTTAACCTGGCCGGACACTCCGGGTTGGGTGACAACGTCGGACCCAACATCCCGCTGCAGATGGCAGCTCACCAACAGAATTACATCGCGCTCGGCTACCTCATGAAGAGGGACGACCTGGACCTGAACTGGAGCGGCGTCTGGGGCACGGCGCTGTCCATCGCCGTCGAGACATCGAACCAGTGGGCGATGAAGACCCTCCTCTACGACAGCGGCGTCGACGTGAACCGCACCTCGGACATCTCCCCCGGGCCCATATACGTCCACCGCAAGATGCCAGCGGGGAGCTACTCGAGCTGGGGCTTCTTCTGCGAGGAGGGCCAGAGCGGGGGGGACTCACCACTCCTGCGGGCCGTCAAGTGCGACAAGCTCGAGGCCGTCCAGGCCCTCCTCGAGAACCACAACGTCGACCCCAACGTGGCCGACTCGTGCCGCAGGACCCCCCTCTGGTGGGCGTCCCGGGGCGGCGGGCTCAGGATGGTCCGGTACATCCTGTCGGCGCGGATCAAGCCCGACGTCAACGCGCAGGACATGGAGGGCTGGACACCCCTGCTCTGCGCGGCCAACAACAACAAGGACACGACGACGCGGATGCTGCTCGACCTTCCCGGGATCGACCCCAACGCGGCCAATAGGTACGGCTGGACGGCACTGCACATCTGCGCCAACTACGGCAACGTGAGGATCCTGGAGCAGCTCATCTCGCATCCGAGGATCGACGTGTGGGCGAGGACGAGCGACGGGGAGACGGCGCTTGACGTCGCGAAGGATTTCTCGGGGGATGCGGAGGGCTTGTACCAGCTGGAGCGGTTATCGAGGATGATGGCCAGTCGGCCAGATCCGAGGGGGGAATTTATGAGGCTTGAAGCAGTCACTTATGAATGATGATTTTACTGACGGGAGTTCCAAAATTTTATGGTATTTTTTATTAATGCAATCTGATATCTTCTTCCAATCCTAACAAAGGAAAAAATAAAAACGAAAAAATTATTCAACATCAAATAAAAGACAAAAGAAAACAATCTGCCTGCTAGTCTGCTGTAATGATATTCGCGACAACTGCAATATCCAAATCATCTCGGTCATGTCGTGTTTGCACACTGTAATCTAAGTAATATCAATCTATAACATCATCCGCTCTTAAATCAAGAACACACGGGCGCCTAGATGGCGTCGATATCCAGGCCGTCACGGTCGCGACGCTTCAAGTACAGCTGAGCCCAAGGGTCGGCCTGAAGTGCAAACGAGTACTTGAGAGGCTCGGGCTCAGCTGGCGCATCGGGTCCCACCTTGAAGTCATACTTGACAAGGAGATGGCACAGGATGACCTTGAGCTCGTTGGCGGCGAAGAAGCGGCCAGGGCAAGCGTGCTTACCATGGCCGAAGCCAAGGCTTGAAGAAGTGGTTGAGACGAAGTGCGCAGTGTTCTCAGTCTCGGGGCAGGCACGCTGTCTTACGAACCGATGGCCATCAAATTCATCTGGGTTCGTGAAGAGCTCGGCGCTGCGGTGCTGGTCTGTGAGGACGACAGTGCGGTGGCCCTTGGGGATGACTTCACCAGTGGGAAGAGGGACATCCTCGACTGCTTTTCGAACCATTGAAACTATTTTATCCGAGTTAGTATCATACTTCTTGGTGATTGAGGGGCGGGATTGCTTACCCATTGAAATAGGTCTCAGTCTCTGGGACTCCTTGATGACACTGTCAAGCAGTTTCATATTGTAGAGCGATGTCTTCTTCCATCCATCTTTTCGGAGCTCTTGGATGACTTCTGACCTCAATTCCTCAACAAGCTCAGGGCGTCTGGCAAGTCGAAGCAGGGTCTCAGTGAGCAAGTCCGAGGTGGTGTGGATAGCAGCCATGGAGAGTCCAAGCTGAGCAATAGCAGCATCATATGGCGCACCGTTGCTCTCGTCTTCAAACCAGTCAATGGCATCATCAAAGGATTCAGGTTCCTCTCCCTTGGCGAGGCTCTCAGCCCGGAGTCGTCGCCTTTCCTCGATGAAGGGAGTGATGATCTCTCGGGCTTTAGGGGCCATCCATCGCAAGTTGCGGCACTGCGGGATAACCCAGTGGGCAACGTTGCGGAACCAGTTGGGAAATGCGCGGAGAATGGCTGAACCGATGAAGGCTTCAGAAGTGTAGCGCTTTGTAATGTCGAGCCAGTCTTCGTTGCGGCAGATCTCGGGACCAAGGAAGACCCGCGATGAGCTCCGGGCGACGATGTCGAGAATCTCCTTGTAGATGTAGACCTTTTTCCATTCTATTAAAGTTAGCGTTGAGGAAATTATTAATAGGCAGTTAAGGAGAGCTCGCATACCTTTACCGTTTCCTAGACGCAGCTCGGTGGCAAAGCTTACTTCTTGCGACAGCGGCTCAGTAATTTTGTCTGTGCAACGTCAGTTAACTACACTCCTTGGCACAATGAAGCAATGGAGCAACACTTACTTAGTGATCTGGTGAGCCTCTTTCGGACGACACTCTGACCCAGCTGGTCGTATCGTGCGGCGGCCGCGAATACCTCAAAGCCAGGGAGATGAGCGTGGAAGTCCTCGGCGACAGACTCTCGCAGCAAGAGTCTGTCTTCACTTCCAATGGTGCTGACAAGGTTGGAAGGAAGCACAATGATCTCTCCAGAGTCTGTCATGAGCTTGAACGGCCTGTCTTTGTATAGAGCCATGCCCTTCTGGAGTAGCTCTTCAGCATAGAAAGCGAAGCGCCAACGCCAGCCCCAGTTGGCGATATCAAGACCCTTGGCTTGATTGATCAAGGGGATACTGGAGACTTTAGAGTCACCATGGATGTTCATGAAGAGGATTACTCCTAGAACAAGAGCTACAGAGCCTCGGACGAGGAGGTAGGTGGCATCGTGGATTGGGAGAGAAAAGGACTCTCTTTGGGCTTGCAGGGTTGGTTCCACCACCGCAAGGGACGTCATATTGGGCGTTTCTTTTGAGAATTGAAAAGAAGAGTTCAGATGGCTTGGAAATTTATGGATGAAAGAGTAGCTTGTGTTCATTGAGTGGTGTCTGTCTACAAACCGAGAGTTCGTGAGAGGGTAGAGACGAGATATATATACACACCATTTCGTTGCAGCAGCCCGGTGCCAAGGTGTCGGATTACGATACAAAAGACAAGAGCCGCACGTCAGGCATCCAAACTGGCCCATGTTCCCGGATTCCGCTTCAAACCGTTCGTGTGAGTCAAGGTCATGTGCGATGGGCTTGACGCAAAAGCGAACGAGCGCAAATGCGAACACATCTTTCTAGTAATAGATGGGTCCCTACTGCGCCCACCTGTGCCAGCTAAATCGCAATAGGGAAGAAATTGGCCTTAGTCCTTCACACGAGTGTGATACGGCACCCAATCAGCTCGCCATGGGTCAATCTCGTGCCAGAATCTCAGCTGTGAGGCTCGCGGGTTTGTTCAAGAAGAGAAAGTTCCGCATGAGCCCGCATGCCATGGAGCAATCAGAGCCGTCAATGAACCATAGTTCGTCTACTAGGGCCAACAAGGTTACCGAAGTCCAGCGTGGTGTGGCTCTGCATCATGGTTGCATCTGAGACGAGACTATTAGTCCCTTGGTACGGGACGCGATTGGCTGCCGTATTGAAGATTCCTTGGAACTGCTAGCCTGCTTATGGAGCCATCTCTCAAGGGCCTGCACGATTCTGCATGGCGTGGGGGGACTGCCTCCCGGTTCGCGTAAGCCGATATCACCTCACAGCCCTACTGTCCCGCCAAACCAGGCGCGCCCCGTTTCCTGCCTACAACCCCTGGACTTTTATCCTCATCCCTGCAGCAGGCAGCGATGCCCAATCCTTTCATCACCTGATGGGACTTCGTTTTCTTCACACAAGTGCGAGAACTTGAGGAGACGCCTTGGCTCGACCAAAGTACGCCTCGCATCCCGGGCACGCTGCTGACGATGACTCCCAGGGCGCGGAACGAGCTTGAATGCCTTCAACAGCCGGTGATAGCCCTGCGCTAGACTCTATCATTACGTCGTTGAGATCAAATGTGCAACAAATTTGACATTCCCTCGGCTGAAGCCGCATACTGATGGACCGTCGGCCGGCGGAATTGCTTTTCCTCATCTGTGCAGTCACATTTTCACTACGAGCTCTCGGAAGTTCCAGCAGTGGTAGGTAGTATTGATTAAATTATTTTTTCTAAGTAAATGTAATGTCTGTAGTCAATTTGTAAAGCATGTAGCTGCCATATTAATCGTCATTCTTGTAATCATGTCTCACGTTCATTTTTCCCATTGGCTGATCACATCCAATTATGGTGTTTCCCCTGAACGTCTCAGATCAGCCCGATGGAGATCTCAGCCCTAACAACCGGCTGAGGGTAGTACGCGGATTCACGGTATGCGCTGATTGAGCATCCCGATAGAGGCCGAGACCTGCACACGTAGTGGATGTCGGTCTTGAGATTCTCATGGAGGACGGCCCATTTCCTCTGTTCCTTTTCCTCTGGTTCGAACCCAGCCATTTCAGCCGTCAAAGGAGTGCCTTCGGTCAGTAAAACAAGGCCTGCGCGTAGTTCGTGGTCGGGCGATAATGGCTTCTCCGGGATTACTGCAGGCTCAATCCGTTCGCTGAGCGGCATCCTCTCGAAAAATTCGGCGAGTTCCTCATCTTCAATTGTCAGCGACTCGGTGCTCCAGGAGCCTTGGGAGTATAAGGGAGGTCGCTGTCCGGGAGTGCGAGGCCTCAGAACCGAGCTCAAGGGTCGCACAGCTGGGTGCTCGAATTGACTTGTAGTTGTAGACCATGAGTGCCGTTTCGAGTAGCGAGACCTGCGTCTTAGATGAATGAAGGATGACAAGGAGTGGTGGTACGGGGGCACCTTTTCCGGATCCGATAATCCAGACGACACTCGGCGGCTGACGGTTGATTGGCTATATCCAACCTGCTGCGGGACATCTCTCCGAGGAGCGTCTTCTATTATCTCAGGCTTACAACAGCAGCAGCAAGGTGCTCGCCGTAGTGTTTTCTTTAGTCTGTCCATCTTAGCCATTGTTGCAATAAATCAAAGAGACTGTATGCAAAAGGGAGAAGACAGATATGATCATCTTGGGGAAGAGGGCGAGCTTCACTTGCTAAAATAGGCATAAGGCTGCTGCACAATGATAGCACGCAATGCAGAATCCGCATAAGTCTGTAGCTGTTGAAACGCAATGCATCGTCGCCTCATGGGCGTGACTTGTATTCCATACGTGGCTCCCGTAACTAAGCGTCATGCTTGGATATCAGATCCACTTGGACGAGTCCTTTCTCTATGTATGCCATTATAACAACTGAATCTATATCAGCCAACATGCACAACAACTGTTGGCGTCATTATGCCTCTCTAAAAACCGGATTTGAAAGGCGGAGAGCCAGATACGACGCATTTCGAGGCATCAGCAGATTCGATGGGCTGCAGTCTCTACTTTTAGGATCGAGATTCCTCCAGAAAGACGGCGTTAAGGTAATCCGCCTTCCAGAGAGATGACATCGCACATGAGCGGTCAAAGTTAAGTCTTCGAGGTCAAAGCTTTTCTTGCATACCCGATCTGGGGTTGCCGGCAAGGATCCGGCCCTCAACTAGGAAGGCTAGATCTGCACTAGGAGGTCACCAACAGCGACTGTTGGTTCTAATTTTAAACTGTCAACGCCACACTGCTATTTCCAGTACAGCTAGATAAAGAGATCAGTGAACTTTCTTCCTCCCCTGATATATCAGGGCTCAACCGAGGTGTAGCTAGAGGCTACCATCCTCTCATGGTCACACCACCCGCTCCAGTCAGCTAAACGACCGCACTTGAAGACATAATATTACCAGGTCAAGTAGCAATTATGAGATACAATATTCTTTAGTTTCTTTAATCTCCCTCTGTAAAGAATTGAGTTTCAGATTAAACCTCGGTCTGAAATTATGTCCTTTGAACAGCTAATGTCTTTACAAGTCGCCCATCCCGATGTCGACCTTAGCGAAACCAAAAAGGTCCAATAATTGAGCTCTGTATAACATTTCTCTTCTTGTGATGATTTCAGTGGCAGAAGCGGCTGCTTAATTGTAATGCTTCTTTAGATTCCCCGTTAATAGCTAGCAGTTTATATGGCCGAGACGGATGCTATCAAGACTTTAGATTCTCAACGACCTTGTGTTTAAACATATTGTCATGCTTATGAAATATGATCATATTTAAGCTAAACCTATAATGGATGCGTTCGATGTGCGAAGTTAACGTTGTAAGTTTGGGTTATCCTCGCTTTCCTTCTTTCTCACCTCACATTTATCAGATACATATCAAGCGCTGGAAGGTCGTCACCTGAATACTAGCCAAGCCTAAGACTTATAACTTCTAGCTACAAACTATCCATCTCATTCAGCCACCGTTGAAGCTTTTTATCCATGGCTATTTCCGTGGTCAAAACGTCAGTTTCCTCGGCAAGTACCGGGCCCCAAGTAACACCAATCTCCCTTGCACCATCAAGCTCTGCGCTAGTCAGTACAATTTCAGCATGACTTCTCTTGACTTCTTCCATCTTCTGGGCCCAATGATTATTGATGAAATCCCCTATCGAAAAACCTTCCTCTTCCATAACGTCTTCAAACTCAGCCACTAGAGAGTTGAGCTGGTCGATTGAAAGCCGATATTCTTCATTAATCTCTCTCGCCTCATCCAAATCGACATCAGAAATCCGCCGATTGACTCTGGTGCAACAAGTATGAGGAATATCCAGTTCCTGGAAGGTCATGAAACGAACGATTTGCAATCTTTGAGCCTTAAAGATTTCGTTCAGGGAGGAAGGGAATGGCCATCCTTTTGTGCTTGTTTTCTTGCCATGTTTGCATATAAAGGAGAAAACATGATGAAAGAACACTTTGAAGGCAGAGCACCCCAGCGGTGAACATTGGCACCGGCAACAATCTAAAGCTGTCCAGCCACATATTTCGAGTAGAACTTCTACTACTTCCGGGCTAAGGCTGTTGCAGGAATTACAGAAATCCACTGCTAGCTTCCATGAAGTTATGTGTGATGCCAAGAGAGTACCAGTTTCTGAAAGCTCATCAACTTGCGGTTCATTTTCAAGGACGTTTAAATCAACACCATGACGAATGTACCATGACACTGACGCAAAACTTATATCAATGCAATCTTGGCCAGCACCACTCATGCTCACACCGTTAATATCACGAAACCCGATTTGCCATAAGTATTCCAAGCGATCCGAACGGTGCGGGTGATTTATCAAGTTACGATGCACTGAGTGGTAGTCCAAAGGAACGTATAAGACCTCTGATACTGGGACACCCAGTTCATGTAGTTTCGCTGTGACTAACCCAGCTTGTCCGTCCAGTATAGAGTCTTCTAAGAGGCCGTATTTAACAATGTCCGGTTGGCTTAAATGTCTTAAACCTAGAGCTTTTAGCTCTTCTCGTTGCGACTTCAAGGTGGTGAAGAACATAGTGTCGAGAAAGTAACAAAAACGCCCAAACCATCGAGCCTCTCGAAGAATTTGATGAAATCTGCACGGTATCCCAAGCCCAATGAGAGGCCCCAAAATGGTGTGCTCGAAGTGATGATTCCCAGTCCCGTCATCACCTGATTTGCATTCACCATGTGTACAGTTGTCCAGGTGGTATTCTCGAACAAGATATATAGCCTCGGCTACTATTGATGGATGACGTTCTATGGGATTTGTGGACGCAAATGCATCCAACATCAACTTGAAACCTCGTGGCCACAGTGTGGAAAGAGCCAAGCAGCTAACACCCAGAGAATCAACATATTCTGCGGCGCAAGCCGGGTCTTTTCGAAGCACCTCACGTAGTTGGTCGTAGTCTCTGGCCGAAATGGCGGCTGTCACAGGACTTTTGACATGGTCTGTATCACTTTTGTCAGGTGAAGGGATTGCCATTAGAATATTTCACTCACCTTCGAGAATTTCATAATGATGTTGGACGGCAAAAAGCACGCCGGATCCTTCGCTAGTGGAATTCTCTCTTAATTCCGGGTTTAGATCCCAGCCCAAGAGAATCAACTTTTTGAACAGCCCTTGAATTTCCCCCGTAAGACCAAAGTAGAATACGTTATATATGTGCATAACATCAATTTTACCCAGAATTGTCGAAATAAATTTGGAATTGATCTTTTTTAGCCTTTGTCTGATTTTAGCCTTTGTCTGAAACAACAGTCCCTTCCACTTAGGTAGCTACACCTACGGTTGATATGAGCTGGACACTTTCCCAAGAAACCGAAGGTCATCTAAGAGGTTCATAAGAACCCTTAATACGGAAAGGCGATCTCCACTGGACAAGGTGGTAAAAGAAATATTATATTGCTAAGTTAGTCAAATCATATATACAACTGTAAAGTACAAGAATAATACCTACAAAGAATATGTCCATGATCATGTCGAGGCCAGTAAGTCCATTTAGGCACACATCAGATATGGAAGCGCGTCCTTCGCGATGCAATCGCAGTATGTGTTGTGCCAACTGTGTAACGAATTTCTGACTGTATGTAGCATCCCAAGGATTCCGAGAGAGCGCCAGCGAGGATTCGTATAGTTTCAAAGCGGGAGCGTCCTCGCCAAGGACCTTGACACAGCTGATCGAGCGGTTGATATTATGGTTTGCCGTCGTGAGATGAAATGCGATTCTCCATGATATCCAGTTTCCCCGGAATTCGACGGTCTGGGATCGCTTAAGGATTCTCATCTGATTGCGAAATCGGCAACTTGGCTGGTGCTGGGCAATTTCCACCTTCTCGCCACTTGATTTCAAGAAAAATAAGTTCACCATGGACGATTCTCGGGAAACCGTACGGAAGCAAAGGCATCCGTCGCAAGCTCGTCTAGTAGATACAAAGTTTCGATTAAATGCTGGATATCGGGCATCAACCACATCGTCCAGTTCAGTCGTTGGCCGTGCCACTTTTGAAACATCAGAAAGGCTAGAAAGTTCGGTGTCGAAGGGTGCTATACTCGATACCGGGGTTATGAGAGCTGTAGTGGTCAGTTTACTTGTCTTAGGCTGGATAATAGCTTGCTCTTCAGGGTATCAGTCACCCGTTCGTGTTCTACGTGGCTAAGCAGTCCATGAGAGACTTACCTTCATCGCACGATCCTTTTCCTTTGTCTGATTCTTTTTCAATAGAAATTAAATTTTGTTTGGGAGCACACACTGCCAAATCCGTAACGGTTAGTCTGACGGAAGGAGGGAGAAATCCCGATAACTCTTCAAAAAAGCTCTTAAATCCTGTGTCGTTCTCCGATGAAAATTTGGTCATCCCCTTATGGTTTGCATGGATTCCCCGGCAAGCGAAACCAGGGATGGTTGCCGAAGTCTTGGATACAACACAACCCAGTGCCCGCATCGGAAGTTCCTCAAAGAAACAAACAATGCCAGGAGCCCTTTCCATGGACGACTGTCGCTTCTCCCGAATAAGTAAACAAAAGTCGTCATGGATATTTTCTAACATCTCGGAGTCTTTCTTCAGAGCTTCAAGGAGCTTGGTGTTAACTTGTTTCATACTGCTCATCAAGTTTGTCAGATGTTGAGCATATGATGCGGCTTCAGATCCATGATGCGGTGTTCCCATGAAGATAATTCCTCTCGTGGACTGGAAAATTTGTCGATAATCGGACCGTTGGTTTGCAAAAAGTAGGCCCTGCTTGGAAATTAGCAAATCTGTCCAGCTTTTCAGATCGTGCCTTTCAGGGAGCAGCACCTCTTTACAAACGAGACCTCCCAGACTATGGCAAACAAATATAAGTGAGCGGTCAGTGGACGCAGAGGCTCGGCGTTGGTGGCAAATCGAATAGATCAGCTCTGCGGCATGATCTCGTAGTGTTTTTTCAGACACCTTCCCCATGAACTCCTTCGTATCTGTGACTTTCGCATCGTAACCGAATGTGAAGATTCGAGATTCAGGGAGCTTTGCAGGAAGCAGAGCCTTCGGCCAAGGCTCGAGCTTCAAACCGTTACTGCCTGTCGCCTGCCATGTCTTGTTTCGATTTCCCATGAGTCCATGGATGAAGATAATACTGATCTTTTGTCAGCTTGTCAGAAGACGTTCCGGAAATTGGCCATAACGTACTCAAATTCGGCATTTGGTCCTTCGTACCAGAGCTCAAGCCCAATCGGTTCCGGATTCCCTTCCGAGGTGTCTCCCTTATCATCACTTTCGCGGCGCTGGAATACTCGCTTCATCTTGTCGCCTTGCAACGGTGCTTAAGGGCGGAGCGCGTAAAGTAAATCAGGATAATTGCAGGTCAGTATGTGGATATGGGCTGATGGTAGATTGATGCCTAATTCCGTAAGCTACTCTTAATTATTGCACTCTTGATCGTCATCAGTCGTGAAGTATGTAACACTGCCTCAGCATCACGTGAACCCCTCTTCTCGAGGGCCAATCAACGCCGCCTTCTCTGCCACTGTTTTATGCACTTGTTCAGCCCTTCGTACTGGTGCTCCACAACACCCAATCATGAAAATCATGAAGTTTTCTATCTATAGGTGCACTGATGGGAACAAGACTCCTTCAGTAGAAGACATACAACGGGCTGTGACTGTCACCCTAACAACCCAAATTTGACCTCAACTCCCTAGCCGGCGTTACGGGGCTCTGTGGAACTGCTTCCGTGCTTTAACTTGCATAAGTAATGGGCGGGCGTTGTTCCTTCTTTAGGCAAGGGAAATCAAGATGTCTGCTTATTTTCTGGAGCAGAGCTTCCCGCCTACAACCCGAAATAGTCAAGCTCCAGCTCACGACATGGATTAGATTCACCACAGACCCTGAATTATCAGGGCATGCCAGCTTACGCCCGGAAACATACGTGTCGCTCGGTAATTCAAACGCTCCGAGGCAGCAGGGATCGGTCAAACTTGAAAGGCGATGCTGGTCGTGTTTTGTCAACGGAGCATACGAAATAAATATGCTGACCAATGCAACTTTTACGCAGAGAATCAAAGCAAGCTTAATCCAATGCCAAATCAGGAACCGCACTTTCACTCTCGTCAAACGCTGAGTTCAAGATTGCCTTGTGAAGCCCCTAACTTTTTTACTTCATAGTAAGCCTAAAATACAGAGAGCGGATTATCATTTAACGACATGGGGTATCACATCGATTTCGAATTGGAGCGAGATGTTCCAGAGCTAACCGGCAAGGTTTTGCTCATAACTGGAGGTGAGTTTTCTCCCGACCTATCCCAATACGCGGAATCAGCTAAATGTGGACGATTCTAGGAACCGGGGGACTCGGTGCCGGAGCAGCAGCTCTGCTCGCCAAACGGAACCCCTCCAAAATCTACATCACTGGGCGAAATGAAGAGGCTGCACAAGATGTTTTCAAAAGAATCAAGGACAGCGGGAGCCAAGCACAGACGAAATTCATCCGTTGTGACCACACTAGCCTTGAATCCGTCCGAGAAGCCGCCAACGTTTTCTTGTCACAGGAGACACGACTTGATGTGCTGATGGCCAATGCTGGTGTGATGGCCTCTCCTCCTGGCTTAACCAAGGATGGCTACGAGTATCAGTTCGGCATCAACCACGTGGCTCACGCTCTTCTGATCCAGAAGCTTCTACCGACCCTTCAGAAGACAGCAAAGTCACAGGGCGATACGCGTGTCATTATTCTTACCAGTCTTGCATTCGTCCTTGCGCCCAAAAGCGGTGGCATCGTTTTTGATGAACTTAGAACTACGCAAGCGTATTGGATCCTCGGCGACTTCCAGCGTTACGCGCAAAGCAAGCTGGCGAATCTTTTGTATGGACGTGAATTGGCACGCCGGTATCCCGAGATCACAACAATCGTTATTCATCCCGGGGAGAGTGCTACTTCGCTGGTCAACAACCTTTCATGGACACAGAAGGCTGTGGTCTACGGTGCTAATTACAATAAGTTCTTACCAGAGCATCAGGGCTATCTCAATCAGGTTTGGGCAGTCGGTGTCCCTAAAGCAAAGGTTGCATCGGGGGAATTGTATGAACCAGTGGGCGTTCCTACGCAGGCGTATACCAGTTATTGTCTTGATAAGGAGCTTGCATCTAAGCTCTGGAATTGGACTGAAGAGGAGATAAAACCTTGGCTGTAATTGGAACTTCTATATTTAATAGACTGTCGAATAAATGCAGTTATGTGCTTAAAAGAATTATTAGCATAACTTCTACCACAAGATCTTGCATGTGAAGTATGAGATATCTACGAACAACCAGAGTGTAACTTAATAGCTAGAGGTAAATCAAAGCCCTAAATCTTTTTGTTATGTGTATGAAGCATCATTATATCCATATGCCCTTTCATCGTAAGGGGAGATTCAGGTACTAGCAGCACGTAAACCATTCTAAGCCTTCCACTGGTCAGCTATCGGACAGCGAGTATACACAACACAACCATAGTTTTGCTCAAACCAGGACCGTAAATATACCGGTATCGACGCACACCTCGTAGGAGTCTTCTTTATCGTCAAACTTCATAGCTATCTTGAGTTTAGAAAGTTTCCGCAACGCTGTAAAATTAGATGCAAGCTAGGTAACAAACTGAAACCCTTTTCTTTTGCTTATCTGGAATTGCCACGACAAACGGTTTCTTTGAATAGCTAATCTGCGGTTACAGCACAATTTTCTTTGAGGATACGGCGGCAAGTTCTATCGCTACCTAACTAGGTTCCTTACCAAGTGGGTGAAATAAAACATAGGATTTCGATAATTCAGCACTGAATATTAATACAATATCATAATAAATAACCTAGTGCAGAATACAATATCAAGCTGAATAGTATAGAATAAGTTAGTATTTTCTTATTATTCTCTTCTTATCACAACTAGTTAATAAATGAGGCCCTGTCTCACGTGGAAAAAGGTTTGGTATGCCACATTTTATTCCATCCACGCTTACCTTAACTACCTAGGTAGATACCTCCTTCCAAGTGGGTGATGTACACGTACATACTAAGAGAGGTCTTTCCTTCCGAGGAGCGCACTGCTTGTAATTGTAGATGTATCGGCAGCGCGCAATCTATCTTTTCCTCTGTTTCTCGTTGTCCATCTGAGATTGTTTTTGACTGTACAGTACACCGTTTCTACCCGAGCAATGTAAGTTCGGCCACCTGGACAGGCTTCAAAGCCAGATGTCTTCTTAGTCGAACTTAGCTAACTGGGAACCGTGTATAAATAGGCGCCGCCCCCACGATACAATGCCGAGTCCACACCATCTATCTGGGAACATTCTACTTGCAATGGCAGACGAAGCAGCACTAAATGGCACGGCGCCAAGTCCACATGAGCGTGTATGGTACTATTATGGTTTGCCGAGTCGTCCTAAGCTTATTGCCCAGTCAAATGCTACCTCTACCCCATGGGTAGACTTAGACGATGTAAGTGAGCCGCCAATTAAGATGCTGTTTCCAGCATCACGACGACACCCTATCGCGCCGCTGTGGGAATCCAGCACTCTCAGCGAGGTAATCAAAGACTCTCTTCGCGGTATCGACCGGGTTACGATCGACATCCTCCGTGTGGGTTATACAGAGATAACCTATCACTCTCGCGATCTAGAGAAGCGTCATACCCTTTTAGTCTCTGTCATTCCGGACTCGATATCCTGGCGACGCGCGCATGCTGCCGTCATGGCATGTCGAGCTACTCTCCAACGGTATGGCATAAACGATGTTCACTGCGAGATAAAAGAGTCCCAGCTCAATATGTCCACGCCACCAAATATGGAACCGTCTTTAAACCAACCATCGCCAACCGCAGTACCGTTGAATTCTCCAAGCCTAATCGCACAATTTGAGCAAGCTGGCGATCGTTCTGATATTTATGGTCGCACTATGCTATCAGAGTGTATAGAAGCATCGATGAATGCCTTCCAATATCCTAGTGTCCAAGGAACGAAAGGCCCATACATCCGAAGAACAGATACAGGGGAAATTATGGCAATAACATGCAGGTACGTTGTTTTAAGGGAGTAAAACCCGAACATTGATCATCAAATCAGCGCTGGTGTACATTGGACTGTTATGCAGCCAGGCAAGTGAGTGACATTGAAATTGAGACACGCAAGCAATAAGCTGCTTATTCTCATATTTGCGACCGGTATTGTCGGATAATTGAATCCTAATAATAAATAATACTGTACTTATTATTATTTTCTTGTATTTTTATACTACTAAAATTCTGTGTTTGCTGTAGGAAGTAGTTGAGTAAGAACCAACTCTTCCATTGGGTATCTCATTCCTCCTGTCACCCACTTGCTAGGGTATGTAAGTTGTCGCAGAAGGAATTGTATTTGACCTCTTTTCTTTTTCTCTTTTCTCACATAATCACAGCGAATCCTTTTTGTTTAGTGCTTATGGTTGCTATTAAGCTTTCGGTCCAGCGTAGTCGTCAGAGTGACCAAAAGAGTTTATGAGGCTTGTCTCTAGACTAAATGACAAACGCAAATGAGATAGGCCGTAACGAGGAATGTTGAATCATCAGCTGGAATCTTCAATCACGTGTTTGAACTTCTAACGTAGGTGGGTTCTCTGTCTAATAGAGTTTACCAGGAAACGAAATCGTAGACACAGCAAAACTCTACAACTACACAAACAACAACGTCACAACGACAATCGATTAGACTCAATGGCAACAACGTTCACCTTCTTCCCTAATCTGCCCATGGAGATCCAGTTGAAAATCTGGAAGCTCGCTGCTTGCAATGTAGCTGAAGGCGGCCAAGAGATTCACGTTCAGCTCCATTGCCATCTTCAATCAACGTCGCACTCATGCTGGACCACAACGAGGCAGTTTTGTGGACACCACGGCGCATGCCCAACGTACCTGCATGGCGCCAGAAACGTCTCATGGGCTACGTTTTGCCTATCTGACGGTTACTTTCTTCAGTCAGAAGCGAACGCTTCCATATCAGATCCCTTCACACAGAGTCAAATGGCTAGCCTAAGCCTTGCTTGCCGGAATTCACGAGGCGCTCTGCACCGTCAATTTCAAGGAGAGATGCGTATTTACCAGAGCAAATGGCGTCGAGGCGTCCAAGTCCGCACACTGCGATGCAATCCCAAGAAGGATACCTTGGTCCTCACAGACGTCCATATGCCAAACAGCCGCCACATTCAACCAGGCATAAGACCCTTGACAGCCGATGCCATGTCACGAGCCGAAAGCGCCAGGATAGCTCGGACATTCCCACAGGACCCTGACAAGTTTGCTGCGTTCAGAAGCATTCTATCCAGCTTTCGAACCTTTGCCATTCAACAAGATGGACATCGCGGCGATACAAGCTCGGAGAAAATCGATCTCATCAACACCGGCATGCTTATTATGCTCTTCATGGAGTCCATCAAGGGGCTGTATATATGGCCCAACCCTCATCTGTGGCCCGAGGTCTGGAAATCTCCCCGCCGAATCGAGGACGTGAAGCTCTGGGATTATGAGGATGAATTGGGCAGACGCGAGTTCCGCGATGAGGTGGACTATTTTCTTCGAGAGTACGACCAATGGGTTGATGTTCACAATGACCACTTTACCCCTGGTGGCGAGCACTGGGCGCCCCGCCCGAGAAAGCTGAGCCGTATTGGGTGTTTTGTTTGGAGTGCCTAGAAGGATCAGAAGTGATGTCCTGATTCCTAGACGCTTTGGTGAGCCGCGACGAAGCTAAAGGGGAGCGTAGGAGCTGCGAGCAGGGGTGGATTTTATGCCCGGATGTCGATGGGTTTTAGCGCCCTCTTTGTACAGTTCGTGAATCTTCAATCAGGACCAGAAGTTATGATACGATATTATGTTAACAACGTAATGAGGTATCTTGTGAATTCTTCAACTCCGAAGAAGCTTTGAGTCATTGTATCAACTCTTCTTATAATCAATCCCCCACTCATCGATATCGGACTACAACTTACATCTCTTCAAGACGAAGCAGGTGGAAGCGGCCCGCGTAACTTATCCGGAGTTGATCCGTCACGGTTCTCCTTGGCTCATTTCGTCGTCAAATACGGTGAATGCGTTAAAGGAGTCTTAGCTTCCTTCTTTCTTCCTTTAACCACCCGAACGACTCCAGAAACATCGCGACTCGAGCAATGGGAGGCTTTGACGTCTATTGCGCTATTTGCGGCGGAGGCCTTCGAAAGCCGTCTTGGACTGTTGAAGAAGACGACGAGGATTCTGAGACTTATACCTACGACCCTGCCGTGTTGCCTAATGATGAGGACCCTGAGCTGGGTTGGCTGGAAGACGTCAGGCTCATTGGGGAGAACTCCGAAACCAGTGCAGAATGCCCGTGAGGATAATGCCAAAATCATAGCCAATTGGCCAAATTTGCTAATCAGATTGATCAGTATCTGGGTTTCGGGCCCGGCTCAGGAGGACGACTGTGGATTCTTCCATTACGAAATCGGAAGCAACCCTGATCCTGCGCTACTGGATATAGACGAGCCTGGAACCGCGGTTGCGTAAGTGTAGCCTGTGATTCACGGGTGAATGCATTGAAGCTTACATATACTCCAGGTATTGGGGGACTGACGACTTGCCTCAATGTGTGCCCTTTCACACCCAGTGTCGTGAGCTTCTCAGTCACTTTTTGGGCATCTCTGAAGTGGACAAGACTCTTCTACATGCTGTTTTCGGCAAGTTAGCTCCGGATGATGTGTCGTCTGGTTCGAGCGGTCTCAATCTTGACTATGGTGACATATCCGAGTATATGGGACAGTACTGGGAAGTCCAAAGAGGGGGAGAATATTATGTGTTTAACCCGATCCAAGTCAAGGGGTTGAAGCAACTATACGACAGCCTCCCTCTTCAGAACCAAGATCATGCTGGCGAAGTCAAAGTATACCGAACGGAAGGCGATCCATTCACAAAATTGCCTGCTGATATACTACTCCTCATCATGTCTCAATTTCCAGACATGAGCCCCGTCTTGGAGTTACGGAAGTCCTCCCCAGCCTTTGCGAACATCCAGCTGGGCAGTGGGTTTTGGAAAAAGCGTTTCCACGACGACATGCCGTGGCTCTGGGATATGCCGGTATTCCCGGACTTGGACATAGCTGACATCGATTGGAAGCAAGCCTATCACAGACTGGACCTTGCTAGTCTGTGTTCCTCAGAAATAAAAGACAAGGTTTTTGGACTATGCAACAGACGGAGGATCTGGGAGCAGATGTGTCCTAACTTTCTCAAACCGTACACTGAGCTGCAGTCCAATCTGTTAGCTTGGGGTGCGATGGAACCGCCCGTCCTGAGAGATGCTTATGAGCCTGAGGCCAGGGGTTGGGGAGGGCCTGGAAACTATCCTTGGAAGCCAACAACTGAAACCTTGTTCGACATGTTTCATGAGCTTCCTGATGCAAGGCCCACCATTACGGCTGACTGGACAGATGAAGGATATCTTGTCGACCTCCATGCTCGAAAGGAAAGAGATCTCCATGCGATCACAGCCAAAGATAAGAGGGACATGGTAGCCGTTCCTGATGATGACTGGCTTACAGGCTTCATTATCACCACTCGCGAGGTCGGTGTTGAAGGGGGGCAAAATATCCGACGCATTTTTGGTCTTGACATTCTCTTCGCAAAGCAGCTCCCAGTCCAACTAGGTTCGTCCGAGGGCGATAAACGTCTCTTCTATGTGAAGGAAGAAAACTTCGTCGTTGCGCTCAAAACGTCTCGTAGCGATGATGGTCTTTTGGTTCAACTCGGGCTTATTGAGCAACCGTTGTCATCTGCTGAAGAGAGCTCGCGAATCGTAGACACTCTCAGGGACAATTACAGCACTTCCACAATAGAGTATCCGTGGTGGAGAGAACTTCCACCTACACATGTCCGATTATCTGAACCCAAAGTGAACGAGTTCAGAGTTTCCGGTTTCAAAGATCAGGCTCCGATGGACCTTTTAATCCTGGGAACGTCGGACGAGGAACTGGCTGATATCACATCCATCTCTGTTGATATCTGCCTTGGGGGGATTGAGGTTGCCTACGGTCATCAGGCAAGCCGTAAAGTAGGTACCCGGCATCAAGCTATGAAGAGCCTGAGTATCGATGGCAAGGGTGGGGAGAGGATCGTGCTGGCCTATGCCACTTTACAGGATGAGCCCAACTCTCTGACTATTCTCACAAATCGAGGTCGCACATTGGCCGTTGGGCGATCGTCGGGCGAGTCTGGCCGATTGGATGTCATGGATAACGAAGTCCAGCTGGAAATCTGCGGATTTTACGGTTGTTGGCAGTCCGTCGGCAATGATCCAAGTGATATAATGCTTCGGAGCATAGGCACCGTCGGTTCAGTGGATCTCGGTTACGTCGACACAGATACTCTGCCGGCCGTCCCAAGGGATTCTAACAACTACACCTGGGAGCCTTCCATGTTGCCGTCAAACTTAAGAGAGTCAGGGGCCGTATTCGGGTCGCGTGACGACGCCAGCATCCGGCTACCGATGGCCAGTGTTGTCAGTAGGATTGACTGCAGTCGGCCGCTGACGGAGATACGGGTGACCTTGACTCACAACAGTGGTGATCCCATCCTAGCCCCCATCACAGCTATCACTTTCAAGTATGTTGATGGTGATGAGGAATCCGTTGGCCCCGATAGATTTCCCGAGGCTGCAACCTGCCTTGGGTGTAAGCTGGGGTCGAGTGTTCGAGAACAACTCGACTTGGTGCCGCATTACCATCAGCAGACTTGGAAGGTCGATGGGAAGAAGTTGACAAGCTTGAGAATCTGGCGTCACAGTTGTATGAGCATTGGTGCAATACAGTTTGTTGTCGAGGGCCAGGTAGAGAGCCCAGTCTGGGGATATTGGCAAGTCGACACCAGTGCGTTGCAACTTTCTGAGGTGCGATTCGTAGGCGATGGCCGAGGTAGGGCTGTTGCGCTCAAGATGTTCTTGGGCAAACTTACACGGGGTGGTTACCGTGATGATGATGTTATTGTTGGGATACAGGAGCTGGTGCCCTCTTACACTGTTGAGGTACGATCTCGCGAATAGCAGACAGGAGTAAGACAGTATACTAATCAAAATACAGCTCAGAAATCAAATTGATGGAATATTGATGGCTTGTCGAACGGTTTTAGGTAGTCTGTAAACCCGGTACCATGTAGTAGAAAATGATCATTGTCCAGCGTTGATAGAATATCGAGGAACCGGCAAGAATAAACAAGACAGCAATTTGTCAGGTGGCAATACACCGAATATGCACTAGCTGGCAGCACCTAATGAGGCCTTTGATGTAACTGATAGCGCTGTAGCCAGACCACTAACTGGGGCAGTCAGCACGTGTTCCGCTTCGTCATCAGCACTTGGTGATGGCTGCCTTGTCCGTCCATCACGTACAAATTCACGGTGAGAAATGAACCTATCAAGCTCACAGACAGAACCCCTGGCCCATTTCAAATGAAGCAGTGTAGCGGCTTTGTAGGCCTGCATGTGTGATTTCTCATTCTCCTTCGTCTCAGCGCGTGTCCCAACCTCTTTCGAGCAGAGTAAGAGTCCGATATATCCAGACACCACAGAGGCCAGTCGCCACGATGCCTGAACATGACCCTGCGGTATTATCCTATTCGCATCTGTCGGACTTCCCTCGCGCTGATAATGCCCTACACACCCTGAAAAAAGTGGCCTCCATGGTGAAGCCAATAATGAGAGCACGAGGGTGGAAGGTCAAGCAACTCGTTGAGTTCTATCCAGAGCAGCAAAATCTTCTAGGTACGTCCAGAGCAGAGTATAATTCTCGCATCCCATCCCCACACTCACCCTGGCTTTATCAGGCCTCAACGTCAATAAAGGGCAGAAGGTATGTCTGCGCCTGAGATACCCCGGCGACCGCGACCAGTTCATGCCATTTGAATCCGTCGTCGATACGATGCTCCACGAGCTCTGCCACATCGTCCATGGACCTCATAACGAACAGTTCCACGCCCTGTGGGATCAGCTGCGCCAGGAGCAGGAGGGCCTGATCATGAAGGGCTACTCAGGCGAAGGGTTCCTCTCCCAAGGCCAAAGGCTCGGGGGCAGTAGTGTGTCTCCTCTGGAGGCCCGCCGACTGGCTCGGCAACAGGCAGAGAAGCGCCGTGCCCAGGGTCAAGGAACCGGGTTCGGGAGACGGCTCGGGGGCAGTGGTGTAGTGCCAGCTCGTAACATGAGGCAGGCCATCGCAGCCGCTGCAGAGCGAAGAAAGAAGACCATGGAGGGTTGCGGGACCCAGCGGCTGACGGAGAAGGAGATCTACGACATTGGCGACACTGCCACCAAGAATGGGTTCCGCACACAGGCAGAGGAGGACGAGGCAAATGAAGTGGCGATTGCCCAAGCGTTGTGGGAGCTCGTTCAAGAGGACAAGGCCAAAGATCAGGCAGGTCCATCGAATAACCGGTCGGTAGCCAGTCCATCTGTGACCAAACAACCAACAACAGCCGAGGCTACCGAACCCAGTCAGCGCCAAAACAAATCTTGGGGCGGGGGATGGGTTTGCAATATCTGCACACTGTTTAATCAGCCAGAGTTTCTGTGTTGTGATGCGTGTGGGACAAAGCGTTCTACTGATAACCACTCCGATACTTCGGAATCATCAGCATCCAGAGAAAAGAGAGCGAGAAGCCCGGAAGTCATTGATCTCACAGAAGATAGCCCGCGGCCCAAGCCCAGCGCTGCCTCTGGGTCTACCAAAAGAGCAGTACCCGTGAGACAACAGAAGCCTCCAGAGCCAGCCGTTTCCCAGTTTTGGATGTGCGGATACTGCGGCCAAGTAATGGAGCGCCAATGGTGGACGTGCTCAAGTTGTGGGCAGATGAAGGAGAGTTCGAAGTGAAAATACCATTTGATTTTTAAGAACAGCGAATCTCGGCCGCAATATTAACGAATTACGAGAGTATCACAGTGTCACAGTGTTCATCTAGTGATGTGGGAGACTTGGGATAAGCACCAACTGCATTTGTGAGCTTTGTGAGCTGTGTAACTGTCAAGGCAGAATAGCCGTGTCTTAATTTGGTGTCTTAATTTCTTGCACCAGTCAGCATTAAATAACTGCCAGACGAACTACGCCTTGATTATCTGTGAAATCCAGTGACCTTACGACGCACTTGAGAAATGCAGAGTGAAATGCTGTAGTCTCGCTAAGAACGCTAAGGAGATGGGATGGAAAGTGTATGGAGGATGAGAAGACTACCTAGGTAGTATCTAAATTTGAAGGAAGCAAAGTAGCTCTCCATATAACACAATGATCCATGTTCAATAACTTAAAACAAGGGGCTTATTAGGAGGAGTCCACTGAGTTACAGTGAAGTGACATTGAGTGAGAGTATGCGTGTGGTTTGATCCAATCAGTGTTTCGAATCCTCAGGCAGCGTTGACAAACAATAATAAACACGTCACTGAAGACTGAAGTACCTTTATTGGGCACCTAAAAACACGAAAATATCGCTGCGACCGCGCCGCGTTCTCCTCCTCTCATTCACAACCACCTGCGTACGTACCCAAAGCGCGCCGTGTTCAACATTCATGACAAAGCAGCGGCTTTTCATCAGAAGCCCACAGGTCTTGCGCGAGGCACTTATCTCTCGAATCGGAAGCAGAACAGTCGCATCGAGACACCAAAGGTCAACTCGTTCCTTGCCTAACCTATCAAGGACCAGCATGGAGGATTCCGAGAGGAAGAACGAATCGTGGGCTGAGGGTACAATCCGTCAAACCCCTGTTAACGTCTCTGAAGCCTCAAAGCAGGCCGCGAAGATCGATGATTGCGTGGACTGCCAGGATGCGCGAGCCAAAGTCGATGATGACGCATCTGGCGTGAAGGAATCAGTCGAGGATGACGCTTCCAGCGTGCAGGAATCAGTCGAAGATACATATCTTCCAGCCGAAGACACCCCCAACCCGCCCGATGGTCCCAACAACCACAACGGACTAATCATCACTGTCGCCGGCGTGGCTCTGGGTGTAGCTGCCACTCCGCTGGTCATGCCAGCGGTGCTTGGGGCTCTTGGTTTCAGCGCTGTCGGACCTGTCGCAGGTAAGATTCCCCCCTCTACTATTCCGAATGCCTTCATGCACTGACCATTGTATTACAGGTTCGGTTGCCGCAGCTTTGCAGTCTGCCGGGTGGGCCGGGGGAGTATTCAGCGCAGTCCAGAGTGCTGCGATGGGTGGCTACGGAGTTGGAGCCGTGACGGGTGCTTTCGCTGCGGCTGGAGGAGTTGCGGGTGGTGCCGCAGGTGCTGCTGCAGCAAAAGCCAAGAAGTAAGCCCCGAAGGAGGGATAAGACTACGCAAGTCTGGAGAGCCGAGTTGGGGAATGGTCTCCTAAATCTATGAAATGTAACACGGCATTGTGCTCTCTCCGTTGGCCTGAGCAATAATAGAAAGCACAGTGAAGGGCGATAGAAGGTCCTCAGAGGACCAATCTAGTTCATAGGCCTCCAAACCTCGGTTTAAACAAAACTATTCTACCTAAGCACTTGCATCTTCCATTATTACACAATCGTAAACACTGAAATAATAACCACTTCCTCCGTTCAGAGACCACTATCGATTTGGGCTGGAATGTTAGTCCCCGTCCATTCAGCCCACTCACGACATGTCTCAGCAACAACGTTGGGGACTCTCATCTTCGCAACTTCTTCAGGGTTGGTTAGGAACTGGATGAAAAAGCCTGCAGATACATGCCATGCAATGTGACAATGAAAGGGCCATACTCCTGATTGAAGGTATCTGTCAGTGGCACTGAGCAATCTTCAAGGGAACAATGGATGTAAATGCATACCTGGATTAGCGGCAGCATCAAATTGAATTACCAGATGCCCATCAGGCCGTAGCTGGTACACATCACGACGAATAGGGTTGTGTGGGTTGATGATAGTGCCATCCCACGGTCCAAGGCCTTCATGGAGAATGTACATGTTGAACCCGTGTATGTGAATTGGGTGACTAAAGACGTTAGTTATGATCAAGCGAGCGTGGTGTAAACATTGCTTACGAGGTGTTTGAATTGTTAATCACATTGACTCTGACACTCTTGGAGTCCTTCAAGTTTCGAACATTCCACTCTTCTTCAAAGGTCAGGTTCCCAAGATTAGCCAGTAACAATGTTGGGCTATTGTAATTCCCTCGGAAGGAAACTCCATCCATAAACCAAAGCGTCACTCCAGACCCATTGACAAACAACTCGATTGGCATCTCAAGATACAAGTCGTGGTCTGGAACCCTCAACTCCATGACGGGCGTAGTAATATCAAGATCATCGTTCGCGCATGTCCCTGGATCGGGAACGTTCCATGCTTGCGATGCCGGTTCCAACTTATCATCTGTGTCGTCATAGTAGATAGCTGCTACTGCATCTGGGCTGTTATTGAAACTACAGATTGTAGAAACATTGCTACGCATCCAATATGCGTCAAGCTCTCCGTTTGCAGTAACAACAACGTCTGTACGCTGGCCAATTCCTAAAGTGACAACTTTAGTCTCGTAAGGGTTGATGGCGACGAAGTCATTTGAGACAACTTTGAGAATGTGCCCGTCGATTGAAAAACGCTGCAAGCCCTCTGAGCCGGAATTGATCAAACGTAGAAGGTGCTTCTTTCCCCTCTTGAACCGAAATTTCGATATGCCAGCATTGTCAAAGCATGGTGGCGTACTATTGCGTCGAGGCAGCAAAGTAGAGCAGTTGAAGTTCATCTTTCCATTGATCAGATTGTTGTCGGCATAAACGGGGGCAAAATTAGTATTTGTCATGGTCTGTTCAACTAAATCGAAATACTCGGCATGGTACCAGTCCGAGAGCATGACAGGGCCGATATCAATATCATACTGCTCGAGCTCAATGCTGGGCGGTCCATGGATGACGATCGGGCCTGTAAGACCTCCAGCATATTGGGCAGAATAATGAGAGTGGTACCAGCTTGAACCGTAAAGGTTGGCGTGCAGCTTGTAAGTGTAACTCTTCCCAGGGGCAATAGGACACTGGGTGACGGCTGGGGAACCGTCCTCCCAAGGTGTGCCAGTTTGCAGAAACCCGTGCCAATGTAAGGCTACGCCCTCGTCTTCGATTTGGTTATGTACAGTGACTTGGATAGTATCACCCCAGTTGGCCTCGATTGTAGGACCGGGAAAACCTCCGTTGATCATGAGAACTTCTCGTTGAACGCCATCTGGAGCAAGTTGTCCTCGGCTAATAGTGAAGTCATAGGCTCTAATTACTCCTGTGTTTGGACTTTCTTCATAGTAGTTAGTGTGACTATTCAACAGGCTCCATGGTGCCCCATTCGGTAGTGGGTTGTTCGTTAGAAATGCTGGTAGGAGGGGCGCCAGTAGAGTCCCGAGAAGGGATAGCCTATCAAAGTGTGTCAGTTTATGTGAATGAGACATCTTGAACGTCCAAATATCCATTCATTACCCATTGGTTCTATTTTGATGGGAACCTCGACCAGAGTTTCCCAGGCTGGACCTTGGACCTGGTATCCAAGGAAATGATCGACTACCCATCTCTCGAAAGGTGGAACAGACTTCGATGGCAAGTGTGATTCAGTCTTGGTCGGTGACTGTTGGGAGAGTCAATTAGTCGGCACATGAGGGCGCAAATGAGACACATCAATGAGTTTTAAATATTTTCATCTTGTACTTCATTCAAGCGCTCGAACCTCACGATGCAGTGCGCTCTACTAAGCTGATCACAGCACCAAAATCTCCCGGGTCCCGGCATGGATACGTCCAGCCGTTTATTGCAAACGTCATGCAGGTTCTGCGACCTGATATGCGGCAATATGTTGTGGTTGACCAACAGCTAGGATGTGCCTTGTTGGTGGATAGCAATGCATATGCTGTCATGGGGCCTGACCTCGTACATGCATTCCGTAGATCCGCGATGTTGAGCCAAGTGCTGCGTTCTCGTAATTTCGCATCTATGGGCATGGTCAATCAACCTTCCTAGGGAAGCACTGGTGCTCCTTGAAACCTTTCTTGCACTACTCCGAGCCCCTTGGCTCCGGGGCTTTTCACCCAATGTCTATGAATATCTAGAAAGCCCTCATAAGCATATACCTTCAATACGATGCCACATACAATTTACGACCAGGTTTTATGCAGGGGTGGGAGAGTAATTCCGAAGTTGACAGTGTTGTGTAACGCGAACAAGTCACACGCCGCGCCATCTCGGTGTATTTAATATTATCACGAGTTTCAAGAACGCATCGTCCTATCCCCCTTTCTTTCGGCCATAAGTTATTTTGCTTAATTGAGAACCTTGCGTTTCTCAAATCCAAAAAAGCTCGCACTCCGATGATGGCAAATCATACCATACCCACTACCACATCACAAGAGATACAATAAAAATACAATGGAGTGTATGAGATGCTCGGTTAGGTATGCATTAAGTGAAGTCCACTTATTCCTAGTCACGTTCTCTTCGGTAACTGCTCAGACCAAATGCCCGTCGGTAACACCGGGTTAGAAAATGCACTCATCGGATATCGGAACAATCTAAGCGTTAGCACTTTGCCAAGCTATCTCTCCGAGCCTTGTTTTCGTTCTAGGTTGTCTGTGGCTTCATTTATTAAGACACACATACTCGTAGGTTTTCGTCATGATATGCTGCTCTTCTTACCATCCGTCCAGCCGCAGTCTTGGCATTTTCCCAATAGGGAATCCCTGTAATCTCATCTTCAGACGATGCATATACGAGCTGTAAGTCTGTCTCTCACGCCTTCATGTGCCACCCCAAAACCCCGGGACACAGGCTGAGCTGGAGCGCCGCAGCGGCTGACCATCGATTCGTTACACTTGTTGCCCAGCTGCAATGCACATGCTTGTATGACGACATGATGTGAATTTCCACTCACCCCTTTATTGCTTGCCATGTTCCTAAGATCTGAGACAATGGTCGGAACAACAGTTCTCGGCATGGCAACTTTAATTTGGTGTTTATTACCACTCTCAGCATCAGACTACTCCAGGCATCTAAATCACCATTTACGTTTACTTAATAGAAAATAAGACGCGGAAATTGTATACGTCCTTGAGAAGCTTCTAATATTAACGCGAGCTTTACATGATATTTCCGCATGTATCTATGATTTTCAAATAATGGTCAGCCACTACTCGTATTCAAGTAAGCTTGTTTTTCTCACAGTCTGCCATTCCGAACGCCAATCTAACTTATACGATACATCCTCCACCTGAAGACATGACGTAAAGTCTTCTCAGCTAAACCTTCTGAGGCCAGATCATCAGTTGTGGCGCTAAATGAGACAAATTATGGAGAAAGAACTCCAAACCTGTTGAGCAGGACATGGCACAGCTGGTTCTTTGGGTTCAAAGACCATGGATCTTCTGAACGCCCTTGTTGTGGCGAGAACATATGACGTTCGTGCTTACATTGAGAGGTGGCCTTTTCTCGCCACGTCTGGTAGGTGAATGATAGACTGAGAGTTACCGTCGCTAGCCGACCTGGAAAACCATTCAGCCTTATTTTTTACACTATTTACTTCTAACGAGTGATTATTGTTTGGGTTTTAAAGGTCCGGGCTTTTTGTTTTCTATGGGCGGTTTCCAATCCTAAAATATATTTCTCGAAGCTTCTAGGACAATCTGTCTTTAAGTCAAGAAAGACTTGCCCATCTCCCATTTCTAGATAGTGTAGAAGGCTGGATTATATCAACCATTTCCTACCGGCTCAACTTCCTTGAACTTGTACCTAGGCAATGCGGGAATGATCTGACTAGAAGAACCCCTTGCGTTAGATCTCCACATACTCCTCTAATCCCTCGAGTTGAGCATAACCCTCCTTTCTTGGTGACCTGAACTCTTCATACTTTTTCCCGGCATTCTACTAAAGTCTTCCAACCAAAGAATCCAGCCATTTATCAGTCGATGAGAGCGGCGATCTCACCGTCACAGACAATACAGTTGGATTGTGTGAAGTCGATGTGCGTAAAAGACCAAAGTCGAGGTACTGGCTTACATTATTACCAACGCCAGGCATACATTGCTGGAGAATAATATCTCTACCTAAGAGCTACGGGTATATTCAAAATAAAAATGAGCTTTAAGCTAGGACATGACAATAAAATGAGAACTTTACACCAATTGCAACATCTGAGGTCGTGACAATACGCTCATTCTAAAAGTAAGTGAGCCACAAAAATAGAATTCAGATAGACCAAATCGACAATTTTATAAGGGCAGCAAGTCATTAAGTGTGTTTTCGATGCTGCTGGCGTGAAGAGGCATTGGTCGTGAGTGGTACCGGGTAGGGCTTACAAGTTGATCCTCATGCTTGGCAGGGGGTGACTAGGTGGATTGATTTCGCGTCGACTGTCTCTTGATATAAATTTCATGGTTTTCAAGCCAAGTGTAACTTTTTTCTGTTCTTCGGACACTCGGTGTCCGGGGAGAGAGGCTCCAATGGCTCGATCTCCCATTGAGTTCGATATCACTAATTGATATTGCTACTCACAACAGAGACGTCGATTTCCCAGTGATCTTGCCACTAAGCTGAAATATTCCCCTATTAACACTTGATTATGTATGCTGGAGTGCTAAATCATTTGATCATGTAGTCATGATCGGAGCCAAGCGCACTTCCACCAGTTGTACGCAATGACCAATCAATAAGGCATGAGCTTACGAGCGCGATCCCTCCCCAAACTTCAAATATCTCGTGTTTGCGATGGATTAATTATGGCCAAGGCTTTTCGGTCAATAGTAATCCGCGAGTGATGATGCAGGGGGTCAATCAGAGGGCTTCAACTCCGACCCCGGCTCTCCGGGAATTCGAGGCAGCCCATATTGTATCGACAATAATCTATTAAATGTAGATTTTATACCACGATTTTTCTATTTTCCGGCATCACTCTCAACAGCGAATCTAATATAAATGTTTTTCGTAAGTTCGTCAGGTCGGCGGTTGACGTTTCTCGTATAGCCCGAATCCCGGTGATCTGCAACAAAAATAAGCTGACCGGGGGACCTCGCGCGAAGCTACCCAATTGGTAAACGTTCATAATGCTAGTTTCACATTGGTTGATGCTCACGAAAGCTATAAGAGGCACTGCTCCTATTGAATTGCGGTTTCCAACTCCGTAACTCTCCCTCATCATTAATTCGAATCGTCTGAACCATGCGGCCCCTTCTCCTCTCCCTCTTCGTCACGCAGCTGCACGCCGTGCTGCTGCCCGGACCCCCCGGCCCGTACTCGGTGTCGTATGAAGCTTACAGCCTGACCGACAACTCCCGCCAGGATCCGTACGCGCCTTCAGACAACACCCACAAACGAAGAATCATGGTGTCGACTTTTATTCCGGTGTCGAAGTGCGATTGCAAGTCTACGGAGCTCCCCTACATGCCCCCCAACTCGACGGCAGCTTGGGGACAATACGCGGCTTCGATGGGCTTGCCAACCAATGTCGTGGAGGATTTCCAAATCGAGTACTGCCAGTCTTCCAAGCCGGCACCTAGGAAATATCCAGTGGCAATCTTCTCCCCGGGCTTGACCTCTTCGAGGCTTGTATACGGAGTTCAAGCCAGGGCGCTCGCCAGTTTGGGATACGTTGTCATCTCTGTGGATCATCCCTATGATTCCTTCTTTGTTGAATTTCCCGATGGAACATCCGTGCAAGGCACTATTCCGTTTAGCCCAACCGATGCAGAGGCTGATGCCGCTACTGAGGTTTGCATTATACTGACAAAGACCCCGCCAAAAGATTGTCACTAACTATCAATAGGTACGAGCTGCGGACGTGTCTTTTCTCGTCGATGCACTACACGGCTCAGCTGACGGGGTCTCATTGCCGACTGAACTCATCGGGAGCATTGACCTGAACAAGATATTCGCCTACGGCCACTCAATGGGAGGAGCAACTGCCGCGGAAGTAGCATTGCTTGACAAGCGCGTTCTGGCCGGGCTCGACTTCGACGGGCGTCCATGGGGCACAAGCGCAAAGACCGGCTCCGACAGACCCTTTATTATCGTAGGAAGCGAAGCAAACGATGCGTTGTGGGCACCCTACTACGAAAGGTTCACGGTTCCGAAGATGCAGGTCACCATAAAGGGGTCGACGCATCTATCCTTCTTCGACCTGCCCTACCTGTTTGGCGTGCGCCCGCTACCTGCGGAATATGACGAGGTGATCAAGCAACTGGGTGGAACGATCAAGGGTGCTCGGATGCTGGAGATCGAGATGGGCTATATCCAGGGTTTTGCAGACCTAGTGTTGAATGGGAAGACGGAGCAGCTTCGATCCCTCAACACGACGTTCACTGAGGTTATAGTCAGTGAGGATAACCTATCCGCCTAGATTCTCAATGCTGGTAATAGAAAATAGATTTCATCGACTCAAAAAATAGTTAGTTTCTACGCTATCGAGGCCCTTGCCAATTAGTTAGTTCCAGAACCTTTTATCCAGGTTTCGAAAGTTAGCATGGCAATCCTAGGTGCCGACAAATACACGATACTATCAACAGTTTCCAATAAAAATGTGGTTTTGCGCGAAGTATCGAAATTCCAAATGGTTTCTTTTCCAAAGAGTTCAAGTTGTCACAATGCCAAATTCAACATCGAAAAGTAAGAAAGACACCAAGCCTCTATAGAGAATACAATATGAAAAACCTCGTCAGCGCTAGTCCACACGCTTGCTACGCAGTTTCGTTGCCCTTCATTAGATACAAAAGCGTCTCATTTCGTCAATTTTCCCAATTTTTTTCAGGTTTCCGTTTCCCCGTCTGCTCAGCCGCTTTACAGAGCACCCAGAATGCCGCCGCCGCCACCGCCTCCGGCGAAGCCCTTGATGAAGGACTCAAACTCGGACCTGTTGCGGGTCTGGATGTAAATGGACCCAGGGCCGGTGAACCGGCAGACGAGACCCTCACCAGACTTCAAGCTGTTCAGGGCGCTGCCGCCTCCGCCACCGGCTCTCTCAATGGCATACTGACAGCTCCAGGCCACAAGATGCCCGTTGTCCACAATATGCTGCTCACCAGGTTGAAGCTAAGGAACAAGTTAGCAAACATTGAATCTCCAAGGAAGAAACCGCTTGGCGGAAAGCAAAAACTCACATCAAGACGATCCACGGCACCGAAACTGGTCAGCCAGATGATACCCTGCCCCGTGAGCCTATACACGAACAGGTCCTCGCCGGAGAAGAGCGCCTTGCTAATACCCTGGGCCTTGGTCTCCCGCTTGACGTCGATGGTGGAGGCGAGGAAGGAGTCCTTGCCGATGGTCCAGTTGGTGCGGCCGTCGACGTGCAGGGTGATGATGTCGCCAAAGAGGGTCGGCCCGACGGCGACGCGCCCGGGGCCGACGTAGGTGGACTCGGACAGGTCGCTCCCCGTGATGAGCTTCTTCATGGAGAACTTGATCTTGCCCTGCAGCTGGATGGTGCTGGACATGTGGATCATGGCGCCGGCCTTGGACTTGACCGAGGCGCCCTGCTGGAGGGTCAGGGCGAGGACGGCGTTGGTGTCGCGGTGGGAGATGCTGTAGGTGCCGCCGGGGAAGGCGCCATTGTCGGTGGGCGAGATGGCGGCCTGCTGGGGAGGGTGCTGGAGCTGCTGCTGCTGCTGGGGAGGGAAGCCGGGGTGAGGCTGCTGGGGATGTTGCTGAGGGTGCTGCTGGGGCTTCTGCTGGAGTCCTGGATGCTGCTGCTGTGGCTGGCCCGGTGGCGGTGACATCTGCTGCGGGTGGTATCCGGGATGTGGCGAGGGCTGCTGCTGGGGATGCTGCCCATACTGTGGCGGCTGCTGCTGCTGTCCCGGCGGGGGGCCAGTGGGCGGAGGGGGGTAGAACTGCCCGGGCGGCTGCTGGTACGCCATAGTGTCAGGGGCTCAGGCGCCAAGGTTCAGGGCAAGGGGACGCTGGAATGGAGGGAGGGCACGCGACTGGCGCAGGACACGGCAGACAGCGAGGGCGTGAGAGATGCAGATGGAGGCAGCAAGCCCGTTTCCGCAAACTCTGGCCGCAGAATCTCTTTTAAATAGCACTGGCCTTTCCCTCACAGCCCAGCTGAAAGCACGTAGCCTGGTTCACGTGGCGCCCAAGAGGGTCTGCCCTTGGGCTCACCCGCCTCTCATTGGTTCCGTCTGCCAGCAGCTGAAAAAAGGCGAGCATCTCGAGGACGGGGTCTAATGCTGATAGTACGATGGTGTGGGCGGGCCATGGAATCTAGAGCCATCATCCATGCGGGGCGTCTCAGTATCGCTGCAGGGTGCTACAGCTGGTGTGGCCTAGAAGCAACGATCGCCGGTGATATTTTCTCTTTCTCTGCTTTATTCTTGTGACTCCTCGCTTGCCATGCCCGACTCAGTCCTTCCAAACCGACCTGTCACTCGTGTCCGAATCCCCTGTCCTAACCAACCGGTCTGCGCTCGCCTGCCATCGCATCACGTCCCAACCTGACTAGCTAGCCGTCGTCCAAGCATCCTTATCCTGAGCTAGGTAGACTTGAGTGCCACCCACTCCATTGCGGGGTTTTCAACTGGTCCGGGTGTTGCCACATTCCGACATGTGGTATCATCAAAAGAAGAAGCTTGTCAGCCGTTTCTGCATGTCCAACACGATCAACACGGTAGGGTGGTGTGAATGTCATTGGAAACGCGCCCAGTCGGGCAGAAAAAAAAAGCCCTGCAAAGAACCTTGGTGCTACCGTTCCATCAGATCGCTTGAGCTTAGCAATAGGCATAAAAAGGCAGAAATATGCCTTGTGTCAGCAATTAGCACCGCCACTGAACAAACGAAATTGCATATCCACCTCTCCCGAAGAGGGGTTCACTCTCTCCACCGGCGATCACATCGATTTAGAACTAGATAAAGCTTTCGAGCACGGGTTAAAACCTTGTCATCCGGTCCTTGAAGTAGCTGCCTGATCCCCACAAGGCCGATGATGTTGCATTGCGATCAACCATTTCTATTATTAATACGGCACTAAACGAAGAGACCGTCTACCAGAAGGAGAATGGCATGTCGCGCATAATGCTTGTTGCTACTTTAGAAGGATTGACGGTGAACGTGATCCACAAGCAGGCATCATCAAGGTGCTGAGAGGTTTCCCCCATTTCCAGAATCGGACTTCAATATTCTTCTCCTTGATAATATCTATATCTACCCACATCACAGGTATCCTCCTTTCTAACCATGCAAAGCCTTGTCACACATGTCCTTTACGAACAAAGATGTATTGCCCGCTATCGATTCTGTCAGAATAGACAACGGCGTAGCCTGGGGGAGTGAAGAAGAGTAGACGCTAAGTTGCTGTGGCCTTACAATATCCTATACGATATCTGTTTAATCAACAAATTCACGGTCGAAATCAACGTCTTCTTCTTCTAGGGGCATCCAGTCGTGTGGTCTGGTGACCTATCGCCGGTTCGAGACGTTTTAGGCGTAGTCTCTCGAAAGTCCTTGTCGCGAGGTTGCTTGCCTCTTGTCGCGGCTTCTCAACCAGCGCCTTGTCTCCTGGTCGGGTGGTAGTCATCTTGCTCGTCATCGGTCCTCGCGCCCCAAGGGGTAGACGAGTTAACTCGTCGGATAAAGAGAAGTCTTGTACTATATAGCAAGTCAAGGGCAAGGCTACAGCGACCTAGCATCTGCCCGTCTTCACTCCTCTATAATACGTTGTTATTTATTCTGACAGATTCCCAACTAGTGTCAGTGTCCATCAAGTATCAACAACTTCCTCGAAGACTCAACTGTTTAGCAAATCCATGTGAGGCCTCGCGCTAGGAGACAGTAAACGGCTAAGTAGGCCTCGCATTCACCGTCTTAGTCTCGATATTTGTCAACTTACATCGAGAGACAACCCTCAAAGGTTGAAAACCTACTTCTTTAGAATGTCGTTTCTATATGTCCCGGGCAGAACGGAAATTTAATCTCTTGAATTCGACTAATGCCTTGATAGACAAACACATCCATATCTTCTTCAGTCATTTATACTTCTATGGCTCTATCCATTTTGGACCCACAACATCTCGAACACTTCCTTCTTCGGAGTTCCTTGACTCTCTAGAACTGTCAACGTTCTCATTAACCACCGTCTTCAGGGGGTGGAAGAGTCCACATTCCCGTCCCGTATTTGAATCCATATAAGCTCCCGCTCTCACTCTTCAAGAAGACGAAGATGATCTGATAAGGCACCTTCGGTGATTCAAATCCTCGAGATCAAGCAAATCAGACAAACCGCTTTATAAACAAGAAAAGAAAATCATCAGAAAAAAGGACAAAATTGCAAGGTTCAACATCAAGCGACGAATAAAAGTTGGTTCATCTTCTCCAGCTTGACCTTAACCTTGAGCGTGGTAACCCTTATCCTTATCAGAGGCCGTTGGAGCTCAGCATCCATGTAAGCGTCATCTCAAGCCGTGATCCCAACCACGACCAAAGATGCCAGTCCAAACCAAGAGAACCATTCGGCATTATAAATCCGAATTGGGCGGAAACACAGTCCATATGTTATGTACTCGATATAAACATGGTGTCTTTCGTGTCAATTGCCCCAGAAACATGTAAGTATATACCACCGGCATATCGGCATGTGGATATTATAACAGACGCTCTTCGGCAGCCTCGGCAGCGGACTTTGGGGTTCTCCGCGTGGAATTCCCCAAAGCAACTGAGGGATTATCGTTGCTGGCCGGCATGCTGACGACGACAATGGCGATGCGGCCTTTTCCAGCGACCGGTGCCAAGAAACCACCTTGAACGGGGGTTCATTGTTTACTTGCTCGAGAGCGCGCACAGAGCTGCCTCTCCTAGTTGTAGTTGTGATTTGAATGAACAAGTCCTGGGAGTATCCTTTGGGAAAGTTGTCTTTGCCGACTCTAGTAATTGGGCCGATTCCTCCTCTGAGTCTTTCCCGTCCCTTGCTCCCATCTATCTCGTTTATCCTCGTTCCTCGCTGCTCTCCAGCGCACTTGGATTGTAAATAAATAAAAAAAGAGATACATAGAAATAAAGCAATAAAAAAAGAAGAAGAAGAAAAAAGAAGGAAAATCTAAAGCAACGCCATCTATTCAACAAATACAGTTTCCCCAATATCGCAGAGCGTAATCTCGTCATTCCACGTCAGTCCTCGCTTCTCGCACGCCTCCCTCCACCTCCGGGGCGGCTCGCGCACGTCCTCGTACTGGGCGCTCAGCCCTCCCCTCACGGTGCCGTAGTGCATGCCCAGGCTCTTCTTGCTCCTGATGTCGACGTGGATCTCGATGGAGTCCTCGGGCGCGCAGTGCACGCCCGACAGGAACGTCCGGGGCGTGTAGCACCCGATGGGCAGCAGGGAGAGGTCAAAGGGCCCGTACCGCTCGCCGATCTGGGCGAAGGCGGGACACCGCGGGAGGTCGTTTATGTCTTTACCCGCGGCGACGTCCTCCTCGGTGATGGAGCGGTAGCCCGTGTCGCCAGCGAAGTAGATGCGCTTGTTCTCGGCCAGGCCGACCTCGTCGATGATGAAGCCGCACCAGAGCATGGCACCGCGATCCCAGGCGCTGCGGCGGCTGCCGTGCTGGGCGGGCGTGCAGACGAGCCTGACGGTGCCGACATCGAGGACGGAGATCTCGAGCTCGTCCCACCAGTCCATCTCGGTGACGTGCTCCGGGCGGACGCCGATGCTGGTGAACCAGCCCTTGGTGCCGAGCCCGCAGAAGAAGTGCAGGGCGGCAGTGCGGCGCTTGTCGAGGTAGAGCTTCTTGATCACGTCAATGTCCAGGTGGTCGTAGTGGTTGTGGCTGATGCACACGACGTCCACGAGGGGCAGGTCGCGGACCTTGCAGGGCGTCTCGGAGAAGCGCTTGGGGCCGATGAAGTTGGTCGGGCCCATGCGCTCGTAGAAGACGGGGTCCATGAGGATGCGCACGCCCCTATCGCGGCCCTCGTCGGCGGCGGTCTCGATCAAGAAGCTCGAGTGGCCGAACCAAGTGGCCTTGGTGCCCTTCTTGCCAGCTCCCCAGTCCGGCTTGCGGATCTTGACGAGCTCATCCCTCTTGACGGGGACAGGGACGAAGTTTCGCCCAGAGCCGAAGCGCACTCGCCAGATGTCCCCCCAGGTGGGATTGTGGTGGCGGAACGAGGGCCACGGGTTCTGGAAGTGCGTAGGCGGGTTCCCGATCCAATGCGCTGGCGGCTCGTCGAGCGACGCGACATCATTGGTACGGGCGGAGATGGTGATGGTCTTCTCCATGGCTCTGGCTCTGGCGCTGGCTGGGGGGTAAAGGCCGGCTCGTCCACAGGGGACGATGGCGACAGGCGAGAAGCGTGGTTGTGGCCAGGCTGGATGGAGATATGAGATGGAGGGTTGGTGTAAGGAGGACGCGCAACCAATGCAGCAAGATCGGCACTAGAATTCAGGAGGGTGCGGCGGTACGTTGCGGTGCGATTGAGCGAGATCAAACGAGATTCTGGGGAAATGAAGGGTCGCATGACACGCCGTTTCTACTTGTACTTTGACAAGATAAAGCGCCGTCTTACCCTGCACTCTATCCCTGCTTTGCACCTGCGTTATCTGGCATTTCTGCTGAGTCTGTCCGAGTTCAGGGTGCAGGGCCTCGGCCTAATGGACTCCCGCGATTCGATAGTCGCGTGTTTCAGCGAGACTGGGTGTGGAATGCACATTTAGCTTTCCCATTAATCCCTCTGCGGCCGTCTGCAAGTGAATATGCAGGTAATGCCCCGCTGTTACCCTGCTGAAGTCCCTGGAATATGGGACTTGGATGCAGTCTCCCTCCGCTTTGGTCGTATTCGTCTAAGCCGGAGCAAATCCCCGGCCCGATAAAGCCACCATGTCTGCTCACTGAGGACCCTTACTGTTGGTTATCGCCGCCAAGGCAAGTTGTTCCGCTTCATAGTACTTTTGGATGCACGATGCGCATGATACAACTGTCCTAATAAAACCTCGCCATTGATCATTGGGCGGTTGGATAAAACCAACAGTTCTTCGAGAGCCTTTGGATTTAATACCCCTGATTCGTTGACCCATCGTGGATTAGGTAGGGATAACACAATACCACCCTATAGATTTACGATTTAGAAATGCAAACTGCCAGCCACGCTAAATTGAAATAACATTCTACAACAGCTGTAAGAATAAGTTATTAACTTGCGCGTGTATTATTTGATCAAATAGTTTATAGTCTCAGCTAGTGAAAGTAACTTAACATAGTAGCGGTAGTGCCAAAGCAAGATGCATCATCTAGAAGGGGGTGTTTAGTTAAATATAAAAAAATAATATCGAAGAAAAAAACCTCGTCTCAAGGACCTAAAAGCTCAAAAAATAGTATCTAGGTGTTTTTATCCAAGAAACTATCCAGGCGCACAATCGACACTCTTAAAGGTGAAGTTTAGATGCTCGAGTCAGAGTTCTGCTGTAAGCTGTTGTTGAAGCTTCTGCCGCCCACGTTTTTATTGATTTCCCTCCCGTGATCTCTATTCGACGACAGAGAGCCTTTGTGTTCTGTTTTGTGATATCTTCATTGAATGAACCCTAAAAGGCCTCTTTAGGTCAACCTGCAACACTGCCCTTCAAGATGTCAATAGTATTCCGATTGAGGGAGATCTCTCTGTTCACATGTTAAGCGAATGATAGGAAACTAAGCTTGAGAACATCCGTGAATATTTTACCAATTCCGTTGACAAGACCTCTATTACGAAAAGAGAGACTAAATAGGAACGAGCATAGCAACCAATAGCCAACGTCGTCATCATACAACCAACACACTGCAATAGACCCGAAAAGTCAAAAATCCGATTTATGACCTCCGAGATGGTCCTACAGTGGAATCCAAGTTGGCGACGACTATCTAAACATAGAAAGTGGCAAGAATACCGAAAGGCCAACTGCCAACCCGGCAAAGAAACATTAATGATACTTGTCCATGGTCCCAGCATGGCTGGGCGCGCACTTCTATGTTTTAACAGAGCTCTCCAGCTGTGCTTACTTAGGAAAAACTCTGGCTTGTACTTCTTGCTAAACCTGCCGTCCTGCGAGAACACCGCACAAGGATCGAAATCGGCTATGTGGCGCCTGAGATGAATTTGAAACTCTGCTGACACTATTGGTGCTGAGATGAGCATGGTGGGCATGGTGCAAGGCTTATTGTTGGCATAGAAGAGTCTTTGACAGCATCTTCAAGATCTTTATCACAGGTATTATAAGAAGCAACCATGTGCTTTCGATAAGTTTTCTCCTACCTAAAAACATCACCTGGCTTCTCTATTGTACGCATCCACACAGGAGGCTGGGGGTAGCTGCGCAAGGAAAAGAGTTAATGACTTGGACAAGGTTACCTCTGTAAATTCTGGTTTATCAGTGATGTTGTAGCTTTCAGGCGATACAATCAGAATGCATACGTCTAGTCGGTGACTATGCTGATGATATCTTCGTCTGAGGTTTGGGTGGAAAAGAATAAAAAAAAACACTGCATCTTCTTCCGCCCCTTCAAGTTGTTTGTAGTCGCCTTCTACGAAGAAAAGAATCGGCTGCTGGGTTTGGAAAAGATTTGGACCACCGGATGTAGCCTCTTTGGCCACCTCGCGGCTGCGTTTCCACGTACTTGGGCTCTTAATTCAATACTCTCAAGGGATTTGGGACACACTATTCTTACACCAGTAGGCCAATTCGACCCCTTATCCGTAGAAGGAATAAAGGGTGGCAATGGTCACTATTCCCTTCTGAGATCCTGTTGCAGTTTCAATTCTCACGCGGGAAACTTGGCGCCTGCCAGGGAGCAGTTGCTTCAAACCGGCTGCACTCTTCCCCTTTACTGAGCTGACAAGCAAACATCAAGTCTCTGGTTCTCACCGATATTTAGGTTGACCAAATTTCTTTTCTTTACCTCACAGATGCAGATCGAGGAAATGCGGGTAGTAGATAGAGCGTGACCTTTCATCCCATCTTCCTTGGGTATTGGTAGAATTCAATATCTAGCTCTATGGTTCATTGGCCCGCAAATATACACAAAATTCAAATGCTTTTTTCCCTCTTCATACGCTGATCGTCCGGAACACGCTAAACTCCTCGCCCGTCGCCACCAGGCTGCCCGTGATCTGGGGGTGCCAGTGCACCTCCTTGACGTCCTTGAGGTAGTGCACGAACAGGAGCTGCGGCGGCACGTCGCTCGGCACGCCGGCGCCCTTGCTCTCTTCGTCGTCGAGCTCGACGGCGAGATCCCACAGGGTGACGGTGCTGTCGCCGGCGGCCACGGCCACGATAGAGTCGTCGGTCGGGTGCCACTCGACGCTGGTGATCTGCTCCTTGTGGAAGCCGAAGCTGGCCAGCGGCTGCGGCTTGTTGGCGCTCGTCTTCCACTGGCGCAGGTCCCAGACGCCCCACGTGCCGTCGTCGGCTCCCGAGGCGAGGAGGTGGGAGGTCTGCCGCGACCAGGACATGACGTTGACGTCGTAGTCGGAGACCTGCATTGTGATGGCGGGCTTGCGGCCCTTGGATCGGACGTCCCAGATGCGGATCGTGCCGTCGCTGGATGCCGAGGCGAACACGCTCTGCTCCGAGGGGGACCACTGGAGCTCCTCCACGCTGCCGGTGTGGCCCTGGAAAGCCCGGTTGTCGGTTTGCCAGCCGCCGCCGTCGGTCCGCGTAGTCATGTAGATGAGACCGTCGTTGTCACCGGTGAGGAGCTTACCAGCGACGGTGGGCGACCAGTCGACGGCGTAACCTTCGCTCTTGTGGGCCCGGATGGTTGTGACGGGCTTGTTCTGCTGGGGTGTGACTGTAGATCCGGGGGTGTCGAAGGTAGCCAGGTGGGGAGTAATATCGTGGATCAAGACATTGCTGGACTCGGTCATGGTGGCTGTGAGGGTGGTGGGTGCCCTGCCGTCCTGGCTGGGGATTTGTAGAGATCGGACGCGGTTGGTCGTGGAGCTGAGGGGGATGGTCTTGCTCTCAAGGATGGGGTCTGCGTCTTCGTCGTCGTCCTCGTCACTGGACTCCCCACCATCGTCGCCGCGGGACATCTTGCTCAAGCCGCTGAACTTCATGATCATGAGCTGGTTCTCGTTGTTGCGCGTGTTCTCGGCTTGCGTGCCGGCGACGGTGTACATGGTAGCGGGGTAAGCCTTGCGGTTGTCGCCGAGCGAATCACGGACAATGTCGAAGGACAGGCAGGGCCAGGGCGTGCTGAGGCTGTGAAGCATTTCGTACGTGCTCAGATCGGGAGCGAGGGTCTGTCCGGGCTCGAGCTTGTGGCGTCCCACGATGAAGGTCCCCTGCTGCTGGTCGACCTCCATGGCATCTTTTATCTCCAATTAGACATCAAGGCGTCGTGGGTATGAAGAGGTATGTCGCCTTACCCTTTTCCTCTGCTTCTCGCTCTGCGTCTGGCCTACCATCGACGCCAGCCTCAATGATCTCGTCCTCGCTTTCGAACTCATCCTCGAACTCGTCCTCGAACTCGCCCATTTCCTTGGGGAAGCTGTCGACATCCATCTGCTCGGGGCGATCGCCTCCCTTGAGGGGGCCCTCGCCACCTTCATCAGCGGCTCGTTTCGACATGGCGTAGGGTGTAAACTCGAGGAACAGCCAGCTGTAGTGAGTGAGTTCGTTCTTCGTCGTCGCAATCTGTCAGTGTGGCGACTTGTTAATTCGACGTGGGACTGGGAATATTTTTTTGGCTGATACGATAAGAGCCGCCAAGACCGAATTTTTGTCAACCCCGCCAAAATTTTCAGACAACCCCTCCGAAACCCTGCAGAAGCGACAGCGGCTTGGGGGCCACTGTGGAAGCAGCCGAGGATTAGCCAGCGCTCTCTATCTTGTGAACTGCCGGCGATCTGATTTGGCTGTATCCGGCTGCGTGCCTTGTTTTGGCAGGTTATCCAAATTACTCAAAGCTGTACCAGCAGGTAAGTGCCAGACAAGCCGTATAGGTTGGCGGCTGTCGTGTCGAGATGCTCGTAGAACCCCCTAGATATCCAGATAGCCTACCCAACACCCGCTATACGCCCCCGTGCCGTCTGTACACGAATTCATCGCCGGAGCATGACCTAAGTTGCACTGCCGAGTTCAGCTCAAGGCGAAAAGACGCGACCGTGATCCTTGTGGCACATCATCCTGAAGAAACAAGGGAAGTATTTGTCACGCCCTGCAGCCAGGTTGTCGCACAAGGCAGGTCCGCTATTCCGACGGCCTGGCCATCACGTCACTGGGTGGTTTGTCAGCACCGCGGTCCCCAATTCCAAATCTTTGGGAGACGCAAAATGGATGGTTGAGTTGCGGCTGCCCCTCCTGCCGCCCCGCCTGGCGCACGCACGCGTTCCGGTCGGCGGCGTATTAATTTCTCAATGACACCATCACGCTCCTCGGCTTTATAAGGCGGCACTCCCCCTCCTCCGATTTGAAAGCCAATTGCCTCCACCTGAGAAACTATAACAGCGCCCTTCCACCCAGACATCCCGTCTCGCCATCAACCCAACACAAAACCATTCTTCTAACCACCAAGCTACAACCAACACATCACTCACAATGTCTGTCGTCGACATCAAGTCCAAGGCCCAGTTCGACGAACTGATCAACAAGACCCCCTACGTCGCCCTCCAGGCCCACGCAACCTGGTGCGGCCCCTGCAAGGCCATCTCCCCCTTCTTCAACAAGCTCGCCACCGAGAACTCGAGCGACACCTTCACCTTCGCCCGCTTCGACACCGACGAGGTCCCCGACCTCTCCTTCGAGCTCGGCATCCGCTCCATCCCCGCCTTCTTCTCCTTCGAGAACGCCGAGAAGGGCCAGGGGGTAGCGGGGGCCAAGCCCCCCGCCCTCAAGCAGCTCGTCGAGGAGCTCGCCGGCAAGTCCAAGGCTGAAGGTGGTGAGTCTGCCGCTCCCGCTGCTGCTGCTGCTCCCGCCGAGCCCGCCACCGCACCCGCCCCCGTTGAGGAGAAGAAGCCCGAGGAGTTCTCCACCAAGGAGGACTTCTAAGCTGTCATCCTCTGACGCGAGAATCACAACCCACGAGAAAAAAAGAAGGATTCACCCTTTACCCCCGAAACATCACAAAGACGCGTGGATAGGGAAGGGAGAATGAGACACGAAAGCTGATATACCCAGTCAAAGAGGGGAAAGCGCGTTTGTAGAGGGCTACGAAGTAATGAAGTATTTTCGGGAAAGGCAGACCCTCCGGAGAAGGACGGCATGGGGCTATCTATAGAGAACCACTTATTCCCTTTGTCGCGATCATCTCGCATCCCGCACTCTCAATGTGCAATCAAGCATCAATTCAATCAATTACATCCGTTCTTGTTCATCCCGCTGTTTACTATCATCGCGTCGCACATGGTTTGCACAAGATGTAATCGGACGAAAGAATCATGGAAAGCATAGTCTTGATTCAATATACCAATGTCAATGCCTAGCTTCCTATTTAAACGAAACGATGTTTTGAAAGAAAGAAATGTGATACGCTGGTGAGCCGTGTTCGACGGAAAGGGACGCACGCTCGATGCTGTCTGTAACTTTGCTTCTGCCAGAGGGGAGAATACTGCGCTTAAAACATGATAATAATAAATGAATCAACACCCACACCTTTCAATCCCACCCCGATATTTTTGTTTTCGCCCCAATCCCGATTGCTCCGTGAAAAGACAAGTGACAGGAAAAAGTAAGAATGCGGGAATATTTTCTGAGAAAGGAGAGACGCGATATCCTGCGCGACGTGTAGTCAGGATCCTGCCCTGAGATTTTGGAGGCTCTTGTCGAGCTCTAGCTAGGCTTGCTGCCCTCGTCTGTCGACTCCGCACTAATCCGCCCGACACCCGAGTCGCGCTGCCTTGATTTTGGCCGCGTTTGGTCAAGCTCCACAACCTCATCGATACTTTGATTCGTAGAGCCAGCGAGGCTGGTCATCGATGCTAACCTGGCACCAGATGAAACTCTCCGGCTCTCCTTAAGCTCGCCGGCAGCCAGCTGTTTCCGGATATCATTGTTGAAACCCAAGCTCCGGCGGGCAAAGTTATCACGACGACCGGTCCTTTGGTTGTTTGGGGAGAGGGAAGTGGGTGAGGATGAGCCGGGACTGCCGTTGTTGCCTCTGAGCCGGTTCCAGAAACCGCCTTCACGGGAGGGATTCTCCTTCGTGTCAGCGATACTGAGAAAATTGAAGCTCGGGGTGGGAATTCCAGCTGATCCTTGGTCGTTCCTCCCTAGCCTGACTGAGGCGCGACTTGTAGTTGCGCTGCCTGTCGGGCTGGCCGGTTCATTTGCCCAGACAGATGCGCTGTAGCCAAGATTGTGCCGCGAGTCTATACTCCCACCAGACGTGATGATCGAAGACCGCTTGCCTTTGTGGGGTGAGAGGGATCGTTCGCTTCTGGAAGGAGTGGCATTCCTGCTGTCTCTTCTGTTGCCATCACCATCTATGTTTTGGCGCCAGCTGATGATCCTGTCCGATGCGGGCTGGGGATGGGCGTTGGATCCCAAACTAAGAGAACCACGCCTCGACTGAGCCCTGCTGCTCGTCCCCGTTCTGATGCTAGCACTGCGACCCATATTGGTCGCCACCTTGGACGATATCTTGGAGCCAGTCTCCCATGCATTCTGTCGTTTCACGTAGGCACAGTCCTGTCTGAACACCTTGATCGTCCCTGTTCTATCAGCCGTGATGACAATATTGCCACCTGGATGTTTCGATCGCTCGATGTAGGCAGGAGACTCCTCGGGCTTCTTCGCCATCGACACAGAACGGTGATGGGGGTGGTTGTCGCTCATATCGCTTTCCGATAATGCGACCTGACTCTCGTCTAGACTCATGAGAGTGACCGGGGGCGGGTTGCAGAGATCAAAGACAGGGTCTCCCGAGGCGCTAAGCAATTGCTTGCTCTTGGTCGGGGCAAAGAGCGCAACGGTCACGACTTCCGGGTGGGCATCGAAGCTCTCGTACGGCTGCTTGCTCCTAGTCTCAATGTCTGAAGTGGTAGGGCCCCAAATGTAGGCCTTCTTGTCCTCGCTTCCACAGATGACATATCTTGCATCGTCGCCGAAACGCGCGCTAATTTGGCTAGCCTGGCAGACGTGACCCCTGAACTTGGACTCGAGCATCCTAGTCTTTAGGCTGTAGATACGAACACGAGAGTCGTTGGAGCTAATGAGAACCTTGACGTCGCCCTTCTCGGGCCCTTCTAGAACCTCGGCCGTTCGAATGCCCGTAATTTTGCTGCCCTTGGCGTTCTTGCCTCTTGATGAGCGTACATGGATCTGGTTTATGGGGGTGAGTCCTTCTGTGTTGAAGAACATGCACATGCCATTCAAGAGACCGCAGATAGCTGTCGTGCCGTCAGGGCTGAACCCAACAGCAGTCTGGAACTCTGTTGTTGTCGTAGAAAACTGAACAGCTTTGTCAGGAATGTTCCATAACCGTAGCTGCGAATCGAGGGAGCCAGCAAGGAAGAACCGGTCGTCGGTAGGATGGAACGCAATTGAGGTAACCAGGTCGTTGTGCTGAAAAGTACAGAGGCAGTCGGGACGCTTAGTATGCCACAGCTTAACAGTCTTGTCCATAGATGAAGACAATAAAAAGCCATTCTTGCTCCAACTCAGAGCCAGGACCTGTTCAGTGTGACCAGAGTACTCCCTCACTGGCTTCTTCCGGAACACAGGAGCGCTCAATCGCTCCTCGCGACCGCCCTCCTGTGTCTCGTCCTCCTCATGCGCAAAGCGCTCCTCAGGCGTGGAGATGACTGCGTAGACCCTCACCACCTTGTCCTTCCCAGCGACAGCAAGGTACTTGCCGTCCATGCTGAATTCTGCGGCCCAAATGGCTGCGCCGCCCTTCATGAGCTTGTTCCCCATGGCTGTCATCGGTGTGCGACCAGTTCCCGATTCCTCCTCAGCGTTAGGATCGGTGATGCGTAGCTCCTGCGCCAGGAACATGTGGTTAAACTCGCGCTCTTTCTTGTTGTTGCGGCTGACGCGGATATATCGAGGGGGGGCCTTGTGCAAAGGAATGTAGCCGCCTCCAGCGCCTCTGACAGCGGTGAAGGCTCGGGCATTGGCGCCCTCGTCGCGACTACCCCCATGCTCCGAATCGGACTCGAAACCATCTTGATCTTTGGCCCATGGGGTTCGCATGCTCAGGCGGCTGAGGAATGATGTCCCTTTCCTACTCCCAGTTAGTACCACCGACAAATAGCAAGTAGCTACCCACTGCCACCTTCCCAGAAACCAATTGAAAGGTCAAGCCCCCTAGAGGAACAACGCAACACTCACCTCCAATCCCGGGTGGCATCAACGGTATTTGAAGTCTCGCCGGTCTGGGCCTGGGTTGATTCGATTGTCGGGCTGTCGGGGCGGCCGGGGACGCGAAGGCGCTGAGCGATCGAGGTCGGCTGCGGCTGGTCGTGGCTGTTGGTCCGCATGTAGATGTGCTATAGGAGTGTTAGTACAATGCGATTGCTTGAGCCAGTGCTGGTTCCAGGGCGGCCCTTACGCTGCTCAATGGATCTAGGCCAACGGGGCCGGACGATCCGTTGGACGAAGGTGCTCGGGGCAGGCTCTTAGAGTCTCGGTCTTTGGCATTCTGCGCACTCCCCCGAGAGATTCGACTTGCGGATCGTCGACCGGCGGTGGGGGTCTGAGGGCTGGAGGTTGCTATGGTGTGTCAGTACGGGATTCACGGCGCGGCCAATGGCTATATGTCCGTCTCGAGAGGCAAGGGTAGTGGTAATGGCAGCAGTGGGAGGTGACATTGGTAGATAGGCGTGTAGAGAACGTTCGGACTGGGCCTCATTGAGGGCTGGGCAAGTAAGGCAGGCAGGACGCGACATACCTTCGGGTCCATCGTCCGGGTGTACTGAGCTCGATGGGGCTCGACTCAAAGCTGACGACGCCGTGTCCAAAGGAGCGCCCAATTGAGGACGCTTGGGGCTATCGGTAGTCTGGGGACCTTGAGAGGTCATGTGGGGAGACATTTGGCATTGCTGCGCCAGCGCAGCGAGAAAGAAGCGAAATTCGGGGGGAGAATTCGACGAAGCCGTCGCCGTCTAGGCTCTCACTCCTCGAAGGGGGTGAAGGGGAAGCGAACGGTGAGGTCGGGATAGGGAACTATCTGCTGCACGGGGCGCCGCTAGCTCGTGATGGGTGGGTCGGTGGTGGAATCGAAAACGAGGTTCACGAGGGTTCCGAGCGAGCGAGTGCGAATACCGAGCCGCCCGGCGATTGGCCTGCTGCAGACGGTCGAGGTCAGGTTGCTATGCGACGAGCGCACGTATCAGGATTGTCTGGATGCGAGCGAGTGAGATTATGCCCGCCCGGCCCGTGGATAAATTGCTAGTATGTATGCGATGATATGGCCAAGAGCTGTTCGTAAGTCTGTGTCGCAGGTCTGTTTCTGGCAGGCCAGGCCTATTGCAGTGCACGGCGAGCTGACAGGGCGCTGGGAGGTGGCGGTACCAGCGTCTTCTGAAACGATCCTGCAAGCTGGCGCCTGTTTCGATTGCCTGCGCTGGGTGTTCGCTGCGTTGGAGAATTGTGTCAGAGGCAGAAGCAGAGGCGGACAGGCAGCGGAAACGGAGATTTGTCGACTGCGAGTGCTCCGTCCCTTCTGTTGTATTTCTATATCATGTGAGACGGCAGGCTCGGCAGGAGAATTGGCTCGCGCGTATATGTAACTGCTTCCCAAGGAAACGGCCGACCCTGGTTTCTCGCCAAGTGCTAACAGAGCGTTGTGGTTAGGCAGGCAATAGCAGTCAGAGCCGGTGGCTGTAGGCAGGGGTGCTGTAATTAATGGAAGGAAGGTAGGTAATACTGCTGGGGACGGGATGCTGAGAGAAAAGAGAGGTTGGACGAGATACAGGACCAGAACAGAAAGCTAGTCGACACCCGCCTCGGTCAGCTTTGGTTAGTCTTTCGAGCGGCGACGTAAATAAGATGGCCGGTATCCAGGCCAAGACTACAGGACCCAGACTGGGACGGGAGGAAGCAGGAGGAGGTACGAGCTACACAAGTGGCGGGTGCCACCTCGACGAAGTACCTCTAAAGCCAAAGTGCCTCGCTGGTCATGGGCCGTCAGCTTGGTTCTCTGGTGTGTGTGCGCGCATGTGTGTGAGCTGGTGAGTAAGTATGATGTATACGAAAACGAGAGTCGATGATGGAATGGAAACACTAATTTGGAGTCAATTGGCAGCTGCCCACTCCAGTCTTTCTTCACCAATTCTTCGTCCCCCTCCTCCATCTTAGCCATTTGCGGCATCCCATCAGTCCTGTTTTTTTGCTCTCGTCCATATTTTCGCGGCAGGCAGACTCTAAGCTGCATGTGTTCTCGGGCGTAAAGAGTCCCGCTCCAGAGGCCCGCCAGCGGACTTCGGGCACATTGACACAACTCCACCCCCCTAGGTACGGAGATGTTAAAAATTCCGAGCGCGATCATGATGCCGCTTCATCCTCGTGTGATTGCTATACCAGCTCTCAGGCATGTGCTGGGCCAGTGAGCCATTTGAGGCATAATTTGGGCGCAGGAGTGACATTTCATGTGCATTCCCGCACCATGGCATCGCATCGCCAAGATGGGACGGACCATGGCCCTGCGGCGTGTGTCGCATGTCCCGCTGTAGCACGACGTCTCGTCTTGCGCCTCGGGGTACGCGGCCAGTCGCTAGGTAGGCTTCCCGCCAAGAGCCTCCTGCTCGCTGCCTCGGCGGGCTGTTAGCTCCTGCCCCTGCCGCTGTGCTGCAGGTTCAGAGGAGGATTCCCGCTGTCGAGCCCATCATGATGACGTCGTCCACTGAAGATCCTCCACAGGCGCGTGCAAATACAGAAGCCTACAGCGGTCCTGGCCACTGGTATCTCGATTTAAGATTCAAAACAAACTGCCGCATGCGATTGTCTTGTTCCTAATTTGGGTAGCACAACATCCAACGGTCTGCACCCTGCGATGCGCATCCCATCCCATGTACAGGCACCGCGCATGCTGGAGTCAGATTGACAGGCATGTGCTGCCCCTGTTCTCAAATCCGGCTCTTCCAGTGGCCCATCTGCCAGCCGAGGATTCATTCCGATCTCCTTGAGACTCCGTCCTGGCAACAGGCGTTCGGGATCCGATCAGCGCAAAACCCTTTTAGGGTTCTCGGCTCCCGAGGCACACCTTGATTATCCTGCCCTCGTGCTTGCTCATCGCGATGGAACCCGCTGGAAACACCGAGCCCAGGTTTGCCGAGTCAGCATGATGCAGGCATTTTTCCATCGTCTGATATTTGGCATTGCTTCCAGAATTTGTGAGAAAATCTTGTAAAGCCGGGAAGCTCAAGGGAACTGAGTCATGCGACACCCTATCCACAACAATATGTGATGTACCTTGCCTTTGTACTGAATCTTCATCTGCAGCGCCAAAACTTACTGAGATGCGTACACCAACTTCCCAGATCTAGCTCCATTGACCGAAACTTCCCTGGTCCGCCCTGCGTCTATTTTGAGAAAGTTCCCTACCACCGGGCCAGGCACCATGATTACTTTAACTGGGCGTCCCTTGGCTTTGTCTCTGCATTTAGCGGGGCGGTGCCACCCAATTGTAATCGGGCGATGCTTTTCACTCCCAAAGCTCCATCCATGCCGCACGTCTTTTCCCTGCGACGGCGGAGTCGACCAGCATCCAACCATGACACAACATTATCACCTCCAGCAAACCACACATCATGAAATTAGCCAAGCGTAAGCTGCCGGCCGAGATCGAGGGCCAGCCCGTCTCTCTCCTCCCGGAGGACCCGGAGGACATGGTAAGTCTGAATGCCTTCCCTTTTTGTGCTTTGGCTTTGTCCCAGTCAAATCTATCGAACCTTGACCCCACCATGAGCCAACCATCTTGAGATTGCCCCTCCCCCGCCATCTCGAATCTCAAGAGCTGGTTGCACGCCATGACGCGCGCCTGCGTCCGCCAGCAAGTCGCAACGAGCAGCTATCTCTGACCATCATCTCCTCATCCATAGTGGCACGCCTATAACCTCATCAGCACTGGCGACATCATCCACGGCCACACCAGCCGCAAGGTCGTGCGCAAAAACGATGCGACCGATCAAACATCTGCCGAGCGAGTCCATCTCGACCTCGCCATCAAGGTTCGCGGCACGTCTTTCGACCCCATCACCTCGATCCTCCGTGTCACGGGTGCCGTCGTTACCGAGAACGAGCATGCGCCCCTAGGCTCGCAGCACTCCATCGAGGTCGAGCCTCACCGAGCCTTCACCATCATCAAGCCAGAGCCCGAAGGATGGGACTCAGTTGCGACCGAGACACTCCGTGAGGCGCTCTCCGACGACAAGGATGGCGCCCTTGCTGCCGTCGTCATGCAGGAAGGCGTCGCCAATATCTGCCTCGTCACCCAGTTCCGTACCGTTCTTAAGACCAGGGTCGAGAGCGTCATCCCCAAGAAGCGTGACACCTCCTCTGACCAGGAAGCCGGCATGCGACGCTTCTACGAAAAGGTCCTGGCCTCTCTGCAGCGCGCCGTCGACTTCTCGCAATCCCGTCCCCTCCTCCTGGCGAGCCCTGGCTTCGTCGCCAACGACTTTAAGAATTTCATCGCCGCCAAGGGTCGTGACAGCAACGATAAGGTGCTCGCCAACGTCGCCAAGCTCGCCACAGTCGTGCACTCCAACACCGGTCACGTTCATAGTCTGAACGAAGTGCTGAAGAGCCCCGAGGTTCTAGCAAAGATGAAGGATGTACGGTTCGCCAAGGAGGCTCTTTTGATGGACAGCTTTTTTGATATGCTGAAGCTTGACGATGGTCGGGCGTGGTACGGCTCCAAGGCCGTTGAGAAGGCGGTCGACGAGGGCGCCGTAGGGCCGGGCGGTGGAGCTCTCCTCATCAACAACTCCCTGTTTCGAAGCCAGAATCTCGCCGTACGCAAAAAGTACGTCGCGATTGTAGATAAGGTCAAGGCCGACGGGGGAGAGGCGCGCATCCTCAGCAGTGACCACGAGAGCGGGCAGCGGTTAGGCATGTTGGGTGATATCGCGGCAATCCTCAACTACCCCATGCACGACCTGGACGAGGAGGAGGAAGAGGAGGCGCAACCAGTTATACCAAGGCATCATGAGGATGACCCGGCTATGTTAGACAGTGTTATCTAGCTACACAAATTTTGACGACTTATGAGAGTAATAAAAGTTGAGCAAGTAAAATTTCAAGCAAAAACATTATAATGAACATCTCAGCATTACAACAGTCATTGTCAAACGTTGATCTACAAGCTAGAGCTCCTCGAGAACCCCACCAACCAACCCCGCGATTGCATACCTCATCCCTGCCGGAGCCTCACTTATTACCTGCACTAAAACTTTACAGTTCACAGCCCTACATGGCTTGAACTGTGAATAGATACCAATAAAGATTCGAGAAGTGCATACAAGCACTACCATCACTCACCTTCAAATATTCAGCTCGTTTCTAGCTTGATTACAAGTCTACGCAGGATGGGATCCAAACTTCGAATCGACTCGACGGTCAAGCTCAACTCGGGCTATCATATGCCCATCTTGGGTTTTGGCGTGAGTACACCATGCTGCCCTTCGTGATCATCAAGATAGCTGACCACTCTCAAGGTATACCAGACGTAAGTGCTAATTTGCCCATCAGAATATCCTGTGGGATTGGACTCACCATCTCAGCCCTCGAGAAAATGCCACGGAAATCTGTACACTAGCCCTCAACGCCGGCTATCGTCATGTATGTCCCTTTCATTCTTAAAACGCAAAGACTACATATATCACAGTTTACATTGACGATCCATCCTTTGGGATTAGATGGACTCTGCCACAGCCTACCGCAACCAAGGACCATCAGCGGCATCAATCCCAGCATCCGGGCTCCCCAGAGAAGACATCTTCTTCACCACCAAGGTTCCCGTCAAAAAGAAGCCCCTCGGCTACGATACCGTGTGCGCCCTCGTGGACGACGCCCTGAAGGAGACAAACCTCACATACATCGACCTCATCCTCATCCACTGGCCCTACGGGGGGCCCGAGGCCCGCAAGGGCGCGTGGAAGGCCCTCGTCGAGGCCGTGGAGGCGGGAAAAGTACGGTCCATCGGCGTGTCGAACTACGGCGTGCACCACCTCGCGGAGCTGGAAGGTCACATCAGGGAGCTCGAGGCCGAGCGGGGGGGTCCAGGAAGAGGAGGTGTCATCTCAGTAGGCCAGTGGGAGCTGCACCCGTGGCTCACGCGACCAGACATTGTGCAGTGGTGTCGGGAGCGGAGCATCGCCGTCCAGGCGTACTGTCCCCTCGTGCGCGGGGAGCGCTGGGGGGACGCCAAGGTCGTGGCGATGGGCAAGAAGTATGGGAAGACGGAGGCGCAGATCCTGCTGAGGTGGAGTATTCAGCGCGGGTACGTGCCGCTTGTGAAGAGCGTGACGCCCTCGCGCATCGTGGAAAACACCGGGCTGTTTGATTTTGAGTTGACGGATGCTGAGGTGGAGGACATCAAGACGGATGAGTACAAGCCCATTGCGTGGGATCCAGCTATGGAGCCGTTAGAAAAGTAACAGAGTACTACTAACACTGCCCGGGCTTTCTGATCATCTTCGTGCCATTTTCCCCTGTATAATGGGGAAAAGACCCAGCAGACGAAGCAAGTAGTTCCCATAAGACAGCATGATGGCAGTGATGGGACTCACGTGACCTCGCACCAGGGGCGCGTTGATTACCTTAGCTGCCACCCCACCATCACCCAACACGCGTTAATCACCACCACAATCAACTTGCTCTACGTTCGGACTCCCCAACCCTCCAAAGAACCCATGATTGCCGAATCCCCCTCGACCAGGAGAGTTCTAACGAGGGCGGTAACCCGTCCGCAGCCGACGAATTCCTTCCTCCGGCCACCATGCCGCCCATCCAGGGGACGTTCAAGCTCCTCCCTGGCCTCGCCCGTGCAGACGTAAACAATGGCCCGATCCGCCCCATGACCTCGAAGCAGGTCAAGAAGGCCCATAAAAAAGCTACCGCCCAACCGAAGCTGTCGCGCGCGGAGCAGAGACGTCTCGAGCTCGCGGAACAGGAGCGCATCCGGAAGGAGTTCGAGAAGGAGAAGGCGGCGGCCAAGGCCCGGGCGGCCAGGGAGCGCAAGAAGCAGAAGGAACTGGCGGACAAGGAGGCGAAGCGGAAGAAAGGGCTGCCCCTTGTGGCTCCGAGGCCGAGTCAGGAGACATTGTCACGGTTCATGTGGGGGAATGGGAGCGGGCTGAAGCGTGATGGGCGGGGGACAACAGTTGCGCCCGCGCCGATGGCTGCGGTGAGAGAGGAGTCGGCACAGCCAGATGATGATGCGAGCAAACCTAACGATGGGGAGGTGGAGGTCAACAAGGAGCCAGCTATGGATGAGAGGGGGGAGGATGGTGCAGATGTTCATATTGAGGAACCGGAGCAAGCACACTCACCAGACGCTGCATCCCCCATACCAAACGCAGGCACCGCACAGCCGGAAGAACTACCCGAACTCCAAGCATGTGAAGAAACTATACAACCTACAAATCTTCATATCGACGAGCCGGATGATTTGGGTGCCCCAAGGCTGAGCCCACTCGCGCAACCTGAACCTCTGCCTGAGGTACATGAGGGGAAAGAACATTCACAGACCACAGATTCTCGTGTTCAAGAGCTGATTCCAAAAGGTCCACCACAACCAACAGGCCCTAGGCCAAGTATTAGCATTGGCTATCATGAATCTCTGCCTGTGGCCCCAGGGGAGGGGGAGGCTTTGAGGTCTGCAGCAAGCGAAGGGAGCTTCATCCTGGGATCCTCAGATATGATCGACGATGAATCCTTGCTTGAATTAACCGAATCCTTTGAACCCAAACCCGTATCAGAAGGGCAGAAAATCACAGCCCTATGTCCGCAAAATGCAGCAACTTCAATCCCCGAAACAAAGATACCGGACAACTTGCCAGACAACCTCCCCGATAGTATCCCCGACGAAGCCTCAAACGATTTAGCTGTTGGGGCAATCACACAGTTATTCCACGATATGGATGATGATTACGACTACGAAATGACTGGGGATGGGATAATAGAATCGCACGAAACCCCATTGGAAGAAGCAGCGCTGCCCCTCCCAGAACTTCACGATGATGAAACGAAACCCGAAGCGATATCTGAAGACCAGGTTTCGCCGCTACCACAGAGGAGTCAGAGACGCGGACTAGAGAGGAAAGTTTCCAGCTTTTTTGGGAGCGAGTTAGACGATGAATTGCTCTTACAACTGGAGTTGCCCGGCGATGTTGCTGTATCTCAACGTTGCCAGCCGGTAGAGAAGCCGCCGCAACAGGAGTCTCCCCCGAAACACAACCATAACATTGGCAGTACCGGCCACCGTAGCACACCAAGCTCACCCTTAGCTCCACGTCAACGACCTCCTCCAAGCACGCAAGCCATCCTTCTCAACCTCGATGACTACTTACCTTCTTCTACGCAACTAGCACTGGAACTCAACGAGGATGATATTGATGAAGACATCCCTGCGGTTGAAGCTACCGAGCAGGTAGAACAGCACCCACCAACTCCACATCAGCCCCCCTCATCTGCGAGCAGACCGAGTGCGCGGCCGACAAATGCTGCTTCACACAGCACTGGCCCGCCTGTTCGACCACAGAAGCGATTCTTTAGCTCCTCTGGTTCTAATGAGTCGTTACATCTCGCACTACATCTTAGTCGGCGCACGGCCGCTCTCGAGGGTATCCGCAGGAGTGACCAGCGACGAGTCGAGGCTGGTTTTCTTCAAGATCAAAGACGAACGATAAGCCAGCCGCCGAGGCATCAGCACAAGAGACCAAAAATACCCAGCTTTTCCACGAATTATCAAGTGAAACATAACCCGCCGGTGCAGAGTGTTACGAGGACAGCGAAGACCACGACTGATGAGACACCAAAACCAAGCCCCCATAACCCCACAAAGGGAAACCAAAGCGTCAGGAACGAGCACTCGAGCACGAAATCAGCAGTGGATATCAAGGGAATTGATACAAACAAGGAGAATATACCGCCGGAAACGGTGGCTGATGACCTCTTGGGCTCCGGCCTGCCAGCTTCGCAGGAGACGGAATATGGTGGCGCTTGGATGGACGACATTGGGTTGGATTTGGTTATCTGATGAATTATTGGCTATTCACAATTAGCGTGGCGTTAGGTTTCTTCTTGGGAAGATCATGTTTGGATTTTTTTTCTCTTGTTCCGATTAGTTCGCCTTAGACTTAGAGGGCGTAAACATAGAGAGTGTTGAAGATGATATACTTTGGATAAGTTGAATGGACGATACAAACCTGAGCACCCAGCGTTCCTAGATCTTGAACCTTCACGAGCACGTTTCCGTTGGGGCTTTGTTCACACCGGCTCCCTCCATTCATTATGGTATCAACGGGCTGATCAATGCGGTGTGTAAAAAGGAGACTTGCCATATCGGCCTCGAGCCCCGTAAAATCTATCACTGCCCTGATCATCGAATACCCTCAGAGGAATATAAAAGCAAATGGAGCCAACCCCCCCAAAGCGCCATGCAGTCCACATGTAAAAGCAATGGTAACCCTCCCGTACGCTTAGAAGCGACTAATGCATTTCCCAACCTTCCATTCAAAAGCGAAAAAAATAAACCAAACAACAAAAAGAAGCACCTCTTAACGCCGTCCTCACGCCTTGGTCATAAGAGGTGACATACGAAACGGGCGGGGCATGTCCGGCCTTCATAGGTAGATGCCCACCCACTCGCCCTTCGGAATCACCTTTGTCTCGCAATCGTCGACCGCACACCGGATATCGGTTGCACTCTTCATGGGGAATCCCGCACCGTTGGGCAGCGCCTTGGTGGGCTTGCGGTTCTCAAAACAGTCGGCACAGTAGACCTGTTAAAGTTCATATTAGCTCCACACTATCCAACTGTAAAAAAGAGTCATAGGCGCAGATGGCCGAGAATGATAAAAACGTACGTGGCCGCAGTTCTTGAGAGCCCAGAAGTGATGCTCAGGTGGCCTCTTCCGCTTCCCCTTACCGGTGGACGAGGACGGGGCGACTGTCGTTTCTGTCGGGTCGTATGCGAGTTCCTCGTTACAGCAGGGACAGACGACCACCTCGTCGTTTCCTTCCTCCGGCTCGGCGAACGTGGCCCTGGTGAAGCCCGCTCTCGTGGGTGGCTCTGGTTCCATGGGCGGCTTGGGGCTGGGGCGCTGGGCCGCGGGGATCGGAGGGGTGTGCCGCCTAGGTGCGAAGGCGCTGACCAGACTGGTGAGCGAGGACCGTAGTGCCGGAAGGGGTAGCATCAGCCCGTTGGCTGTTTGCCTAAAAGTGACGCCGACCAGAGCATCTGGGAATGAGCGGTCCAGACGGGCCAGCGGTAGTTGTGGTGGCCGCCGTGGTGGTGCATGTGGTCGCGAAGTTCGCTCAATTTCGGGTGAGTCGCCGGTCAAATCTATTATGTCAGGCATCTCCCCGGTGCGCGAAAGAGTGCCGTCGCTTCTTGCGAGGGTGGGCGGCGAGGTCCGTAGAGAGTTGGTCCTTCTAGGATTTCGACCCGATCTACTTCGAGCGACGGTGGGACCGTCGCCGTGCAGTGGTAGCTGGGGGAGTTGTTGGACGTCGATGGGCGACTCGGGCTCGTTGGTCAGATCGATGACGGCTGGAGGAGGTGGGTTGGTCTGGATTTGTTGTGGGTTTGGGGAGTCTCGTGAGAGGAGGGACGAGGATCGTGGGTGGTGGTGGTGATGATGATGGTGGTGGTGATGGTGGTGATGTTGCGGATTATTATTTCGCTGGCGAGGTTGATTCCGAGGAGGTCGTCGGGGTTGTGGCTCACGCTGCACTCTGGTCTGCAGCATCTGAGCCAGTCCTGAGAACATGCTGTCGTCGGCGTCAAAATTTGAGTTGCTGCTGAGGGGCGCCCGGGCGTTGGAGGACGAGTGGGAGCGCTGGTGCTGTAGGCTGGGAACGGCTGGAGCCCTGTTGTTGTTGGCAGCGCGGGATTGGAGAGATTCTGGCGGGAAAGCAACCTCTATGACCTCCTCGCCGCTGTCCCAGCCATAATCCGTCTCGGAAGAGGGGTCCATTGCTGGGTCCTAGCACGCCTTTGGTGCTTGCCGTCTCCCCCAAGCAAACTATACGGCTTGGGCAAGCCGAATCGAGAATTAAACCGCAGCCAGTTCGTTTCGAGGGAGCGAATCCGGTTCGTCGAAGTGTGTGGGTTCCCGCTGGCTCAACATAACAGAACAGAAATAAACAAAGCGATAGGGATCATGGGACACGGCGGTAAGCGACTGTCGAGCATGCAGGCGTGCAAAATCAAGGTATTATGACAAAGGAATGTAGCCAGAAACCCGCACACATTTGGTCTCCAGGTTGAAACTCGATTTGACCCGAGAGTGGGGTGGTGAAGTTGAAGTTGGATGAGGTAAAGTCGAGAGGCGACTGGGCCAGGCGCCGAATGTACGCCGAGTCTGCTAGGGAGGGACCTTGAGGCTGGGATGTGCTATCAGAAAGATATGGGCAGACGCGCTGTTTCTGCTAGGGCCACCTGTGCCACTTTAACGCTCAGCGCGTACTGGCCGTGTCTACGAGCGATTAGACCCAGCCCGTTGGTAGCAGATTCGACTCGGACTGGACTGGAGCCTTCCGCAATTTCAAGTTTGTCATCCGTTGCCACGCTTCAATCATGCGTGACAACTAGTGAATTAGTCCTGGCCGTATTCACGCGAGAGCACATGAGCCGCTTAGGCAACTTGGATACACAGCAACAGTTGTCCCCTTTTTTGTCGCCACCCGGCACGACCGAGGTCATCTATTATATTTGGCCAATGGATGGTTGACGTAACACGGAGAATGCAAAAAACAGTACAACGATTGATTCCAAAACCCGGAAATAAACCTCCCCATAAAAATGAAAACAACCAGAAATTCTTCGCCCTGTTCACTACTTATGCCTTAACGCCAAACACAGTAAGAGCATTGTCGTTGGTAAGCACGACCAACTTGCGTCCCTGTTCTCCCCATCGAACCCCAATTGCAGGGACCGAGCTTCGGAAGGGCTCGCTCCAGGCCTTGCTGGCCTTGAGATATTGTTGTACGGTGATACCAGACGGTCCTCCAGTAGCGAGGAACTGTCCAGTGTAGTCCCATGACAAGCTCTCCACATCACCACCGGTCTCCAGGACCTTGGCTGTTGCTGCTGCACCCTCCTTGCGAAGGTCGAAGATCTTCACGGTTGATTGACGCTTAGCTGCGGCGGCAAGCCAGAAACCGTTCTCAGAGAAGGTCAAGGCTTGGACTGGCACGCCAGACTCGAGCTCGAATTCGGCGGCTTGCTCTAAAGTCTTCGTCATGTACAGTCTCACGGTGCCAGTAGCTGTTCCTGCAGCCAGGAGGTGACCATCTGGGTGGAACGCGCAAGCAGTAAGAGCTGGGATGAGTTAGTATCAACGTTGCCGCCAGACTTGAGATCGCAACTTACCGGAATTAGTGAATGCTCGGCTGACTCGCTTCAAAGTCTCGAGCTCGTAGAAAACAATAGACTTGTCACTGCCAACGGAAGCGAGAATGGCGCCGCTAGGATGAACGCTGACGGCGGCTACAGGCCCAGCATGCTCCGTAGCCTGAGCAACCTCGCTACCATTATCGAATACCTTGACAGATCCTTGTGCAGTACCAAAGACAATCTTTGAACCTGCCCAGGCGGTGTTGGTGACGGGTTCGTTGACGGCAAACTCAGCGTCGACCTTTTCATCATCGATAAAGAAGGTAGCAGATCCACCCTGCAGACCACTCGTGGCCGCCTGTGCCCCCGAGACATCGAGATATCGTGCATCAGATACTGGTAGGCTCGTGGTGGTACCCTGCTCGAGAGTTGTGATGTCGTCTGGAGTGGCCCAGCCTTCTGGGATCGGTCTTCGCTTACGTCCCTTAGAAAGACTACAAGATCAGTGGTTAGTATCAATGTTTAAAGTTTCCAGGCAGCAATCAAACATACGTCGCGTGTGTCTCGTCAACAGATGTGGCGAGATCCTCTGGCAAGCCCTCTGTGCTATCAATGGCCATAGCATCTCCGTTGGCGCCATCACTGACGGTCAGCTTTCCAAGCGCTTCCCGAGCCTCATCCCGCTCCCTGGACAACCGCGCAATAACGCGTACAGCTGCATCATGCTGATATAAGGCAGTCGAAAGTTCTTCACGTGTCCGTGCGAGTTGCTCCTTGAGATTGTAGGTCTCTAACGCAAGGGCATCCCATTCGTTCTGGAAGGTAGCAAGCAGGGCTGGGATCGAAGTCAACGTAGGTGGTCGCGGTCGCACAATGCGCGAAGACTGGATTGGAAGAAGATCATCTGCGGTAAGGGATTCTCCAGAGCTAGGTTCAGTGCCGTGTTCGTTGATGTATTGTTCGATCAAGCGCTTCTCGTACACGACGCCAGATTTTTTAGAGACGACAGGCTCTTGGGGAGCCTCTCCCGAAACTACACAAATTGAATGTTAGCAGTACACCTAAAAGAAAAGATGGCGGATTGACTCACTTCCGCAAAGCATGGCGACACAAATGTAGGAGGTTGTGGCGCTAGGTTGGTGGTTCTACGATTTCAACAGCACCGTAGGCAGCTCTCTGTTGTCGCGAGATCTTGGACTTTGTCGAGCTCATCGGCATAAACCTAAGATTTCGGTGGTGCACAGACCATCCAGGCACGCTATCGTCAAGAACATGGCTACCCTATACTCAGTCACGAGGTGATAAGAGCTTGGGAGCGCCTATCACCGGCTTGCTCATTAAACCCACAGTGGGGTGGAAGCTTCCCACTCAACTGCCAGACCTTATCAGCACCATACTCCTCCTGTAAGTCTGTCCTACTCCCTCGAGAGACAAAAGTCAATTGCCTTTCCAACATCATTCCTCCTGGCATTATGGCTCTCAAATCGCTACCCCCCGTATCTGACTTTCGTAGTCAAGAGAAGACACTCCAGATTGAAGCACTCGATGCGCTCTTCGAACCCAGTACTGCGATCCACGAGACACTGCTCCCAATAATCCAGACGGCGCAGTATTCTGCCTGGCCAGAGTTCATCGATGCCTGCCATGCGCGCTTCCTCGAGCTAGCGAAAAGCTCCTCAGACTCGTCACCCGACCCAAAGCTCCTATCCATCCTGGGATCTCATCCACGACTCGGCGAGAAGAAGATTACCTCGGCGCACTCGGCCGCCGAGCAGGCAAACCTCCAGAAAACAGCAGACCCCGTCGAGTCCGCAGAGCTGGCCCGACTAAACCGCGAATATGAGGAGAAATTCCCCGGCTTAATATTCGTGGTCTTTGTCAACGGGCGCGGCAGACCAGAGATCATGGAGAACATGAGAACCCGAATCGCGAGAGCCGACTTCGCTCTGGAGGTTGATGCGGCACTCCAGGTAGCCCTAAACCTCTCAATCCCTCTACTATTTCTTGATTGATATTATATCGTACACGTCTTACTGACAAGGAACAGGCCATGTGCGACATTGCAAAGGATCGCGCAGCCAAGCTTCAATGATCAGGAACCTCATACCTACGAGGCTCGTATGAACCATTGTATCGGCCCGCCGCTCTCGCCTCATCCTCCTATAGGCTATGGCGACTGAACTGCTAGTAGTCGCCACCGACTTGCTTGTGTGCATTTCCAATGTGATGCCTTCATGATTTCAGGGGCCTTTCGTTCTTCGGCGCGTCGTCAATGCGGCCCTTCCAATGGTCTTTGCTTGACCTCCACCTTCGCCTATCCTAATAATGGCCAGATGAGAATGCATGCCTCTTAATCCTAAGATACTGTCCTTAAGATAGTGACACTTGGGTTCAGTTGAAATAATCAAGAGCAAGAACATCACTCAACCCGCGTCCTCACTATCTTACCTACCCTATACCTTCTGAAAACACATGCCGCTAGTCAAAGGTAATCTGCATTTGTAAACCCCCCGATGCTCAGGTAAGTTCTCATTTTTCCCTCCTGTGAGCGAGACATGAAGAGATACCTCCTTTCTTGATTAAAGCCTTTACGTGCGCCTGTATGTGTTGGCATTACTACTCTCTTGTGAAACGACCTGATCCATGTTATCCATATATCCAGTACTTACACAAATGCTGCATTTGATAACACGAGTTTTTCTTTTTTCCTTTCTACTTTGACAAGGATGCCCTCCCTTTCTTCTCTTCTCGCATAATATTGCTTTGCTGAAAACTTCAACGCTAACTACCGATTAAATGACGGATGTTGAAGGGTCTTCGCAAAGGTATACGTGCAAGGTTAGTTGGTTAGACCCCCTTTTAAATAAAGAATATTCATTCGAGTTGGAACCAACCTATTGCAACAAGATACTGTAAAGTGTAGAACTACGGCTATGTTATGGAACCCGTAGGTTGAATAATAATAATTACTTAAATTATAATAACCTTGGCTTCCAGATAACTGAGGCCATCTTACTATATTTTCCCACAACCTCGAAGTCTCGCGCAGCCAGGTCGGCAGACTCAAAATCTCGCTTTAGGAGATTATTAGTTTCCAAATATCGCTCGTATATCTCATCGATATCAGAGTCCGGCTCAGCGAGGCCCCAGACCCGTTTCTCTCAACGAAATCAATATAACCGGCCTCATCGCGTTTTCTTCCCATACAAATCAGAATAATTCGTTATTATATTATGCAAGAGGATCCCAATCCTTGGTTAATAGGAATTGGGAGTCTGCTTAAAGCATTTTTACCAATTATATATTGGGGCTAGTAACTAATAGGAATCAGGCCTCGTATAAGTAACTATGCTATAGCACTATCTTATTGAGGAATGATAACTATTTATAGATTGATTAATTTAGAGGATTCGAATTCCAATGAATATTCCGAATATAGACACTAAGTATAAGACTTGTGTTATAAATAAATATGCGTTCTGCTAACTGGGCGCACCGAGATACTTATGGAGATGAACACATGTTGGTATAAGGGTTCAAAGTGAACTAAGGAAATCAAGTGAAACAAGGGTATAAATGAACCCTATTTTACTGCTTTACATACTTTCATTGTATTGTTAAAAGGGGTGTCGATCATGACATATTCCACCCGCGAAATTATCGGCATCGAGCTCCTTAATGAGCCAAGAGCCTCTATGCTATTTTCTTCTATATTAGCTCTATGATCAACTATTACCAAGTAGATTTAAGTGAACAAACTGAAGTAGCGGAATAGTTCGGGTGCTTGAGCACAGCGGGATCTTCCTCTCATATCCTGCTGGCACTGCTATACGGCTAAGGCTCATCTGCAACCTTTGCAGGCGTTGTTCCACACTGCGTGGATATTTTATAAGTTTAAACAAGATAAAATATGAGATCTTTACAGTAAAAGTATTCTTGGTATATCTTTGTCACCTAGACTGTTGTAAAAAGTACCGGCAATACAAGAAGGACATGAGCTGTACTAGGCCTCCTTAGCACGTATAAGTGGTGAAAGAGTCATATAGTACGGTCAGCTTTTAGAACACATCCAAATTTCGAGACACGAATTATAAATTTTTGATAGATATGATCAAGTAAAGCCGACCCTGCGGTTGAACAGTGCTCAACCCGCAACGGATTACATTTGAACATTGAACTGTCCGGCTGAAGTTCCTCTGATCTTCTCCCATTCATCCTCTTTGATCGCGAATAGCAGCTCATCGTGCCATTTGCGGTTGAAATACCGGCTCTCTCTCATACGGCCTTCTTCAACAAACCCCAAGCTTTTATACAGGCGAATCGCCTTCTCATTGAAGGCGGACACGCCAAGAACGATGCTATGGAGCCCAGCAAAGCGAAAGCCCCAATCCATCATCCAGTTGACAGCCTCACGACCATAGCCCCTGCCTTGGTAGGGCTCCGCCAGCATAATGCCCAGCGCGGTCCGTCTATGCACGGCCAGCTCAGGATGAACACCCCCGTATCCGAGCATCATCACTCCTATGACGGTAGGTTTGGCATTGGTAGATTCTCCCGACTGCTGTGCTTCTCCGGAGCCCCCCGCTGCAACTCGCCTCGCCTCTTCTTCCTCTGGTCGGAGGCAGATTGAGACAGCTAGCAGTGACTTGGCCAGCGTTTGGATGAGCACATCGAAGTCTGCTTTGCCCTTGGGCCGCGTAATGAATGTCCACGCAAGAGCCTGGACGACGGGCTCATGTGCGATCTGGGGCAAGATAGCCCGGAGGTTTGCATCTTCGGGGTCCGCTTTGATATAATATAGTCGCTTGGTGGAGAAGGCATCTTTGATTCCATCCATAGCAGAGGTCATTGTGATTTGGTGAGACGACGTTGAGAAATGGTAAGTTGGTTGTTTGTAAAGTTGAAGGTTGGCGTGTTGATGAGAAGGGTGAAATACGAACCATCTATTGAAGCATCTATTTATACCTAGTTATTTTGCTCCTGAAATACCTTCGGCTGGTTCCAGTTGGTAGTTGCGCAGAACAATCACCTGGTAAGAATGGAGCATGTGGGTAGGTGGCTTGGTGTTGGTTTGAGCGCCGGGACTAGTCATCCTATTATCTATATTGTCTTCGTTTATCCCGGTCCCTCTAGTTGGGCAGAACCAAGTCTCTAGTGAACTTTGTAAATATGACAATGAGCCCTAAATGTTTTGAAATGTTACCGCAACATATTGTGTTAGAAAAAGGGATGAACCTTCGCCCCCTTCCCTTAACCTCCCAACCTCCATTTCGAACCCCTTTTACCCCACCTTGCTCAAACGATTTAATAACAGTAAACGTTGGCTCTGAATGACCATATTAGCAATAATATTAATTAGGGTAGAGCGATGATCTTTGCATTCTCATTCGCTAAACTGAGGTGCCTCCTGGCGTGGTCTAGGCTGAGGAATGACCGGAGCACGTAATTACTCCGATGATATACTCGAATGAGTCGTTTTATAAACAACTAATATATCTTGTCATCTTAGTCACATAGGCTCGGAACAATCCTACATCCAGTAAAGTCTACGTTAGATTAGGGCGAAGGTAACAAGCTCTGCTATCAATGATGTAGGAGAGACGAAGGTGGCGCAAAATGAGGCTCTCAATTGGATGAGCAGATAAAGAATTCATATTCGTAGTTCTTATTATAGTCACAATAGTATCTAAAATTGTTTGAGAGGTGGTTGTACAAAACTCCCATCAGTATGCATAATACCTTATTGTTGTCAAAATTGTAGCATAACAACTCCCAGAGAATGTAAGATCCAGAGAATGTAAGAGAGGAAACTGGAATCTTAACTCTCGGGATCATTACTAATGATAATGATAATTTTAATGTTAATAACTTTAGTAAATATATTATCTAAAGACAGTTGTGCTGGTTTAGCTCTCACCAAACAGATTTGAGAATGAGTAATGCGTATACATTGCTTAAAACGGTGCTGCCCAAGTTTTGGAAGCTCCTCTCTCTGCTATTGCGCTGAAAGGCCATATATTTATCGTTATGGCGCTTCTTGATGTTCGTATTCCACGAATTACATCGACCCTCAATATCAATATCTGTTCTAGGGAATTTCCTATGGATTGCGGCCGAATGTGGGACCATATATAAGTACCGCAACAAGTTTGCTCTTTATTCTCCGAGGGCCCGAATAAATTTGTTCCAGGGGCTTTGGGATGGTGGGTTGATTCAGTTTATTAATGGCTGCTGCAAGAGAGACGCAGAGGCACTGCTGGCTACCTATAGGATCTGGTGACCTGAACCTCGTAGCCAGCTTTAGATGGCATGACTGAAAGACAAAGGCTATGTTTAGGCTGTGCAGGAAGAGGGTGTGAAAGGGATTTAGGCGTTGGTCAGGCATCTACAGCTCGCGTAGCTGCCTCCCTAAATCATTGGTCGTAGAGGTTGTATTTCTGTGACCCCTGTCAGATGAGCTGAAAGAGCAACATGTATATAAACCGCCCAAGGCTCGCCCTGATCAGTTATTAGATAGTAAGGCATCTTTGTTTGCGGTCCTGATGCACGTATATAGCTCACAAAATTTCGTGCAAGATGGACCCATTCACGGCGATAAGGCTCGCAAGTAACATCATCACCTTTATCGAGTTTATCATCAAGGTGGCATGTTCGACGTCGGAAATTTATCATTCGGAGACGGGAGAAACGGATGAAAATGCAGCGTTGCTAAAGGCAACGACACATTTGGAGAAGGCGAGTGGTGAACTTTCCGCCCAGCTTCCCGTACCATGTTCGTCTCTCGAGAAGAAGGTTGCAGATATTGCATTAGACTGCAAGCGAGAGGCCGATAAGATGTTGAAGATTTTGGAACCGCTTCAGGCTCCCGCGAAAGGAAAATTGACCTCTGTGACCGTCGCGCTCAGTACATTTTGGAAGAGGAAGGATATCCAGGCCAGGAGCAAAAGACTGGCAGGCCTCCGATCGACTCTTATTCTACAGCTTGTTGATTTGATTAAGTACGAGGGATTCTTCTTCCAGGTTTATTCTATCGTGTAGTTCTAAAGCTTTACTAGTGACCGGAGCTCAAACATCGAAGAACTGGTAACAAATCTCACAGAGACTTGTTCGAAGACCTCGGCCGAAACAATGAGACGGTTAGACAAACTTCAACATACAATCAAGGAGCTGAAAGATAGTACGCAAAAGAATTCAAAGGATGTGTCAGACTCCAAGAAGCTTAACATAGAATCTCTCGCCCATAAACTCGACCTAATCAGAGAGATCGGTGACCCAATCGCCAGGGAACAACAAATCCTCAAAAATCTCCGCTTTGAGTCGATGCTGCTGCGTGAGTCGGCAGTCGCAGAAGCCCACGCACAAACTTATGAATGGGTTTTTTCCCATCAGTCCAACTTCCGCCAGTGGATGTCTCACGGCGATAAATATTTCTGGATATCAGGCAAACCGGGCTCAGGTAAATCAACGCTCATGAAGTTCATCAGCCACCACCCAGAAACGGCCACACTTCTCAAAGCCTGGGCAAATGGTCAGCATCTTGTAATCGCGAGCTTTTACTTTTGGAGTTCGGGTACCACAATGCAAAAGTCGCTCCAGGGCTTGGTCCAGTCCCTGTTGTTCGAGATGATGCGCCAGTGCCCCTCAATTGTTCCATTGCTATGTCCCAAGCGATGGGAAAATGCCTTCTTAAGCTCTGTTGACGAGCCATGGACGTGGGATGAAGTGAAGGCGGCCTTCAAAATGGCAATGCAGCAGGACAATATGCCGGCCAAATTCTGCTTTTTTATTGACGGATTGGATGAATATAGCGGCGACCCCAAAGAAATGATAAAGCTCCTATCCCGGGCGTGGCAATCAGCAAACATGAAGTTTTGCCTGGCTAGCCGCCCGGACAATATCTTCCAGAGTTCTCTTGGCTTTCCAAAGGAAAGGATGCTACGTCTGCAAGACCTGACAAGAGAAGACATAAGTCGCTACACGCGCGATACGCTTGATTCCCACAGAGCCTTCATCCACCTGAAGTCACGCGACAAGAACTATGAATATCTGGTGAATGAGATTGTGGACAGGGCCGACGGTGTCTTCCTATGGGTGATACTTGTCGTGCGTTCTCTAAGCGAAGGACTCACGAATGCCGATACCGTCTCTATGCTGCATCAGCGACTTCAGCAGCTCCCATCCGACCTCGAGCGGTTCTTCACCCATATTCTAGATGGTGTGGATGAAACATACCGGGAGGGAACAGCCAAAGCCTTTCAGATGGCCATGGCTGCTGTCTATCCTCTCCCACTGTGGGCTTTTTCGATCTTCAACGAAAATGAAACCGACCTAGCTTGCAAGACACCAATGACAGCGGATGAGATACGTGAACAAACAGAGCTTCTCAGTACGCGGCTCAATGCTCGCTGCAAAGGTCTACTTGAAGTAAGGCTTTCAAGCTCAAGTGATTATCCAGACTTGCACCGAGTCAAGTTCCTGCATCGAACAGTCCGAGATTTCCTCCGAGTCAAGAGTCTAGACTTGCTCATACCGAGGCAACACATCCATTTCGACGTTGACAAAGCTATTTGTATGGGCTTCCTTATGCAAATTAAGCAGCTGCACCTCCCCAATTCTCAAAGCCCCTACGCAAATGACAAAATGTTGGACACGGCTTTGAATGATCTCATATACTACGCAAATCTGGTGGAAAACCGGACAGGACAGCCCCCAGTTGACATTCTGGAAGAATGCTCGCGATGTTTTTCAAAGACACCCGCCCAGGGTCATAAGACCTTCTACCACTACGTCGTCCGCGAAGGTTTATTCAAGTACCTCCAACACCTTCTGCGCTCCAACGCCAACTTTCTCCGGACTGTCGGTGGAGAGCCTCTCTTGAGCATTGCGTTAACATCAACCGCTCAGCAATCCCAAGGGAGCAGATATAACTACGAGCTGAATCTCCCCGTCGTGCAATTGCTTCTAGACCATGGGGCCGACCCAAACCAATCATCTTACTATTCGGACGGATCAGTTTGGAAATATTTTGTGGGTTTCCTCCAATATTCGACGGCCGGTGGATCGATTGATCAAGAGGTCAAAGCCCAGGCATTCAGATTGATGATTAGCGCTGCTGCAAACATGAACATCGAGCTCTCAGAAAGACGAGAATTAGAACAAGTAGTGTATAGTACTTTTTCCTGGAACGAGGCAAAGCCTCTCATCCAGTTCATACGAGACTTGGAGCAAGGTGACTACCTCGATTTATACCCTACCCCAATCTATTGTGGTTTGACTGACTGTTGAAATAGTACGAAAGGTGGAGCGTGCTGCGATTACTCCGGCGATAGCTGTCGTCCATCAGAAGGTTGAAGCATGAAACAAATCAAACAAAACGGAGCAATGTGCGGTGACTCCAACAGAGACCTTTTATTCCTCAGAATACTGTAGGAGCAAAGAGAAAGCCCTAAGAAGATTAAGATGAGTTTTATGAACGGATATTTACAAGGCTACAGACACCCTGATGTTGGTTCAGATGTAGATATCTCGGATGAAAAGATAGCTATAGATATGGAGAGTACTAGATATAGTTTCTGGGCTAAGCTTGTCTGTTGTTTGAGATGAGTTTTCATATTAGTTTTATTTTATCATAACCACTTATACGAATTTCTCATATTAGTGAAATGTAGCAAAAATGGAGATAAAGAAATGGCACTATAGAGTGCGTAGAGGGTTAAAAGCTTCCTTGCTCCTTCTCTGGCCGTGCCATTCTTCTGAAGCTGGTAAGTCTCAACTTTTACATGAAGATATCCGTTGAGGTGAGGTGGGGTGGAAAGGGAGATACAAGCAATGGGAAATTGATGTTGAAATTAGTAAAGAATGTAATCACATGTCAAGGATATCGAGACGATAATTAAGTTTGAAAGTGGTTTTTAATTCATTGTAATAACCAGGTGGTGTACCGACCGCTAGATTACCATTTGCAAAAGGGCAAAATGTGTCCTTGAAACCAGCAAACAATCACGATAGATCCCGGAATACCTACCTTGGGTTTATCGTTTCGAAAGGTCAAGGGTGAAGTCCAATACTTGAGTTGTGAAGTTTCCTGAGAAGCATCTACGAACCCTCGTGATGCTCGGCCACAGAGTTCAGTGGCTTACATTCAATGGTGCATTTGTCCAATTTTAGACGAGCGCATCAGGCAGTCTAGGGTTTGATTCCTTCGAGATGGCGCTGCGCTCGATTCCACACAGTACCACTCCATACATACATACGTCTTACCGCCCGCAGACAGCGGGAGAGGGTAAGCCTGGATGGCACCCCGCACAGCCCAGCTGGGTAATGCTAGCTGGCCGTTCTCTTCGGCATGAGTTTCGGTACGGATCATGAGATGCCCAACCAATATTCACATTTAATCACGCAATGGTTTCGTGCGTGAACGACCCTGAGTGTGGCTGGGTGCAGATGGGGCGCAGTGCCAGGAGTGGCAGTGGCAGTGGCTGTTAAGGCAGGCAGCTGCACTCGAGCCCCGCATCCTCTAACTGGACCCTGCAAATGGGCAACTGGACCCTGTATTGGGGGTCTTGGACCCTGCAATCCCACTAAAGCTTTCCCACAGACCACTCGTTCTCTCCATTTGATCACACACACTGCTGCAAGGCAATGCACCTTGTACAGTGTGCGCCAACGGATGCCTGGCTAGCAATGACTGGTCTGCTTGTTGGGTCAGTCAGTCGCATGATGACACATTCACGGCACCGAGAAAGATCAAAAGTGCATCTGGCGCCGGCTCACTGCGCCCTACAACTTCCCAACCTCATCACCAAGCGTCAAGCTGGCCACGTACAACCCACCTGACACCTGCAAGACCACAAACCACAGTCATGTCGCCTGGCGATCGAGCACGGTATGATGAGTGGCTCTCCGAGAAGACCTCGAGGCTCAAGCGCGAGGACCCCGCCGACAGAGCCCGCGCACGCCAGAAGGAGGAGCTGAGGGAGACGGCCCAGGAGACAGTCCAATTCCTGCGCCGTGAGCTGAAGCACCGCGGCACCGAGGATGACGCCTACAAGTCGACTCTGTGCACCATGGGCACCACTCGGCGCCTCGTGCCTCTGGCGATCCCCCGCTTTCGCGACTCGGCGGAGATCCAGGTCTACAACGCAGACACGCTCAACGTCGCCATCGGCCTGTCACAGGCCGCCGCAAAGAGCGGTTACGACCCTGAGAAGCACAACACCCGGCCTCTCATTGTCAACTTCGCCAATCCCAACAAGCCGGGCGGCGGGTGGCTCAATGGGCAGCTCGCCCAGGAGGAGGCCATCTGCTACCGGAGCTCCCTCGCGCTGAGCCTCAACGAAAAGTTCTACCCGATGCGCAAGGACGAGGCCATCTACAGCCCCTACGTCATCATCGTCCGCGACGACCTGGAGTCGGGCCACGAGATCTACAAGTACCGCCTGCCGCCCATCAGCGCCGTCACCGTGGCCGCCATCCGCGAGCCCGAGGTGACGACGTACGAGCTGCAGAGCACCGTCGGCAAGCGCACCATCCACGAGAAGGACGTCTTCACCCACGACCAGGACCGCGACCTCACCAAGGCCAAGATGCGCCTCACGCTGCGCATGGCGCACAACAACGACCACCGCTGGCTGGTCCTCGGCGCCCTCGGGTGCGGCGTCCACAAGAACCCGGCCGAGGACATTGCGCACTGCTGGCTCGAGGTGCTGCGCGAGGACGAGTTCTCGGGCAACAGGTGGGCTCAGATCTGGTTCGCCGTGTTCGACCCCAAGGATGACGGGAATTATGACATTTTTCACAAGATTTTAAACGGGCAGCGGGTATGATTGACATGACTTGATGTGATATTTCGGATTTTCAGCTTGTAGCTAGCTCATGATACCAGACACTGTTTGAGGGGTAATTAAAATGCGATTTTTTGGGTTTACTACTTGATCTGTCTCAAGGTGCCATTGACTGATTCATTCATTGCCTTCACATTGCTGACTTTCTTCCATTGCATAGCTGTCCAGGAGGGTGGCAGGGGCTGGACAGGGTTGACGGGAACTAGAGGCTTCAGCCCACGCCGGACTGCCTGTCTATTGCCTTTCCGCAGCTCAGCAGCAGGCACACGCTCCGCATGGCGGCACAGCATCGCCGTCCAGTCTTCCTGCAAGGCGAACCGACTACGTTGCAGTCCTAGACTCCTACGAGCCCTCAACCCCGGTCCCATCCCGCCTGTGGCGCCAGCTATTGGAATGTGCCGGGCCAGGATCGAGCCCAATTGTGCACTTTCGGCCCTCAGCTCGCCTGCACAATTGTGTGGTGGCAGTTGACTGCTCAAACCGCTAGCGGGAAAAGGCGCCCATCCATGCAGCTGGCTGAAATGGCCCTGCAAGCTGGAGTCAGCGAGCCTGTGCGATGTGATGCTTGCCCCTGGGTGTGATGATAATATAGGTAGGCCGTACGGCTCGGCGTCTAGTGAGCTGGCGATGTCTCCCATATTCTCCTCTTACGACTCCTAGGTGCGGTATCTCAGGAATAACTTGAATACCATATTCATCTCCGACTAGATATCGGTTGCCTGCCGCGCACCTACTTACACCATCCTCTGGTCTCATAGCAAGCGCCGTCACAGTGGTTACAGCTAAGCTAGAAGATGGGTATCGTATGTCAGCAACCAACAACTTCTGTACCAGTCACTGGCGACTGACGTTCGTTCTTTTTTTCTAGAAATTAAGGAAATTAGACAGAAGTGACGTCCGTTTCCAAGAACGTATGTGCCAATCCACAAGATCTCTTGGAAACAACTGACCTAGAGCCTACCAGACGAGTACGAGTTCAACAGACGATGGCAGCATAGCGGCAAATACGCCCGAGTGCAGGAGGTTTTCCTCGCTAGGGATATCTCAGTGAACATGTCGGTCCGGGGCGTACGATTTAATAGATACAGGTACGCGCCGGAACTAAGCAAAACTCGGCAATCGGGCATATATCGCTGACTTGTGTGTTCGTCCAGAAAAGGTGCGCCGTGGATGCTGCTCTACCACGGGACGCAGCGTGCCTGCTACGCCGGCGAGTCGGGCGATTCGATTCACAACTGCTCCAACGCCGAGTGCAAGTTCTGCTCCATCCTGAAGGAGTCGTTCAAGATCTCGGAAGCCGGCTGTAAGTGACCCAGCACAAGGCGGAGTCGAAGGCTCTCTTCTTCCATTCTCGAGACTGACCAGCGTCCAGCAAGGAACAGACATGGCATGTTCGGCAAGGGGATTTACACAACACCAATTGCTTCAAGTAAGCCGAGCCCTTGCTCCCTGTTCCAGGTTCCCCAGACTAGCGACGGCGTGCTGATCGTGATCTAGAAGCAGACAACTACGCCAAGAACCATCACATCCGATCGCAGTTCCACGCCATCATCCTATGCCGGGTGGTTTGCGACAAGCCGCAGCTGATGCACCAAGCAGACCACTCGCTGATGGCACCCAGCTCCGACGAGTACAACTGTGTACGTGCCTTCCTCCCCACGATACTGTTGCTCCAACGAGATGTTAACTCGCTCACCAGGTTACGGCCGTAACGAAAGCCAATGGAGGGTCGGTGGAATATCCCGAGATCGTCGTGTATCGCGACGATGCCATCGTTCCGGTCGGTGTGATACTGTATACGCGTGAGGGATGGGCCCCCAGGAGACAAGCGCCTGCCAGAGGGGGATGAAAGACCCGTCGCCTATATAGATGCTTTCATCACTCTCTATCGCCTGATCAAAACATATTTGGAAGTTAACTGTAGGTCTAGCCGTTTGACATGGAATAATATTGGCATTGTGGTTTTGCCTCGACCCTGTACTGCCTATTCCCGCTTCACTTTCTGTTCAAAGTTAAGATGATCCTCTGTAGCAATGCTCGGAGAAATCGATAGAGCTCGGTTTTCCATCACGATAATCCCGAAATCGCCCTGTCTTCCACCCCCCGAATACTTTATCAAGAGGAGGCAATACAAAGAGCAATACGTCAAAGCCTTCCTCTCAAAAACCTTTGGAAAACGGTACTCAGTAGCGGTCCCAATGTTGACTGATCTCCCGCCATCCCGCTTAAAATGCCACCTAGGATGTTTCCCTCTGATGCCACTACCATCCGTGGTATTCCTTGAAGCACGTCACCCGCCGGCTACTAGATTTTGGGGCGCTTCATGAGCTCTGGGGATATCCCCAATGACTTTGACAGAGAAGACAATATACATCGTGTGATTTATTAGGTTAGCAACTGTTTTAGGATCTAGATTGACGGTAGCTTATAGAGCTTCTAGGCTTATCAGACCATCATAAAGCTGTACGCCGACGTCATACATCTGCGGTTTAGAACTATCATGAGAATTGATACCAATGTTGTTGGTATTGCCATCCCCTTTGAAAGACTACAACAATTTGGCACATGACAAGACACCAAAAGCCTTGCTATGATCATAGCACCGGCCGATGTGACTTCGGACTTCTAGGAGCTTGAATTTAGGTTACCACTTTCCAGTCCCCAGTACGCAGAGGTTTTGTTGATAGACAGGGATGTCTGATGACTGTTCCAATGGAAATCTCGCCTCCGTAGATACACCACAAGTTATCGGGTGTTTAAAACCAGTACTTCGGCCCCGGGATCTTCGTAGACCAAATTTCAAGCCACGTCCTATATCCTTTATGGTTGCTCTGAGATGACTGGCTAAAACTAATCCAAAGTGGAAATGCTATCGCGTTCAACATCTGATGTCAACGGGAGCCATGGCAGGTTAATTGAGGCTTGATATGAGACATCGAGCCCATAATCCGCTTTTTGTCATCTTTCTCCTTCATCTACACGGTCAACACAAGCTATGTTATTCACAGGTCGGGTCGAACATACATATAATTCGTGAAATTCTTCGTTGACGCCAGACGAAGCAAGATATGACACAATGTAGATGACCAATGCCTTGGCTGTATCACTTCAATTCTGTACCTTGGCTGATAACTTCTCATTATTCTTCCAGTGTTTATCAGGTAATCATCCTAAGATAGATTCACCCGAGCTTCTAACACGACGCTGTCTGCGTTGACACCGTCTAGACAGTTATCCAGATTAACATCCCACCAGTGAAATAAGCCGCTCAGTCGCATGTTCGTCTTGAGAACACCATTGAGGGCCTCATGGACCCCGGCTCTTTAACCTCAGGAACAGCTTTAGTCACCACAGGGGTTGGCCTTTTCAGCTTTTATTTTCAAGGGTTTTTTTTTCTGGCAACTAGTGGTTTCTTGATGATGTCTGAGCTAGATCACCGGTCCAAGGGATACTGAAAGGTTTCATCGTGGGATTCATGGTGTGTCATTACATCGCTTCTATGATTCTTTTCGCATCTCAAGCAAGTTGACGTCTTGATCCCTTGACTTCCTAGATGCAAAAGGCCAAGATTGATTATGCTAAGCACATGTTTCACGCAAGTTCCGTGAAATTTTGACAGCCAAAAGAGAAGATGAAGAGATCCATCCACTCCAGCCGATGCCGACTGAGAATCATTAGCACACCTTGCTGGTGCGTGAAGAAGAGGCCCTGATCATTCCACTCATAGGCAGAATTGCTCATTCTAAATAGCAACCGTCAGGCATTCAGCGAGTCTTCTCATTATACCCACCTCCCTCCCCTTCAGGATGCAGCGCCCATCTGGCAGTCGGAAGCCACATGCAGAGACTTGGCGCTCAAAAATCACTAGCAAGCCAGAATATAGGCTCATTGCCTGTCCTGATGACACTACCAACGTACGGCATCACTCCTAGAAAAAAGTTCCTAGGTTCGTGGCGTCCATCTCCTCCGAAGCGTTGTAAGTCTCCAACAGCCATTGCGATGTAAGTCTCCAACAGCCATTGCGAAGTATTTGACAGGATACAATTCAATGGCGATATCCAAGTGATCAGGTCTGTCAAGAATCTTGGAAAGAGCGAATGGTCCCAAATCAAAACGCTTGTAATTATCCATCTCATTACTCTTCTCCATCCAGAACCACCAACACACATCATCAACACCCATCACCACAACCCAACAACACAAACCACCAACCCAACCCCAACCATCCCCCACGACCTCACCAAACCCACCGCTCCCCCCTCCCTCCTCCCAACAGCAACCTCATACTGTCCCTCCACATTCCCCTGCGGCCAGTACTCGCACGCCAGAAACCACCCGTTGCCCCCGCACAACCTGCGCGCACACCCCACGTCCGTCGTGTTCCGCCAGACCAGCTGCGTAAAGTGTCCCGTCTCCTTGTCAAACCCCTGCCTCCCAAAGTCGTACTCGTCCCGCTCATTACCCCAGGCCTGGACGCTCGCCGTGGCGTTGGGGTAGCCCATGGCCAGGTTCTCGCCGTAGGGTCCCCCCGAGTGCTCGAAGACGCAGTCGCCGCCGTCGAGATAGTCGTCGGCGAAATCAGCGAGGGTGCCGTTCCAGACCACGTCCGCCGCGCCGTGCTGGGAGCGGTACGTGTTGGTGCTGTTGAGCACGGCGGACGTGAAGCGCTCGGTGTCGCGCCACTCGGGCTCGTCGGAGGGGATCGGCGCGGCGACGGTGACGGTGACCACCTGCTGAGGCTGTGAGAGGACCGGGTGCAAGAGATGGCAGACGACGGTCAAGTATAAATGGAGGAGTTTCATGATGCAAGCTCTTGTTGATTAAGCTAGCTGTTATGTACATGCAATATGGGCCATCCCCAAGAGACGAAGCTGAAAAGTATGCAGACGACATTGTCTTTGTCCCCTCTGCCCTTTGTCTAATTCCATGGTTGAGGTTAATCGTGCAGGTTTTCTGGCGCTGAAATCTTGATTGATAGGCAATCATAGCTGTCTTGGCAGCGCTCGTCGGGCGCTTCAAATGACGTAGCATCAGCAGGCATGGAGATATTTATACATGGATGCGCTCGTGGGCCGGGCGCGTAGAACAAGAGCGCAGTGCAGCCAATTGATCAAGCAGGGTTCAGTCTTTAGTAAATGCCATGTCCATTGCAGAGAACTCGATGCCGCATGTAGATAGACAATAGTACATGTCCTCTTGGTGTAGGCAGAAGAAATGAGTCTACCGTCGATAGTCCATCCACTGACTTAGCTTCATCAGCTCCGGACCAAAAGAACTGACTCAGCTCAATCTGCATCCCTCAATTGACTCGAGTGACTCGTCCTAGCTCGACCAGCTGACACGCCAGCCTCGGCATGCAAAAGGACATGTCGCACCGCGCAGACACAGTTCGCCTAGTGTGGGAGAGGCCCTCACGCGGCAGAAAGCATGTCGCCATCCTCGACAAGCCACGTCAACAGCGGACAGAGATTCCAACGCCGCGATTCTAGACCCTGCGAGCCCTTCACACACGCGTCCGCTGGCTCGCCCTCGAAGACAGGGCTGCCCTCGCGAGTCAACCTACCCCGGATTTGTCAGTCGTGTGTCTGAGGGAGGGCGGGTGGTTCCCCCAACAGGACCCGGGCCACTCAGCCGATCGGATTCCCCTTTCTCTCTTGGTGTCTCATTTCTCTCTCGCGCTCTGCAGTCATCTCTGGGCCGAGGGATGGCTTGGAGGAACGCCCAGTGTTGGTGTCTCTCGATCGAGTCCACCCCGTCACTTCCGCAGCAGCCCGCTAATATCCGCCGTTATGCCCGGACAAGCCGCTGGTCCAGGTCGTGCCAATTGCAAGATGCGTCGATGCTCTCTCATCTGCCCCAGGCCGTATTTGGAATATCCTGCAGACGACCAGCGGACACGATGCCCTTCTCCCCAGATGATGGAACCTCGCTCGCAGCGTCGCTCCCATCCCACCCCATCATGCACCAGGGTAATTAAGGGCTGGTTACCTCCCCCGTATCAACGGTCGACCGTGAAGTTCATCACAGGGGATGGGGTCCCGCCCCATCCAGGACCGCCTGGGCCAAACACTACGCTGACCCACGGGGCGGAACCCCGGGCGAGGAGCTGGGTTGGTGTAGTGGGAGGCGAGATGAGAGGCTCGCGCGGTCTTTGTCTAGTCCTGCTGCTAGCTTGTTCGAGGGGATGTGCGGCCTGCAGCCTGCCATCCACGACACACAGTACGGACTCGAGGCGACATGGAATAATCTGGGGAAACAGGGGACCCTTTCTAACTTTTTTTCTTCCCTTCCCATGATTCCCCAATGACGCCTGGGTGTGGTAGGTGCACCGACCGGTTCCTTAGTTTCAGGAACCTCGGACGACGATCTTTTGCCAGTGCGCCCGTTGCTTCATCCAGGCGGGCGTTCATTTGAGGAGAGTCCTGCCGCCGTTTGTCGTCTTGGTGGCTGGTGGTCGACGACATGCAACGACATTGAACGACATCCGACGACATTCCTTGAACCAGGTCCTACCCGGGACTTAGAGTAAAACGGTGAATTAATGATACCAGGCCGTGCATGCGATGTGGTATTTCTCTGTTGGGCCTGCCTTTGTCCCGACTTGTAGCTTGGCCCGATTCTCCATTTCCGGGCTGTGCTTACTATCGACTTAGTAGTATATGCGGCAGGCAGGTCAATTGACCGAGTTTCAAATCTTAGTCGCATGCGCCTTTCTCCAACAGCGGAAAGAGGCGATCCCATGCACGAATTGTGCGGCATAACTTGCACAAAGACTACGCGTTCGTGTTGTGTAGACCGTGCCCCTGCGGATTGATAAGCAACCAAACAGTGGAATAACATATGCTTGATACAGTCGTTGCGACTCTCTGCCTCAGTAGCCAACCGTTTAGACGCCTGGGACTGGCCGTTGGCGGATAAGATAAGCAGCGTCGAGTGTGAGTCACACTTGGAGTGACCTCAGTCTGTATGTACCTCAGCTGGACCCTCCTCGGATCGGATCCGTCCAAGGAGCCACACACGAGAGAGCAAGTCCAGCACAGTGCTGCCAACCTGCCGGTCCACACAGTCCGGTACCGCATCCTCCGTACACTGTCTGTGCTCCTGGCAAGGCACCCTGTCCGGCGACCCATTAGTTGGGAGCTTGAAGGCAGCCAGCAGCTTGCTTTGGCCTCAGCGCTGCAGGAGGATGATGATCGTCGCCTTGCCACTGGCCCATTGTCCATCTCGGCGCCGAAGCCGTCGCTGCTGCTCATGCCGTGACCGTTACACTGCCACGACTGAACCGCAGCAACCGGTCAATGGCGCATCGTCACCATTGTCGCAATCACCCTGCCCAAGCTCTGGTCCTCGTCAATGCGGCTAAGCAGACAGACCTAAGATACCCAGATCAGATCCGGTGGAGTTGGCCCTTCCTGACAGGTCCACCCGAGCGTTGGCGCTTGGAGCGGAACCCCGTTGGGTCAGATGGTCCCCCATATCAGTCTCATCCTGGCTGGTTTCCTCTCCCAGTTCCCACTCGGAAAGCGCTAGCTGTCCAACAATCGTACAGCCTAATACGGTTAATTTCCAGTGTGAGATTAGCATCGAGCTTGCAATCGACAAGTCGTGGCGCCATCAATAGCCATGCCGTTGCTCCAATGGCACGCCTTAATTGAGTTCGATATGGGTAGCTCCAAGCATGCATGCCTCGTCTGCTGATATCCCACCCATGCATGCTTCGGAGGCATATCCCCGAGCGAGCCGTGGCCCTGTCTAAGTTCCAACTTGCAGAGGAATGAACTTTGTCTGGGTGAACAATCTAGCCCACGAAACCATGGGCCCTGAATCATCATCTGGGGCCTGTATGGCTTCCTTGGCCATCGCAAGTAATAAGCAAGGGAATGACGGCAGGCCCGGAGAACAATTGTTCCCTTTAGCGATCTTTAGCGCTCCATGTCTTTCATCCATGCAAGAACAATGGAATGGGGTCTGAATAAGAATGCATAGACGGGTATTCATCCGAAGCGAAATATCAGGTGGGAGGCAGCATCACCCTGTGCAACGAGCCAGAAGAGGTTGCGTATCCCCCGGGCTGCCATCTCTTACCAGCAGCCTGGTTGACGTGCAAGCTCCCGAGGCCTTGGGTAACAATGTAGAGGATCCGGGGTTCAGTGCCCGTTGCCTTGGGTAGATTCCAGTTCTGATAAGCATCTCAGAAATCCTCCGCAAGGAAATTAGGCTCTGGCCATTAGCCAATCGGCAGGGCACCACATGTGGCGCCATCAACGTTGGCCGTTGAGACGGTTAGCTTTGCTCTGTGAGACAGATTCCCTCGGGACCCGGAAACGGCCAAGCATTCCCGACCGGAATCAATCACAACATCGATCCAATTAATGGTCAATCTTCCCAAGGCACCTAAGACAAGAGAGAGAAAGTATGGAAAGTAAGAGGACGAGAAAAAGAGCAAGAAGAAAATAAAAAGAGAAGGCACTCAGAGATCGAAAGGAAAGAAAGGCGAGACTGTTATCCGATTGAGCTGATTAGAGCGATGCCACACATCCATATCATGAAATGTTCGCTCACTACTGACCTAGGTATGTAGTTGCTTTGGGCTACCCCTACTCCTTTTGGAATGTGTCCCCCGACTTTTATCGGGTATTATGTGAAACTTGGCATTGGAGGGCGAGATGACCAGCCATCCATTGCCATTGATCAGGATGAGACAGTGACTGACGTCCCACTTACCATCGTGAGATTGAAGATCAAACAAGAATTGGAGAAAGATGATTCTCCTGTCTTGCTGATGGCGACGATGCTGAAGCTCGATTATATAAATGAGTTGGGTTTTTCCACTTCTGTGAGAATATATCAGCATCACTCCCTCTCAACTCTCAGTCTCATATCCTCACAGCCCTCTTTCGCAGTCTACCCTCTATACCTGCCCACCATGAAGTTTTCCAGCATCTACACCATTGCAACTCTTGCCGCTGTCGGCATGGCAGCTCCTGCCATTGTTCGTCGCGAGGACTCGGCTGCTGGTGCAGAGCTGGTGTCGCTGGATGGTGCCCTCAACACCTTGGGTGGACAGTCGACTACTGCATCCGAAGCTGCCGCCCCTGCCAGCGTCAACGCTGTCTCCCCATACATCATCACCATATCCGCCACCATCAACAACCTGGAAAGGAGCAACTTCGATAAGCTGTCCTCCATCAGTAAGTCTAGTCCCCGCCTCGGTCTTCGATAAGTTCTCCATTGCTAACCAGATCGCTAGACAACGTCATTAGGGGAACCTACAAAGTGACTGACGCCAACAAGGTTGCTGGCGCCCAGTCTGCCCTCGGCACCACCTTCTCGAACCTGTACCAGGACATTCAGTCTGCCACCAACATTCTTGCTCGCGTCACCGTTTTTGTGCCCGCAGACCTCCAGCAGTCCGACATCCAGGCGCTCACAAACTCCATCTATGCTGCCCAGCGTATCATTGCCCGAACCCAGCAGGTTTTGGCCAACGCCAACCAATTCCTCTCTCCCAGCATCCTGAAGAACGTCCAGCCTCAGATCCAGGCCATCAAGAGCAGCATTCAGGGTCTCACCGACCCCCTGACCTCGTTCGCTGGTAGAATTGTCGATGCTCTGCCTAACCTCAACTTGACTACTCTGCTCGCCTCAGCTCAGAACCTTGCTAGGCTTCTCGTTGGTATCACCCAGGCTGCTGTTACCCTGCCCAACCTTGCCAATGTCAGCAACATTGGAAATCCTCTTTCTCTGTCCCTCAACCTGATCTTGGGCCCCAAGCCCGTCGCCATCTAAGCGTGACCACTTGAGCCAAAACATTATGGGGTTGGCCGAGTAGCTGAAGATGTTGGATCCATTGGTGGCCAGCGATGGATCAATTCGCATACCAAGATAATTTTACCGCATGTAATTTCAACTAGGTTTCAGAGCAACCACTTAATACACTAATAATCCTCTCCTGTTGTCAGAGTAAGCTTTGTTCCATGTTGTCCTTGCACTATCCGTACCAACTCACAATTGAGGTAACATGGTTACATTGAGTGGTTCTTTGCTGTCGCATTGAACTAGTGCCAAAAAAAAAGTAAGTTGCCGACGGGTTCTCAATTCGGCATCAGGGTCGTAGGTGGCAAGTAAGGACCCAAACTATTCAAAATATTTTCCTCATCTTAGGCTCATGCAGGTTCGTATGGAGTAAGTGGCCATGCAGATGAATCCGTAGTGGCGAATGCTGAGAAGGGAAATTTCTCAATTGACTTGGCCACCGTAAGGCTTGCCAACCCACGCAAGGTAACAGTTGCTTGCCAAGCTTGCCTCCAAGGTATCAATGGATGGGCAGACCAACCCTGTCTGCCACCAGAGTTCTGACGTACATCAATCGTGTTGCAATGTGGACCCGGTCAAGAAAACACAGGGGAGTGCCCCATTGAATGATGGATTGACTGGGACCCTCATATTCGATATCAATTGGCTCCTGTGAGGGCGAGTCTCTGTGTGAACGCAAATGTGCTTCTCATCGTGGCCACGCAGCCAATGACACCCTTGACATTTGCTGCATGTTCAAGAAGAAGAGGCTCCGAAGTACTGTACCTACCAGGGGGGCTTATCTGTATTGGCATGCAAGTACAAAATGTACATGCGTGCTCATGGCCATGGACTTGCAGCAAGGCGTGGCAGGGTGGTCCGGTGACTATTTCAAACCAATGAGAAGGGCCCCCACTGCGGTGAGCAAGGGTCCAAGGTCTCCGTTGTTATGCCGCTGGTATCCTCATTGGCTGCCGAAGGCGTTTCATTGACCTCAGGTGGTAGGGCAGGGTTTTTATCGGGTGGTTTAGTAATATTTATTTTTGCACATATGTTGGTTCTTGGTAAGGCTCGTGTACTGATCAGGCGTGAAGGAAAAAGTTTTTCTTTCTTCCATCGTCCAGTTTGGGCCGTCTGACATGGAATCTATCTGGCGGTGAGCGTATTCGCGAGGGACAAAAGGTGAGATCCGCACGGGAAGAGGGGCGCCCGCGAAGTGAGGTGAAACTTGGTCGAAAACGAGGCAGATGAGTAGGTCGAGTTGTCTCAACAGTAACGTGATAAGCGTGGAGACCGGTCCGGCGCTAAAAATTCTAGAAGCGAGCGTTGAGCGAGGGCCAAGCATCGTCGTGGATGGAACAGGGCATTACGCACCATCAGCCATGATATTTAGAGCCTGCGTGGCTGCGATTCGTTGTTGGGGACTGGGTCGGCGGTGGATCTTGGTGCAACCGTTCCCCATCCTATCCATTATCCGTAGCCAGTAGGGGCCCTGTGTAGGCTGTTGAGCATGTAACTATATGTAGCCGCATACGGATCGAGACGAAATCAAGCGTGTGTGAGTGTGAGATGGAGTGGTGGATGAGTGCAGTGAGCGGCATGAGGGCTCCATTCCCCTAAGGCAAGGCATCTCATGCAGGCAGGCGCGGTAAGATGGTGTGACAGTCGATCAGACTCGCAGCTGATAGTGATATGGTAGACGGTTGAACGCATAGATAGCACAACCTGCCGGGCTGTGAAGGTGTGGAAAATGGGAGAGGGAGTGGGAGTGGCGGGATCTACGGATTGACGAATTTTCTTCTTACCGTTGAGGCATTCATGGGCGGAAGGTGCCAGGCGACCGCACCTGCCAATGGATTCCAACCGAATCCATCGGCAGGTGCAATGCTGCATCTGCATCTTCTGTAGCACTGCCGACCAACCAGCAACCAACTCCATCAGCACGCTCACCAATCTGGATGTGCGTACATAGCACATACATATAATACACATGCATACATACACACTTACATGCCTACACCAAATCACACATGCACATTGCATGCACACACTGGTGGCGACTGACCAGCCTGTGCATGCCTGCTTGGGTGTATACACAAGCACCTGAACCTTGCCCACATCTATGAGGCATCTCGTGCACAGCGGCATAGCACAACTGGCCGTGCCTCGATTATGATCCATCTTCCTGGCGGAGGATGTCTCTCCATGCCTCGGTCAAGACGGGTGCTCATTCGGCGTGCACCGAATGCTGCGACAGCCTCAGGAACAGACCACATGGTTTCAGGCTGACATGGCATGGCTGTCTGTCCTAATCCCAAGCCAAATCTTCTCCATGTCTCACTTCTCCCACATCCTCCAGCCACCACAGACCACATGCAGTAATATCGTCACCCCAATGCACGCGCGCATTGGAGCTTGGCCGTGTGTGTGTGTCGCAACTTTTCTCCATGATATGTCGGTCTGGAACCCATCTATACCTGCACCACCGTGTGATTGCCCCCAGGTTTCCAACCTGCTCGCTCGACCTCCCGACCAATTGCCCCCAAATGCAAAGCAACCCTTTATTTGATATCAACCCGGGGCAGCACGACAGTAATACGTAGCGGCACACGTCCGCCTACCCTCCACTAACACGACGACAGCCGCGCTAATGTACAAGAGGTAGTAAAGAACCAGCCACAAGTTGCATCCACCAGCAAAACCCACGCAACAGGGGTTCTGTCTAGATAGCATCAGAGTCGGAGCTTGACCCTGGGGGGGAAACCGATCGCCCCGCGGTGCTACGGCCTGGGCTGCTTGCACCACAGAAGCTAGCCCGCTGAAATGCTGGCAGACAAGGCCGAGTGATCTGCGGGACGGACATTCCTGTTTGAAATGCATACATGCGTATAACATCCTGACATGACCTACATGCAGCTGTAGACATAGCTCCAGCAATACCACGGTCGCCTCAATGGAACTGGCAATGGTTACGTAGACGTCGCAACGGCCTGGTACAACCCAATTAAATCGTCATTTGGTTGGAAACGCCCACATGTCTGGACTGATATAAGCTTATCCCAAGGCTGCCGGTGGAAGGAATGCGGGATATTTTCCTTGAATAAAATGAGCCATCACAACAATTATTCTGCATAGTTGGAAGCCACGCCGAGGCGAAAGGGTTTATAATAGGCAGATCAGCAGGCAAATCCGTCGAGGGCCGATTATTGTGAAGTTAGCATTGGGTGCAAGGTTGGGCTGCGCTGGAACTGGGCCCACACGACTGGCTCCTGCAAAAGTCTCTTGTTGCAGGCAATGTACATTCTGGCATGGCGGCGTGTGTCGCTGGCCCAGCGTGCACTGTGCGACGTCACGGTGGCACCGGCGAATCTACAGTACATGCTCGAATGCGAAAGACAAACAAGCACGGCTCTGCTCTGTCTGCCATTGCGTCAATAAGTGAGAGGCCTCTCTGGCTGCGGCTCGTCTGCTTCGCCTCTCGCGGGAGCAATTCCCCGAAAGTCCCTGACAAGCTCCGGATTCGTTTCTCTCTGCAACCCGTGCTCTGCTCTGCTTTGCTTTTGGATTTGGACTTGCCGTTGGATTTGCCGCCTGACCTGATCTTACCTGACCCGACCAAGCGCCGGGCCAATTCCTGGAAACTAGAGCCAACATATGAAGCCGGACCCAGACTGGCCGCATTCGGCGGGCGCTTCGCATAACAATTGACTCGTATTGGCTGTTGGGCCGTCGATGCTAGAGCTTGTCGTCGCAGCCTTCTCTCCAGCTCGACATAACAGCCTGCTCAACCCGTGGTACCTACCTAAATAAATCAGACGTGCGAAACGGCTGGAAATCCTTCCATCCCAGTCGCGCCCCTCTGGTCCTCTCTGGCCGCCGGTAGTTAGGTGGGCTGCCTTGGCGCTGTCCTTGTCCTTGTCCCAGTTGTGCTGGGGGCAGGCAAGGGGTGTTGTGCCGATTTCGTGGCCCCGTGATCGATGAGAATGCCCATCCCCGGCGATGCGATTGTGCCGTGGGCTAATTGCAAGAATAATATCACACACATCCTATTACTCCGGACTTTGCAGGCCAGGTTCATCCTCCATCTCGCTTGTCACCTTTGCCCCCAGAGACCCTTGCTCCCAGTTGAGAGACCCCCTGTAGCGGTTGCGAGGCTACTGAATAGGGAACACGCTTAGCATCATGGTGCCATTCCGGCTGCATAGTTATGGCAGGCCACTATCCCATCTTGTCTTGACGTTTGGGGCCGTGGCGTCTGAAACGGAGACGGGATCATTGGAACCTCTGCATTGCCTATCGCGAGACCGCAGATACGTAGACAGATCCTGGCGGGCAATGCCATAAGCACGCACCCAGCCACGGGAGGTAAGTGTCAATACTTTCTGCGCACCAGCGCTGGACTCGACTCGGCCTACGAGGTTAGTAGAGGTTGTCTATCCCGCGTGCAGCCAAGCCAAGAGCGTGCAGAGGCGGCGCACGCCAGTCACCCGCTGGGAAAGTACCCACGACCAGCCAGCACAGGCCAGGACGGCTCTACCACAACCTCTACTGCTGCCGCTAGGCCCAGCACAGGCAAGCGGCGCAGGCCCTGGACCCAGCCATCCACGACCTCTGCAGGAGTGCTAATTTAAATACTCTTTACGCTACTCCGTACATACGAAGCAGGCCCGCGAGCCAATTGCGTCGGCCTGCACGGCGCTGGGGTCGGGCTGCTGCTCGGTGGTTGGGTCCATAGCCATCTGTAACAGACTATCACTGGAACCTGGCCGGGGCTAGCACTTGCTTCCGTGCTCACAGGCTGTGCTGGGGCCAAGTACCTCGCCGACAGGGGTGCAGAGCCACTGGCACATCGCATGTAACAGCGAGGCTCCGCACCGTGCTAGAACACTGTGCACCCTCGGTCTTTCCTGCATTTTCGCCATCCTATCCCATCCTCGCTCGCCTGGCGCTGGGCCTGCGACTGGGACGCCGACTGGGACTGGCACCAGACCCAGGACAGGATTGACCGGCGAGCGAGCAGGCCAAACCCTCCCTTTCTTGCCGCAGCTTTCCACTAGCTTGACCTTGCTCTTCTTCTTCTCTTCTTTCTTTCTCTCTGCCTGGACCTTCTCTCTCACCAAGCTTCTCATTCTTTCTCTTCATTCCCGCATTGATAGACGATTGATTGAGTTGCTTCGTGTCGTGTCCACGTCTTCCTCCACCGTCGCCATCCCCATCGACGGCTCGCGCACCACCACGTCCCAGCTTATCATCATCCTTACAACCACCCAGCTCCGGAGCATGCGCTTTGCGGTCGCCGAGCAATCGCCGTTGCAAGCCTCTTCTTGACTGAACTGAGGCCACCGTCCCGCTGACGATACAACGCCCACCCTCGATACACGTCGAGCATCAGCGCCCCTCCGCCCCACGACGAAGCTCCAATTCCCGCCCCAGCTAGCCTCTATTTTCCCGACAAGCCCTCTCTGGATTGCAAGCAGCCGCCGCCAACAATCGCAGCGAGCAACAAACCGAACCCTACCTCGTCATCACCGTCGCATTCACATCCCTCATTTATTTTGCCATGGTTATGAACGATTCTGGAGTCAGAGTCTCACGCTCTGCGGCTACCATGTCTGCCTCCATAGCTCCCAACGCTGGCGTTGCCAACGCGGATGACTCTGGTGAGTCTGACACAACCCCTCCCCCCACCATGGCCCCTACATGCCTCAATCCCTCTGCCCCTCCTGTTCCTCTAGCTTGGTGTCGCGGGTCCCCGCTATGGCGACAACAACAACAGTGGGATTCAGAGCTGTCTCTCACCCCAAAGCCGCCCACCCTCCCCCTAAATTATTTCCTGTCACCGTCATAAAAAAAGGAGAGAAGAGGCAAAAAAAAAGAAGAAAAATTCACTCTAGTCGAAACCTTCCATGTCACTCACGGCTTTGACTGACCGTCGTCCAGCGTCGACAATTACTGTTAATACCGCCAAACCCCCTCCAAACAATTTCCCGCCCCCTAAAACCGACAAGCCTCGTCCTCATGTTTGCGGGACATGTCAGCGCTCTTTTGCTCGACTAGAACATCTCAAGCGCCATGAGCGCTCCCACACCAAGGAGAAGCCGTTCGAGTGCCCTCAATGTGCGCGATGCTTCGCCCGCCGTGACTTGCTGCTCCGCCACCAGCAAAAGCTTCACCAAACATCGACGCCTTCCTCCCGCCCACGAAATCGACGCGAGTCTACCAGTGGTGCCACTCCCGCTCAGAGCCGGGCCCGAAAGAATAGTGTGGCCAATGCTGCAGCGAGTGCCAATGCAGCGGCCAACACTATGCGCCCCAGGGCCAACACCATAAGCCATGTTGATCAGAACACGATGCAACTCATGGCCCAGGCTGTTGCCCCCGCCAACAGGATGCCGCCCACCCACAACCGTCATCCCAGTCTTGCTGGTCTCCCTATTCATGGTTTCGACCATACATTTGCCAGCATGGCTACTGCCATGGGTCAAAGGGGAACATTCCATGCCCTGCCCAAGCTCGAGACGGCGCAGAACAACGTTGCCAACGACTTCAACAACAACGGGTTGAGAACAGCGCCCCCTCTTGCCGCCCTGAACCATGACTTTGACTTTGAGCAGCTTCTTTACGGTGGCACCATGTCCTCGACCATAAACCCCAATGCTCTCCACTACAATGACTCGCCCCCCTCCATGGCGCTGGACACCTCTTCATTCCCCTCCTCCCTGACCGACATGTCGGCGAGCCAGCCCTTCGATGATAGTTTTGACTGGTTGACAGGATTTGAAAACCAAATGTCCTTCAATACCGAGAATGTGGTGGAAGAATCGAGTCCTTCGGCGATTAGTACAACCAGCCAGAGTGGGATTAGCGATGTAATGTTGGATGGGTCGAACCACAAGGCACCGGCTGGAACGAGCGCCATGTGGCAGGCCTCACTCATGGCACCTCCCCAGATGCCAAATCCGTTTTCGTTGGATATCAATGGGTCAGTCTTTCCGGATCTCCTAAACGGGGCTCCTTTGTCACCTCAGCCAGCACCAGCTACAACTTCTCAAAAGACCAATGACCCATACTTGTCCACGCCCTCATCCGCGATGACCTCCCTCGTATCAGGCCTGACAGCTCACCAAACCATGAACCACACCCTTGGCTTCAACGCCCTCCCAGAAACGCCCTCCCCGTTGAGTGGCGGAAACCATGGTGCCGCCTCACCTGTGACAACAATAACAGAGTCCACCCGGATTACCATCGTGAACGCCTTGTCCCAGTGTTTGCCCTTTGGCGGCCGTAAATACTCATTTGGTTCGCAGGGCCGTTCGCAATCCCCGGGAGTCCAGTCCGTGCCCGGTCAAACACACAATCTGCCCAGTACCCAGGACCTCCAGCGATATGTCCGAGCTTATGTTTCCTATTTCCATCCTCATATGCCTTTTCTCCATCTTCCTACACTCTCTTTTGATCCACAGTCCTCCCAAAATGTTCACACGAATGGCGTAGGTGGTAGTGGTTGCCTAATTCTTTCCATGGCCGCAATTGGCGCCCTTTACGAGATGAACCATACCCAGTCCCGAGAACTCTTTGAAAACTCCAAGAAATTGATACTCTTCTACCTCGAGGAGCGGCGCAAGGCCGACGTGCGCAAAGCAGACGTCCGGCGAAGCACCTCCAGCGTTGACAATTCTAACCCTATGGACGAAGGAGGAAAGCACACCCCGGTTTGGCTCGTACAGGCGATGCTCCTCAACGTCGTTTACGGACACAACTGCGGCGACAAGACGGCAAGCGATATCGCCTCGACCCACTGTGCTGCACTGGTCAGCTTGGCTCGGGCCGCGGACCTCTTGCGCCCAACGGAACCGCATCCTTCTGGACAGGACACTGCCATGGATGACAGCAGCTGGAAGATCAAGACGGAGAGCGAAGAGCACGAGGAGTGGCTACAGTGGAAAACCGCGGAGGAGCGTAAGCGAACCCTGTTTACTGTTTTTGTCTTGTCTAGTATACTTGTAACTGCCTACAACCACACCCCAGCTCTGACCAATTCGGAAATCTTCCTGGATCTCCCCTGCGAAGAGGAATACTTCGCGGCTGAGTCGAGTGTCGCTTTCGCCGCCAAGGGTGGCGTCGCAGCTGCCAACTGCAACACTCTGACCTTCCATGACGCGCTTGGCGAACTGCTCCGAACCAACGAGAGGCAGCAACATATTATGAACGTCACAGGCTTTAGTCCCACTGAAAATGAGCTACCGAAGACAGATATCAAACCGAGCACGCTTGGATGCCTCCTGCTCATATACGCCCTCCACAACTATATCTGGGAGACGAGACAGCGACATCACAACAAGACTTGGACAAACGAGGAGACGGAGAAGATGTACCGTCACATCGAGCCTGCTCTCAAAGCCTGGCAAACTGCATGGGCAAGCAACCCCCATCATAGCGTTGAGCTCCCGAACCCGTATGGCATGGGCCCATTATCTGCCGATGCTATTCCACTTCTTGATCTTGCATACGTGCGTCTGTTTGTGAATCTTTCAAGATCCAAGGAGAGGTTCTGGCAGAGGGACTGGGATGGCGTGGCCGAAGAGTTGGCACGAGGCTCTGAAATCATCCAGCACGCCGTTCAGTCTCCACTCGGCTCAGACGCCATGGCTATTGAGGACAGCGACAATAAGCAAGCTGATGGGCTCAACAGCCACGGCATGTCTCGCCGCGAGAAACACCTTCGGAAAGCTGCCTCGTATGCCGCAGACTCGCTTGCCATGTCCAACAAACTCGGTGTAACATTTGCCGACCTGACCAGCCGCGAGTTGTCACTGCAGTCGGCCATTTGTGCTTTCGATTGCGCACAGGTCCTAGCCGAATGGATCGCAACACTACAAGATCGGGTTGGGCAGTACCTCGGCATACTGGGCCAGGACAACATGGACCTCACCCAGGTTCCCGCCATTGTGCTACTCGAGGACGAGGATATCAAGCTCTTGACCCGTGCCAACGAAGTTATTACCTCGATGGAACAAAAGGTCAACCTGGACCAAGGGGTATCCTCGGAAGAGCACAGGGGCTATGCGACAAGAATCTTGCGGCTCACGGCATACTCACTGGAGAAATCCGCGGTCTGGCCTGTCTTCCACCTCATGGCACGATGCCTAGAGACACACGCGGGCCATACTCGGGCCAGAGCTGAGAAGTCAGTGGCTCAAATGGAATGAGTGATACCCAGAGTTTCACAAATGGACATGCAAGGTGTGATCTGGCGAACGTTTTGGTTGCTTTGATTGATTGAATGAACCATGTGACGACAAAAGTCGGTCGGCAGGCGTTGGCATGTTTTAAATCGCATGATCTTTTCTTTTCTTTTCCATTCCCATTTCGTTTGAAATTCTTTCTTTTGACTACGACAGGCGACAAGGTATTGGCGATGTTGTTTTCTGGGGCGTATTTTGTTTTATTTTACTGCAACGAGTGTAACGGTTCAAATTCACCAACGGAGCGCACGGACGTACGAAGCTATGCAAGAGCTCTTAGAAGCAATTCAATGTTGTACATAAGCTGTCCAAAAATGGAATGTGTTATTAGTGCCTAGAATGACTTAATAATGGACACGTGGAATGAGGTTGGTGATGGATTGACTTTCGTAGCTCAGTGAACGAGACGAATTGAGTTTGCTGTTGCTATCTAGGGTAGGTAGCTTGCAATGCGCAATCACTGCTTGGAAATCGCCTGATGCATTCCCCCCAAATGATCAACTTCTCATATTGAACTCTTTTTACATGAAACTCATCCCGGATTGAATGAGGTTCGATCGGTTTCCTTTACAATCACATTTGGCCTGCCAACGTGGACACATACCTGGCCTTTGGTGTGCTGTTGGAAGCTATCACACCCTCGTAAGCCTCATTACTGTACTGGATTGACGTACTTACTGTATAAACTCTTCGTAATGAAAGCCCGACACATGAGGCACTGCTGACGGGGAGGGCGGAACACAAAAGTGAGAAGGCTGCAGAACATCAGCGAGCTAGATGTTGACGTGAGAGGGCAGTTCACCCGCGTAAGCTGTAGGTATTTTGGGTGGGGTCGGCTTCAGCCTAGCTTCTGCACCAGGCAATGACGAAACGCTCCTGAGGCGTAGTCAAGGGCGTTTTTGGTGGGACTTGACATCGTATATGCCTTCTGAGAGAACAATCTCAGTGGCTTTTCGGTTTTTTTTGTGTCCCTCTTACATCAACTTTCTTGAAACCGCCTGTAATCTTATCGTGATACAGCTTTAACCTGAACCACCATATCGCATTGCGGCCCTCCTGTGTCCTACCAACAGGGAGTTTACAACATGGCCAGCGAGGCCCCTGATTTGGCGAATCCGCCAGCAGGAGACAACACAGACCAAGATGCTGGTTTGCTCCTCCTACCGGCGACACAATACGTGCCACCTCCTACGCCCACGAATACAACTCAGGGACCCGACAGGGCGGCGACTGCTACGAGTGCCCGGCCGCCTCCTGTCCCCAGCTCGGCCACCACGCACCTGGGACCTGCCCCGGAGTTCCACTTCACGTTCCCGGACAGGCTGAGGGGCTGGGACAAGTCCGTCGCGGCGTGGCTCCAGGAGAACAACAAGTACTTCTCTGGCGTGGCGGCGTCGGCCGTCGTCTTCAAGGGGGACCGTGTGCTGGTGCTGCAGCGGGCACCGCACGACAGCATGCCGCTCCAGTGGGAGCCGCCGGGGGGTGGCGTGGACCCCGAGGAGACGATACTGAATGGGTGCGCGAGGGAGTTGTGGGAGGAGGCGGGGTTGGTGGCTAAGCGGGTGGTGAGGGTTGTGCCGCCGCCGGAGACCAAGGATGGTGATGAGGTCGAGAGGGAGGATAGGGATCTGGGGATTCCGTTCTCGAATAGGGCGGGTGACAAGTTTTATTACAAGTTTACGTTTGAGGTGGAGGTGGATGATGCTGAGGCTGTGAGGACTGATCCGAATGAGCATATGGGCTGGATGTGGTTGACGGAGGAGGAGGTTGAGAATTGTCGGACTTCAAGCGGCAGTACTGTTTCCTTTACGATGAGCTCGGTGAGGAAACAGTTACTGGGGGCTTTTGCTTTGAGAAAGGCGGGTTAGGGACTGGTTTGGTTCATCTGATGCGTGGTTGTTCATATGGATTGCGGGAGGCTACCTCAGAATAGACGAGATATGTACGTCAGATAATGATTTATGTTAGACGATGAATGAACACTGATCTGCATCATCACAGGTAATCAGTTAAAATAAGAATTGTGACCCAGGCGCTGGAACAAACATCTCAAGCCTTCTCCTTGGACCTGGTAACTCGCTTCCTTGTCAGTGGCAGGCCAGTTCTCGACCGCACAGAGGGCGAACCCTTATATATTACTTCCCCGGGCCCGTCATTCAACAGACCACATAGCGCAGTGGTCAACGGTGCACCGCTCCGATGACGCATATGCCCAGCGATGTACTCGCACTGATCATGAGGCCGGCTCTAGGTGCGATGCCCTCCTGCTGATGGCAGGAAGGGCAGAGCCGATACATCGCGTGTGAGGGCGCCCGCAACAGGAGCTCCTCGGTTCGATTCTGGGTTCAAGAACTGAGCAGAGGCACTTTTTTTTTTATCTTTTTGGCCTTGGTTTTTGAATTGTATGTTGGTCTAAGTATAGTGATGTGTATGACGCCCTCGCTCCCGTTTGCTTACTTGCTGATGATGAGGCAAGTGTGGGATGTGTATCTTGACAAGGTACCATTTTTCTTCCTTGGTATTTTCTGCTACGCTCTTGTCCAAGTCTCTTCTTGGACAGTGTGCTTGGGCGTATTATTTATTGGATTAGTAACTTGGAAGTTCATACTTGGTTTCGGCGTGATGACAATCACCATTGCGCAATAACCACTCTTGGGATGGTGACTGAGTGCAAGAAGTACACCGTAGATGCGATCTCGAGCATCCTCGCTCCAATATACAGGCTAGCCGAGGACTCATCCCGTTTCAATGTCAATGACCATGACCATGAGATGAGCAGCGTGGTAGGAGGAGCCGAGCAGCGCAGCATCAAGAACCACGATACCGCCTCCCACAGGAGCATGGGACGATATTTATCTTAATATTGTAATACTATATCATTTTTTGGCTAAAATGGCATCAAAAGCTATCGGAGATTCTGTTATACACTAAACCGGGGAAATAATCCCACCCAACACCCGCTTAAACACTAAAAGGTTTCCATGTTCGTGGGCGCAGTCGCCGCCCACAGCCCCCAATCAAACTGAGCCTCGTCAATCATGTCATTCCACGGCGGCACCGCGCCGCCAAACGAATTGTTGTAGTTGGCGGGATTGTTGTAGTCCACCGCCCCGCCGGGCAGGCCCATGCTCCCCGCCGGTCCGGGAGTCTGCTGCGTGGAGGAGCTGGGCGTGGACCCGTTGGTTGTGGTGGCCAGACTGATCTTGTCGCGCAGGATCTCGACGCAGGCTGGCACGGGGGGCTGCTGGCCGCCGCAGGCGGCTCGGAGGGCTGCCTCCCTGGCCCTCCAGGCCTTGAGGACGAGGGTGCCCAGCCCAAAGTTCCACGGCTGGGACATGTTGGCAAAGTCCTTGAAGAAGAGGTAGACGTCCTCGATGATCTGCCAGGCGTGGTCGACGAGGGGCCCGCTGGTGCGCTGGCAGACCTGCCCGACGAGGTAGAAGAAGCCCTTTTGAGAGAAGAACATGCGGAGGAACCAGCGGAAGTTCTTGTCGTGGAGGCTGCGGCAGACGTCCATGGCGTGGCCGATGTCGAGGATGACGAACTCGAAGAGGCGGTCCTGGGGGGAGGCGGAGCCGCCTTCGGCTGAGTCCTGGTTGGTGGAGAGGAGCATGTCTCTGAGCTTGCCGGAGAAGGAGTACCGCAGCTTGTCCGCGAGGGCGTGGATGGGCCCGGCTGAGGGGAGCGAGAACTTGGCCATTGTCTCGTCCAGGGCCTGGTCGATGGCCTTGAGCTTTGCGTCAAGGGGAGATGGGATGCCGGAGGCTGGGGGGCCGTCGATGCCCAGGACTTGGGCCTCGTGCTGGAAGATGGTGCTTCCTAGGCCCGGGGTTTTGATGAGGAACTCGCCCATGCGGAAGGTGAGCAGGCATACGATCATCTCGGTTGGGCCCTGACGGTCGGTGAAGTACTGGGTGGCGCCGGGGTTCATGTCCGAGTCGTTGAGGTTGGTTGGGAGTTTGCTGTCGCAGTACCGGGGAAGCAGGGAGGGGGCCAGCCCGGTGCTGAAGGAGGAATGGAGGTCGAGCATGACAATCTGCCACCATACGCGACGTCTCATCTCGGTCTCGAAGGGGGGCAGGCCGAGGGTCTCACCGTCCCTGTGGACACCCAAGCCCTGAGCAATACGGACGCATAGTCCGTTCAGGATCCAAGAGGCACGCGGGTTGCTGCGACCATGGGCTGATAACTGCTCGGGAGTTAGCAAGCATGAAGGGAGGAAAGGGGGAAAGCAAGAAGAACGCCACTTACCATTTGAAGTACTACGGCTTGGAGTGTGGTCAAGTCATTGTTTCTTAGGAACGAGTGACGATGCAGGATGGACCTCCCTGCCGAGGAGAATCTACGGACGGCATCATCTCGCGTACAGCTCATGAGAGCCATGCATTCTTCCTCGTCTAGCGAGATGACGGCGATTTGGCAAATCGCAAAGAGCAGCGCCTGGATGTTCCACGGCTGCCCACCAAAGTTACCGGTGGCATCGACTACGTAGGGCTGGAAGGACGGGGCATGGAGGATCTTGGTCAGCGGGTGGACACGGTCGAGGAATATCTGCCAGAGGCGGATCAACTGGGCAGCAGTAGGCCGGGCGTTTTCCTCTTCGCGATGCATTATCCTCGTGCAGTTGTGACATGACCCTGAGTCCTCATGCAAATCAGTGCCCTCCCCCTCCTGTACGATGGGGCCTTCCGAGCCAATGATGCTCTGCATGGCCTTGATCTAGAGATTGCAACAGGGCATTGTTAACACGACCCGGCGGAATGGAAGAGTGAGGAGAAGTGAGCAGGGTGGTTGGTTAGGCTTGCCTCGTCCGACACCATGCCCCAGACCAGGCTGTCCGTGAAGCGTGTCGAGCCATGATCATTCACAAGGCGGCTCCTCGGAGTCGAGGTCCAGTCCCGCTCCGACGAATGAGGCGTCAGCGAATCCCGGAGGTCGTCGAAATCCGGCAGCGTCTCGATCCCCGGCGAGTGGTTGGGCGGCGGCGAGTCCTCGCCGACCGTCGACTGCGCGGCCGACGTCGAGGGCGTCGCGGCCAGGTCCTGGACGCTGGCGAACTTCTCGAGCAGGATCTCGCAGCGGGCGAGCCTCGTCCTGAGCTCGGCGTTTGGCTGCCGCTTTCTCCGCGGCATGGGCGGAGGGGCCGGGATGCATGGGACGTCGGCCTACTTCCACCAGGTCAGCCCAAAACCGTGTCTCGGGATGGCTGAGACGGGGAACGGACCTTGACGCAGTTGCCGCAGGGCTTGTTGTGGTCACATTTCACTTTGCGTTTTTGGCATAGGCTGCATGCGAGAGCGCGGGGCGCCGAGGCTGAGATCGGAGTGTGAGCGCCCGACATGACGATACATCTAGTTGGTGAGAGCTACGATGAGAGGCGAGTGAGTGAGTGAGCGGATGGTGAAGGCGAATGTGGCGGTTTGATGTCATAGACACCATCCTCCATAGACAAGAGGAACCGAGCCCACAGAATCACAGCTGGACTATTCTGGCCGTATCAGGTCATGGGACATTGATGATTACCTAGGCGTGAGAAAATTTAAGCAGAAAACCGTTGGAATTGATTGATACCCGCTCGTTCCGGTGCAAGTGGAGAGAGAAGCTTAATAATAATAGCAACAAACCTCGCTCCATGCAACAAAGCTGGATATAAGCCATGGCTGGTATGAGTCATCAACGGCTCGTTCGGATTCCGGGATCCTTTGGTTGCACAGCCTCGTACTCGTAAGTTTGTTGAAGCCTAGAATGACTTTAGGAATGAGTCTCTATCAAATGCATAGAAGTTACGGTTATCTGACCAGGCATCTCAATGTTACCTGTCTGTTGCAGCGAGTCGTCGTGAATCCCCACAGTGATACCCCAATCTTGGCCAATCCATCACAGAGATGGGAGACTGAAATCAAAATGGATATAATTCGTATACATTTCTCCATCTGTACCCCTTGGCGGTTTCTCATCTACCCCATATGAATTTAAGCTTATATCTGAACGCACGTGTGGCAACGTGGGGGCCAACCTTTGCTTTCTTGGCATTGAGACGCCGTTTTGAATCTCTGAACTTTAAACTTCCCTTTCCACATATTTTACGCCCTTAGTGTAGATCAATTTCGGTCCATGGGCTCGATTCCCACCGGTTTGCTGCTGCCTTGGCATAGACATTTCATGCCTCTTGAATTGCCCACTGGGCTGATGTTAAAGCGTAGGTATGTGGAATCGGCAACGGAATTTGATTATCCTCTAGTACATTACGGCGCTTTCGTAACCATTTCAAGTCCCTAAAAGTCATTGGATCTGGAAGTTGGTCAATATTTGTTCAATTGTTGAGGAGTTGACCTTTTGACTGACTTCACCAGCACCGATCGGTTCTGGACAGTCATCGTAACATCCAACGCCTTAATTTACCCGCAGCAAAAACCTCCGTTATTCTTAGGCTAAGCTCGCATATTTGACCAGAACAAAGACCCTTGGATGGGCAATTTTTCCGAACAGGACGTCGAGACTTATATAGCAAGAAAAAGAGCAATTGGAAGGTAGCTCTAAAGACCTGAAAGTACCTCTTATGTGTGTCTGTGAATGTTTTCCTCTGTAAACTCTCAGCTTCAACCCGCTATGAGGTACCTAAGGTTTCTTCTACTAGCAACATCTTTACTTGCTTTGACAGCCCAAGCCCAAGATGATATCGGATTCAAAAACGGAGTGGTGGACTTTCATACGGCCAATTTCGACGTTAAGCTCATAAAAGATGCAGGCACTCTCGCATCTCTCAGACCAGCTGGAAGCGATTTTGATTTCCTTCCCTACGACTACCTTCTGCTGGACCGCCGCGTACAGAATGGAAGCTACCATTGGGGCGACATCACCCTCCGGT